AGGCTTGGTGTGCGGAGGCTCCGTGTTGGGGGGCTTCTCATGAGTAGGCTCCGTGTTGGGAGGCTTGGTGTGCGGAGGCTCCGTGTTGGGGGGCTTGGTGTGCGGAGGCTCCGTGTTGGGGGGCTTCTCATGAGTAGGCTCCGTGTTGGGAGGCTTGGTGTGCGGAGGCTCCGTGTTGGGGGGCTTCTCATGAGTAGGCTCCGTCTTGGGAGGCTTAGTGTGAGCAGGCTCCGTCTTGCTGGGCTCCTTGTTGGGAGGCTTCTCCTGAGTAGGCTTCTCATGAGCAGGCTCCGTGTTCTGAGGGGGCTCCTTGTGAGGCCCAGTAGGCTGAGGAGCCGGGTTGGGAGCCTCGGTCCAGTGAGGAGGCTCCTTCTGAGGGGGCAGATCAATTGTAGCCGGAGCCCCATGATCCACGCCTCGGTTCTGGATAACACCAGCGAGTGCTGGGCCAGCCAGAGCTAGCAGAGCAATAGTCCCTTTAACCATCTCGAAGGATGATCGACCTCTCAAAAGCAGATACCAGAAGCACAAACAAAGACAATCAGTTGGAATCAAACGAGTGAAATAAGAGCGAGCGACTTTTCTAGGCTCGATACAAGCGTGTTGAAAAAGAAGTCATTTCGATAGAGAGAAGACGTGAACTTATATCTCCATCACGGCGATGATGGTTGCCGTTTCCGTGCGGATGCTCATTGATGGCTACAATGCCACAGTAGTATCGATTTTTAACAAGATCTGGTGCCTGGTTCAAGAGGAGAAAAAAATCTTGATTGCTCGGCACATAAGGCCCATTGGTCTGCAGTGTAAAACTGCGATATCACGAACCATGGTTAGCTGGTAAGTTGATTAGTGGAACAAGCAATTGGTGGTATTTGGAAAAGACTCAAAATCTTCAGATAAAGTTGGGAGGTGGGTGCTACGTGGTATCGTATTCAGGTGAGAAACCCACCTACCCAGTCGGATCTTCGGTGCTGCAGGAAGACAGATGGCGTACTTAGATCTTGGACACATTCTGCAGAGAGTCGTGGTGTCATCACTTCAGTCAAGTGTCTCCAAGAGATGCCACAGATGCTAGCCCGATCCGGCCATCGAATCTTCAAGGAACATGTAGATACAGTTTTGTTCCTTGAGCAAAATGGCTGCATCATCTGTGACAGGCTTGTTCCTGGAACGCATGTTCTTTCCACGCCATGGACAACCATGGCCAAATTAAACCATGAAGTCATTCCAAAACGGCAGTCAACAACCTACAAAGCTGGCCAACAGGGGATCTTCCTGCTTGTGGTCACCGATTTTTAGTTTAATGACACCAGTTTGGTGGCATCATCAGTGATTACCCATGTGCTTCAAATCGGCAGAACTCTGCAAGATCGAGAAAAGCGCCTCTGGAATGTGGAGCCAAGCTATAGGGAGGTTCTGCAAGCTTTACGGTAAGCGTGAAATTCACGTTGTGCGCATGGTACAAAGCGCAAAATGAAAGCCGCAATGAAGAGAGCAAATACGGGATCAAAGGAGTCTCAGCAAATCACGAAGAATGTAGAGTTTTACATGCTTCGTAAACTTCATCTGTGCATACCAGGTCAATGACGACACCTAACAGATATTGCTCGACCACAGCTGAAACAGTCCTCGAGTATGACGACACTAATATCTCCTGAAAATCCGGATTTGGAAGATATTGACGATCGAGCACAAGTAAATAACGTGATACGTTCATTGATCTTTGTAATGCTCGTCAAGTGGATGGTCTCCAGGATTTGCAACGAATGTAATCGTCATCCATAGGAGTTAATGAACAGGAATACGACTTCCAAGCTGCCGCAAACGGCAATTGAGGGCCCCTGAGGCTCATGGGTGGGTACAGAGAGTATTGCGTCTTGGTGGAGAGGCATTGGCGTGATTAAAATAGAAGGTTGTAGTCGGTCGTGTATCCCGTCCGTTGTATAGTAGATGGCCGTTTGCGGTTAGGCCCAAGTCGATGGCACGTGCTTCCTTGGCTCCATATCATGTGACCAGTAATCTGCGGTAAGCTAGGGCTTAGGACTTAGGGCTTCCGGGGTGGCAGCGCGTCTGGCACGCGTCCAGTCGCGTTAATGACCCAATACGATATTCAGTATACTCCACTATACGGAGACAAGTTCAAGGTACATACAGCATCCAAAACACACAGAAATGCCTCACTCTGTGTCTGCCGGGGAGTCTCCTAGTCATCGTAACGATGAGGAAGTCCTTCCGGATGCCCCTCCCACAGATGCGACACCTGATGTTCCGGAAGATAAGGAGCCCGAGGCCACTGGAAACGATACGAAAGACAAACTTGCAGACATACTATTCGATGACGATGATGACGATGAATTTCCTGCATCTAGTGCGCCAGACACGAGAAATGCGAGTTCGAATAATCAAGATGCAGTAGAGTGAGCACCCGCCACTCTATAGATAGGAAGCCAGTCTAACAAAAGTTGTACAGATCCTCTGCACCGCAACCCGCTCACGTAGACACAGATACTATGCTTGCGTTCTATCAGCGACTTTTCCCATTTCGTTACCTTTTCCAGTGGCTGAACCATGGAGTTGTTCCTTCGCCGGACTTTGGAAACCGTGAATTCGCGCTTACCCTGCAGAACGACGCCTACCTACGATATCAGTCATATGCGACAGCAGATCTGTAAGCGGACAAAGCAAGGCAGCCTCTGTAACGAAGCACATCACTGACACCCTCCTAGCTTCCGCAAGGACATCTTGCGCATGAACCCATCTCGTTTTGAAATCGGTCCCGTCTACAATACAAACCCCCGCGATCGGAAAACTCTACGAGGGGGTCAGATGAAACCAATTGCGAAGGAATTAGTGTTCGATATCGATTTGACGGACTATGACGATATCCGATCATGTTGTGAAAAGGCGAATATCTGTGAGAAATGCTGGGCCTTTGTAACCATGGCCATAAAGGTTGTCGACGCGGCGTTGCGGGACGATTTTGGATTTCAACACATCTTATGGGTTTACTCTGGTCGTCGTGGTGCCCACGCCTGGGTCTGTGATCCCCGTGCTCGCAGCCTTCCCGATGATCGGCGACGGGCCATTGCAGGGTATCTCGATCTCGTGCGAGGAGGGGCCCAGAGTGGCAAGCGTGTCAATCTGAAGCGTCCGCTGCATCCGCATATGGCCCGTAGCCTGGAAATCCTGAAGCCTTACTTCGCCCAGACTACCTTGGTGGACCAGGACACCTTTGTCAGCTCGGAGCAGGCGCAACGCCTCCTAGCACTACTTCCCGACAAGGCCTTGAATGATGCCTTGCGCAAGAAATGGGAGTCGTCCCCAGACCGCTCTAGTACGAGCAAATGGGCCGACATTGACTCGCTCGCAAAGACCGGGAAGAGCAGCACTCTTAACACTTCTACATTACGTGACGCGAAGCAGGATATTGTGTTGGAGTATACCTATCCACGCCTTGATTCTGAAGTCAGTAAGAAAATGATTCACTTGCTCAAAAGCCCGTTCGTCATACATCCTGGCACAGGCCGTGTTTGTGTGCCCATTGATGTTCGAAAGGCCGAGCAGTTTGACCCTCTTTCAGTCCCCACGGTCACACAACTATTGGGAGAGATTGATGCGTATGATGCAGAGAACCCCAATAACGGTGCAGGCACAGACACGGCGGATGGGGAGGGAAGCGTGCCCAATGACTCTGATGTGAGAGGAAGCCGCAAACTCCAGGATTATGAGAAAACGAGTCTCAAGCCATATGTTGATTATTTCCGCTCGTTCATTGCCGGTCTTCTCAAGGAGGAACGCGGTGGGAAGCGGGAGCGAAACGAAGATACGACGGAGGTGAAGACTGAAAGCATGGAGTTTTAAACCCTTGCATCGACTTCCTGTTGGTCTTCTACCTAGAATTTCTTGTACTTTTCGAGCGGTTTTGGAGTATACATGCTTTCAGGCAGGGTTACGATGCATGCGGCGTTTTGGTGTTGTCAGAGGATTACTTCAAGGCACAGGCATAATTATATCTTTCACCTCACGATCTATTAATCAGGATATGAACGGTGAACATGAGACCATCATTCTAGAACTGGTTGTACTTTTCGCTCCTGGATCTGGTAGTCTTTGAAGCATGATCTCCCACTGTAAATCTGTAAACACTAGGGCATTTTAGGATGCAGTTTTGAATATAATACATTTAGATGCTAGATTCGTTTCTATATTGATACACGTGCACACTGCCTAGCAAATATGATCATAGCGACTTGCATGGACAGACGTCAAGCTAACATGACAGGAAGCAATGGGATACTCCCTCACAAAAAAAGATCACGAGAAAAGTCGAAAGGTAGGATTATAATTATGAGTAGGGATTTGGCCAATGCATTTTTATAGACGCACTAATGCATCATTGATCCGCATTTAAGCGGAGATGAAGTTCTTGACGTCTAAAAGTTCCACTGTTAGATATAGATACTAATGTCTCAAGAGTGGCGGTAACTTACTCTCAAGCCAACGAACGTATTCCTTCTGCTCCTTCACCTGGATGTAGTCAGGAATCATGTTGGCCAGCTCTGCGTTGATGCCTCTCTCCTCGAGGTAACGTTCCAAGAAGGTCTGCAGATCCTCATCGAGATTCTCGAAGGGAGGTCCGGCGTAAAGGCTCTGTCTAGCCCAATCCTTCTCAGCGGTCTGAGCATGTGCCAAATCGGGCTTAGAGAAGTAGGAGACCTCCTCGATCTGGAAGAGACCATCCTGGGCAACAGTCTGGATCAGCATAGCACCGTTGCTAGGCTTCTCAACGGTGATGTTGACGCGGGCAGGGAAGCTGGGCTCCAGGTCACGGTCCAGCTCATCCAGTTCGCGATCAGCAGGGGCAGCCTCGGGGTTGCCAGCGGCACCCTTGTTACCGGGCTGGCCGGCCTCAAAATCCAGCTCGTCGCTCAAAGCCTGGTCGTCGAACTCCTCTTGCTCGCTCAAGTTCTGAAGATCCGCAACGGTGAAGGTGAGACGGATCCTATTGTGTGGGGTTCATTAGAATAGTGCACAAGAATGGGAAGTGGCGACTCAAGAACTTACTCCTCATTGCCGAACTTCTTCGTCAACACAACTTCCTGGTCACCGGGGACGTCTTTGACCTGCAAGCAGACATGAATCAGCCTTGGTTAATGCGAGACATTTGATTCAATGCACTTACCTCCCAAGAGTTGTTCTGAAGAACGTACTGAATATTCTGGACGGAAGAATCGAGATCCTCGAGACCGGAAGCCTTCTCATGCTTCAATTCATCCTCAAGCTTGGCAACAAGTTCAAAGTCACCTACAGATAGAAGTCGCTGTCAGCGCAATCGAAAAACGAGTATCACATCGTGCCATAAGCCTCGAAGTTTTCTTTGTTCCTTGTTCTTGCGTGTTCTCCAGAATTGGGAGCGAATATCCATTTCGATTCATCTTACCTTCAGCTTGAGACTGCTTGAATACACTGGAAGTCGAGAAAGCAGCGTAGGAGGGCTTCAGAGCAGATTGCAGAGTGACATATTTAGGAGCAACCGCCGGGACAGGTCGGAAGAGAGCAGAGCGGGAAGAGGTGGCAATGGAACGGGAGATAGTGCGAGGCACAGAGCGGGCGATGGTGCGTAGCGACAACATAATGAATTGTGAGGATTGGATGGATGCAAAGGATGTTGAGTTGGAGGAGATTTTTGCTGAAAGTTTGGGAGGTGACGAGCAGGAAACTCAACTGATGATGTTACCGTTGCCAAGAACAAGCTCGGGAGCTCTGGCGATGGCAGCCTGAGGCAGTGATCCTTTCCGCCTCAGCATCTGAAGAACAGCAGTGACCTGTGCAATATACAAACATGTCTATTGAACCTGAGATTGTTTAACATTACAATACTGTGTATAACTGGAAGCAACTCCGACAATATATGATCCTTATTCACTCCGCGTTCCTCTACAGGCGGTAGACCATGATCCATAGAGCATCTCGCACCCCGTAAATTAGAAATATATTTTGTGATCGGTGTCCCAACCGGCGACAACAAAGATACTGATATCCAAAAGCGATATACAATAGGAACAATAAAGGCGCGGGATACATAGAGCACAGACAGAGAAGACCAATTGGAATACTTCTAACGAAATATGTCCTAATGATCAAAGCCTGCAGTGGCCATGTCCAAGGCCTTCGAGTTTAATGAGATTACATCATGAGAAAAGCTAAGAGTTGAAGATAATCACCGCCAGTGTTTCCGCTGTGAACCTGATCCTGCCATTGCTATTTTTAAGTTTAATTTTTATCCTACAGGTAATAACCTGGCGGCGATGTGCAATGCCGTCACAGATGCAGAGCAGACGTTTGGTTGATGTGCTTTTGTAGCCAAACCTTGAAACATACTAACGAACATCAAGATGCTGGTATATACGGTCGTCAACGCCATTATGTGCCAAAACCAATGTGAGCGATGGGGTCTTAAAACCAAAACCATAACTAAAGATCACGACATCCCTTTCGGAGGAAAAGCTGAAGACTGCTTCCCACCATCCTTGGTCAAGCGAATGAACTTCATGCTGCTGAGTCCGGACCAATCCCCATTCCATGAGGCAAGGGCCTTGATTACATCTTGTTGGCTAAGATCGGGCAACCAGAAACCGGTCTTAAACTCTTTATTCTCCACGTCGGTTCGCTGGAGGAGATTTTCCTCTCGTTTGCTGGGGGGTCGGCCTTTCCGCCGTTCACTCTGTAATTGCTCGATTTCAGGGACACTTCGGTTGATGTATCTATGCCCGCCAGTGTTAATGCGTATGATATATCGGATAATGACCAGGGGGCCTTTCTGTTTCAACTGACCTAACAATTAAATTCATCATGTCACTATCCGAGAAGGCGCCTGCATCCTTCGGGACATTTTCGTGGAAGTATACAATCCGGTCAACTAGGGGAATCATTAGAAAAGTCCGGTAGAAACCAGAGACGCCTTTTTGAAAGCTTACTGTAGGACTGTCGTCCTCGGGCCAATGTGGCAGAGACACGAGCAACCCGATCGTCTCTAATACCTGCGCGGCGCAATCTCTTCGCATCTCTGCTGTTCTCATGCAGTGCGTCAACTACCCCTCGCTTTTTAGCAATATGCTTATGAACTTTCTGTAAAGATACCGGCATGGTGCGATCTTCAACTTCCTTGAATTTGAATGAGAACAAAAAGTGAGCAGTATAACGTTATTGCTGCGCACAGTAAGTTGCAGTCTAGTACCTTTCGTCTTTTTTTTTTTTTCCCCCTTCTCTAATCTCCGCGATCCTTATCGCCCGGCAGAATGATAGGGCGGTGATGGTGGAGGCAAACGCCGCCAACGCCCGGCCAATCACGGCTTCCTCTGTATGCACCGGCCTATCGCGTTTCTGTTGCGCGTCAGAGGGTTGACACTGGCAGTCAACTTACATTCCAATCTCGTTGTCTAGGCCATACATAACTCAATGACCCGCTAAGGTGGTTGATTAGCTTCCAACCCCTATTTCTACGCAAGTTTCTCCCCATGGTTCTCGTGCCCACCGCGTCTCTCGTGTCCTAACCATCGACTGTCAGAGCTGTTGCCCGTTTTGGATGTTCAACTTGACAACCTAACGAGGAGCAGCTCGACTTTCGAAGGTTTTCACAATGGGCATTAAAGGTATGCCCAACTTCACTTTGTCTTTTCCGGAGTGCGCAGAGAAGATTGACTCGTCAGCTAGGGCTCCATGGTCTTCTCAAGTCTATTCAAAAACCATGTCATTTAAAAAAGTTTAGCGGACAAACCCTCGGTGTCGACGCATATGGATGGCTGCATCGTGGTACGGTCGCCTGCGCGGTGGACTTAGTTTTGGACCGGCCGACTACCAAGTATGTGGCTTTGTATAGGATATTGTTTATGACCGGTGCTAACGTGATTGTAGACATATCGATTTCGTACTCAACCGCGTCCGCATGTTGCTTTATTTTGGGGTCACACCATATCTTATCTTCGACGGTGACGATCTACCAAGTAAAGCTGGTACCGAGTCGGATCGACACCAACGGCGTCAGGAAAGCAAAACCCTTGGGTTGGAGCTGCAACGGAAGGGAAGGACAGCGGAAGCTTATCAAGAGTTTCAGAAAGCGGTGGATGTGACCCCTTTGATGGCTCGTCAATTGATTGACGAACTGAAAAAGATGAATGTTCAGTATGTGGTGGCTCCGTATGAGGCCGATGCACAACTCGTATACCTGGAGCGCCAGGGCATCATCAATGGGATCATATCGGAAGACTCTGATTTGCTAGTGTTCGGTGCCAAGAGATTGTTGTCCAAGCTAGACCAGCATGGCGACTGCATTGAGATTAATCGAGCCGACTTTACAGCTTGCCGCGAAGTCAGTCTTATAGGATGGACGGACGCCGACTTTAGACGCATGTGTATCCTCAGCGGATGTGATTACCTACCCAACATTGCCAGGCTGGGGTTGAAAACTGCCTATCGGTGTATTCGCAAATACAAGAATGTGGAGAAGGCGCTACGGATGCTTCAATTTGAGGGCCAGTACCATGTCCCCTCGAATTATCTGGAGAATTTCAAACAAGCAGAGCTCACATTCCTTTACCAGAGAGTATTTTGCCCCCGAGCTGGAAAGCTCGTCACGCTGACTCCACCAGAAGATGATGTGAACCTGGAAGAATTACCGTACATCGGCGGTGACGTGGAGCCTGAGCTTGCAGTGGGAGTCGCTTGTGGTGACTTGGATCCAACAACAAAAGAACCACTGGTATTGAGGCCTGCTGCGGGCAGGGTCATACCTGGCATCCAACGTCGCCAGACACTCGGGTCATCCGCCGAACTGAAGCCAAACAAGCCCATCAGCTCATTCTTCACTCCGAAACGGACTCCTTTGGCTGAATTGGATCCAAATAGCCTCTCTCCATCCCCCAGCCAGCAGAGGCTACTGGAAAGGCATGCCAATGCGTCCTGGGAGAGTAGTCCGGTTACGCCCCGGCCGGGCATCGCCCGATCCGCGACGGTGAATAGGCTATCGAGCCCGCTAGTTCGGAGCGTGGAGCGAAACTCTTTTCTGGCCCATGCCTCTAGAGCATCTACCTTGCAGGCCACCAAGCGGCAACGACTTTGTTCCGAAACGGACGAGGCCAACCTTCCAAGTCTTCCAGACTGCCGCAGCCGTTTCTTTGCTCACTCCCCGGGTGATTCCAGCCCCAGTGGTGCCAAGGTTACGCGAAGCAAAAAAGCACGGAAGTCAGCTGTGGATGTGTTTTCTGATGAAGTAGCCGAGGGCATCATGACACAAATTGCAGGTTCATCAGAGACTGCGAACCATTGCAAGGACAAGCCTCAAACGCGACATGAGCCTCGCGAAGGCGGCCATGAAGAAGCGACTCCACCAACCACATTTACCACATCGGAAGACCCCGCAAGTGCGAAAGAAAAAGTCCGTGTAGACGGGCGACAGGAAAGCGCCGCAGCTCCAAGTACGGCTTCCATTAGCGAGGACTCGAATCCTGAAGTGTCTCGTCAGGTGCAGGACGACGGTATTTCCAAGCAAAACTCTTCTCTGTTGTCTAAGTTTACTTTCCAAGCTGCGGAAGGGCATACTAGCCCCAACGTGGATACCTTGCAAACAAAGGATCCTCAAGCTCATCGCCCGCTTATCTCTAGATCGCCTTCTAGGGTGAAAGCTGGGGTGACCCGGAGTCCTTCCAGGCGGCAACGCTTGACGCCTTTGCAACGGCTCGGCCAGACGGCACTGGCCCGGTCACGATCGCTGAACTTCACCCCTTCTCCTTCAACATCAAGTGACCTGGGCAGGAACCTCGAGGCAAGCACCTCCCAGGCAAACCCGATCCCTTCCACACGTCCGCTTGCTCAAGGAAGTGAAGACATGATTATTCCCGATAGTGAAGAAGAGGATGTCGATGGCGACGAAACTAGTCACGGCCGGACACCTGTTCCATTCAACCTTAAGCGATTTTCATACACAACCCGGTGATTCTGGACATTATGCATTGCCGCATCTATACAAATGGCATATATTTTGGTGTGGTGGCGTTTCTTGGCATTGCTATTATTCTATTGGGTTTTATCTGGATGAGATACACGGTGTTTTGTGAGGCATCGCATTATTCTATGTTATCTTTGGTCGTGTATACCCTACCTTGGACATTATTGGAGATAGACGATCGACGTCAGGACAGTTTGAGTAATTTTTAGTGTATACCTTTGCAGTGATCGTCGGCATGAGACCTGGACAGAACCCACTATGAGACGTAAATGCTGGAGGCTGGAAAGGGACCAGAAGGGATTAGGGCTGACAAGCCGTGTGGGGCCACGGCTCAGTTGAGCCTGGACCAATCGCTGGTCCCTGATCGATCGTAGCGCCATCGGTGGAGTGGATCAGACCCAATGGGGCCTCGTGGGTCCCTCAGGTACAGTAGGCGGTGAGGCCTGGTTACCGGGGAACCAGCGGGTGTAAACAAAAGACGATGCCCAGCCTCCTCCATTGGGACTATACTGTCCATTCCCAGCCACCACATTATCATCACCATCGTCACCGGTTACCTCAACTCTCGCTCGTTGTGTGGAAAAGAGAAAAGAAAAATTCGGGAGGCAGGCATTCATTGCAAGAGTGGATTTGGCTAGCTACGATCTCTCTCCCCAATTCTCCCCTTCCCTCTTTCTCCCCTCTCCATTCCTTGCCCTCAGCTTTGCCTCTTTTTGGCACTAAGTTGTTGAATTCGAACCCCAGATCGGGACATAGCTTATCGGATTTTTAATTCGACTATCTGACACATCTTGTATATCGTCCAGGTCTCGTGAGCGCCGCGACGCAAAGCAGACATACATTCCTTTGGTTTCGCCGCCAGTATTCCATTCGTCAAGGGATCCCTCGAGCTCGTGCACTTAAACCCACATTCCATACCCACGTCAAGACCTGCAGAACCTTCCGACATTATTCGATCGCTTTCTTCAGACATTGAGTTTCGCCGCTTGGACTGACAAAGACTGTCGCGCGACAAAGCATAATCGGGCCGCAGAACCGAGGGACCAGCACCTTCAGACATCGTGTCCAAAGAAGCGCTCTTCAAACACTCCTTCTCGGGGGCCCGAGAAGAGAGTCATACAGACCGTGGTGTGAAGTAATCAACTGGTATAAGCCTGGCTGAGACTTGACCCGTCGACATGGCGTCCAATTTTAAGGCGAAGATGGCCCGTATGTTGCATTAAGTTGTTGAGACGATGCTGTGTGTGTATACTAACTGTCTATGATTATAGGTTTCATTCCTATGATCGGTTACCATCACGTGCTTATGATAATCATTGCAGTTACCATTATTCTTCTCTGTAAGCTAGCCCCATGCCTTGCTGTCACCATTGGAATGCATCTGACGATGTTAGCCCTTTTACTGGCCGGATGCTCGTCGTCCTCTCCACAGATGCCCAGCATATTCTTGATCTCTCTCTATTACCAACGCTACGACCCCATCTTTAATCTTGCACAGGTGGACCCTGGCGTAGTGCAAGCAACAGCGAACATCGTTGGAGGAGCGGAGATGGAAGTGCGTGTGGGGTATTTCGGAATCTGCGTGTCGCCGTCAGGAGGCGCCTACATCTGCAACTCGAATGCGACGGCCCTGGCTGAGGTCGTCACGGTTGACCAAGATCCGCTGAACCTGATTTGGGTAGCATCGACGTTTAAGGATGCTGTGGTCTTCCCATATCTCCTGTATGTTCTCAGCATGCTCTATCCATGAATAGGTGAACTGACTTGTACAGAATTGTTGCCGTTATCCTCGCATTTTTCTGCTTCATCCTGCTGGCTACTTTCCCTGGATGGCACGAAGAAATTGACTCGACCGGCTCCGAGCGTGAGGTGAAGCCGTTCCCTTCCCGGCCCGTATCCCAGGCCGCGCTGGCTCTAATTTTCGTGGCATCCGTTTTTGTGTTGGTCTCGGTACTATGGCAGCACACAGCATCCGTCGCTGCGAGCACCATTGCCCAAGACATGGGCAATGGCAGCGTCAAGAGTGGAGTAGGCAGCTCTGCAATGGTGCTCGGATGGTTTGGATTTGGCCTGATGGTGGTGACGACGATAGGCTTGCTGGTGATGATACTCAGCATCAAGCTGATACGGCAGTTGACGGATGAAGAATAATCTACATGATCTGGGAGGGACACACTCGGTTTCAGCTTTTGTTTCTTTCTGCCTTTTAGTTTCCTTTGTTTTCGACCTTCTACATGACGCACTTTCCGACGGCACGAACGACACACGATTAATACGATACTGAATTCTGAACTCACGACGATAATGAACAAAATCAATCAACACCCCTATCACACCTTCGACCTACCTGTACATTCGCCCTGTTTGCACTTTGTCCGTTGATGGTTTACGTCATGTATAAAAGACGATTTTTCTTTTTTTATTGAATTGGGATGGATGGGACAAGGAATTGGAACTTTTTTACATGGAATACCACGCTTGGATTTGTCAATGAGTATCTCACTGATTTGAACGCACTTTTGTTTCTCGATCATAATACCACAGCTCGCATATAGATTGGCTGCAGCTACCAACATGAAAGAACTACATTCATCATGAACTGCGCATTCACAGACGTAAAACCACAGTATATGTACACAGTACCACCATCCAAGCCTCACAGAACCCAGAAATCAAATATCATGCCTCGCAAATTTACTCGCCATCCTCAACCTCCGCCCATACCTCAACAGCACAAACGGATACGGCACAAACAAAACAGTCAGACACCCAAGCAGAGTACACGCCCAGCCCACCCCGAGGTTATGAAACATCGCCGTCGCAAACAGAGGAAACCCAGCCCCAAACGACGAGCGCATAAAATCATTCCCGGCCAGCACCGACGCCGCATACCTGGGGTACGCATGCGCCTGGTAACAAAAGATGCCGTTGAAGATCAAGCAGCCGCCGACGGAGAAAAACATCGACGCAATGATCGGCACGATCCAGTGCACGCTGGCGAAGTTGCCCGTCCACCCGAACCAGAACAGTGATATCGGGAGCGCGAACGCCCCCACCAGCGTCGGCGGCAGCTGCTGCTCCGGCGCGATGTTCCAGTTCGCGTCGAAGTGCCGCACCTGGTACTTCGCTTTCCAGAAGAAGTACCCTATTATCGTGGGGAAGGTCCCGACTAGGATTCCCAGGAAGGCGAGGCCTGTTTCGCCCGCGTTGAAGCCGTGAATCTCGCTGAAGACGATCGGGAAGGCTTCGAAAAAGATGTACAGGATGCCGTAGATGAGGGAGATGTAGAGGTTGAGGAAGAAGACGATGGGCTCGAGGAAGCAGAGTTGGAAGGGTCGGATGGCGGCTTCGAAGAGGACGTCCTATTGTTTTTTTTTTTTTTGTTAGGGTTATGCGTTATGTGTTGGGGGTAGTTGTGCTCACCTTAGGCCGGACATGGCTGAGCTCGATCTCCGCTTCGCATTTGTAGTTCGAGTTCCCTGTGATCTTCCGCACGCGGCGTGCTCGTCGCCAGAGGATATTGGGCGTGAAGGTTTCCGGGAGGAAGAAGAAGAGTAGGACGAGGGTGAACCCGCTGGCCCAGAGCAGCTGCCAGATAGTCCAGGTCCATCCTTTCGCAGAAGCAGCGAAGCCGCCGACCAGAGGTCCTAGGACGGGCGCGGAGATGGCGAAACAGCCCCAGATCGCGATCATGTAGTCGCGCACTTTCGGGTTCCACATGTCGCCCATGGATGCTCCGCCGGTGGCCAGGGCTGGGGAGCCGAGAAAGCCGGTGATGAACCGGAAGGCCAGGAGCATGCCGAAGTTCTTTGCGTAGATGACGGCGAACTGGAAGAAGACGAAGACGAGGAGCGTGAGGAGGTATATAGGGTTTCGGCCGACGGTTGGGAGCTCCGAGAGAGGGGACCAGATCATTGGACCTGGGGCAGCGGGTCAGTGTGCTGTCTGATGCGTTGATAGTTAGTTATTCAATGGATGGGGACGTATGTACCTAAGCCATAGCCCAGCACGAAGAGCGTCAGCCCCAGTGTGGCGGCGACTCTACTTACGCCGAACTGTTCCGAGACGCCTTCGATTCCTGGGGTGTAGATCGCCGATCCGATGTAGATGGAAAAAGTCAACAGCCAGATCTGGCTGCTTACGAGGAGCTTTTTGGTTGTGCTCCAATTCTGGGGGTTCTAGATGTGTGTAAGTACTGGGATGGTGGGGAGGCAAGTTTGAAGATGTACCTCAGGATCATCTGGGCTACGCCAGTCAACCAGAAGCGGTGTCCCTCCAGTGACCCCAGCGGTTGACGCTATGGACAGGCGGCGCGACGCTCGTGACGCCTGGGACATGACGGCGTAGAGACCGAACGTGTCGGCCTCGGTGTCCGCCAACGTCGCTGCCTCTTCATCAGTGACGCTGGGCTCCGGCTTCAAGCATTCCGTCCAAAGAGCCGGATCAATCTCCTCTGGGTATCGTAGCAATCGGTTCCTAGTACAGAGGCGCACGAGCTTTCCGAAGGCTGAATCGCGGATGGTCTCCATCTTTAGGGCTGTTTTGATGCAGCCCTGGGTGTTGATCCTCACATCCGCCCTGTCCGGCTCTGCCAGAATAAGCTTATATATTACCCCGGAGTAGACTGGTGGCAATTGTCAGAGGGTCATATAGTTAAGACTTTCTGTAAACTTTGACAGCAGGCTAATGGATCGGTATACTGTTAATGTGCTGCTGTATAGCCGTATAGCCGTAAATCCGGGGCGTCATAGTCCCGGGCCCCGGCGGATGGAACCACAAGTCAAGCTGATGTCATGACTATCAGAGTACTGAATCACGCTGCTTGGGAAGGCCATCGTGGGTCCTTGCCATTCCCCACAGTATGTCTAGACCGACTGCTTGGAAGAATGTAGGAAATGACGATTATAAATGCTCTCTCGCCATTAGCATGAAGGCTTCCCAAGTAGTGTTAAACAGGAACGTAGCCTAAAGTATGACAGCTCTGCATTATATCTGATGAATGTCATATTTCTCATCCTCCAGAGCGTTCTATCTCGTCGATTAGCGTAACGATCTCTATCCTCAATGATTTTGGGAGGGGAGATATCGGAAGCACAGTTCAAGGCCTTTGAAATATCAATTTGTTCAACTAATAAGAACCAAGAAAGTACAAACGAATTCAACGATACTAAAAAGTAAACGAAACAGATGAATCAAGAAGAAATCTGGGCAGATGGAGAGTGTTGAAGAGGCGATTTCCAGTATCCGTGGCCCCCCGTTCCCTTGTACTTGTTCTCCGAGATACGTAGGGTTATAAACTGAACATTACGGTGTTTCGTAAGGGCAGGGGTTAGCCTGCCCCCCGAAGCACACTCCACCTGTATCACACCGGTGAGGACCGCAACAGGAGCATCTTTCTTGATGCTCCTGATGTGTTCTAGGAAACTCTGGATAGTTGCACCGGAGTTCACAACGGAATCCACGAGAATAACAGCAACCGTGTCTTTCAAAAGGTCGTCTTGAAGATCTGATGGCTGTTTGGCGTGAACGAACATGGCCCGCTGACATGCGTCGTCGTTGACTCCGAATGCCATGGGCTCCTCTCCCCTCATTAACGCTACGATCAAGATTTTGTCCTCCCTCCGGAGTTGATAGCCGGTAGTATTATGCCCTTGCGGGTGAGGGTTATCAACTTCCTTCACTCCAATGGGCGTAGGGAGGAATGTGTATGCCAAATATCTGCCTACCTCACGGTGAGCCTCCCTCAAACGTGGTCCTTGCACGTTGGCATTTCGCATGGGCGTCATCAGAATCTTGACGGCCTCTGGGTTCAACTTCTCAGCGCTGATGACATTCAACTTGGTGCCGTCTGAAAGCAGGGAGTCAACAAAGGTAGGGTCGAGGAGTTTGACTTCAGGAAGGATCTCCTTGTTGAGACGAGGGGTTACAAAACACGGGCGAAGACATTGCTCTGCCTTCAGCCCACCGGTCTCGATTGCTTGCTTCAAGGCCCTTTCCATAGGGTGGCTTCTCGTTGCTTCGTCTTTCACAACAACAAAGGCCTTGTCAGCTTTACAGAGCATTTTGAGGTCAAGGGGGCTATCTCCAAACGCCCAGACTACGAGACGGTGTTGGGTCTTCAAATGATCAACCAAAGCCTCCTTCACCTCTAGGGTCACAGCAAAACCATCGCTGATGCGACCACCTCCAATGACGGCAACTTTGCCCAACAACCGTTGCATCTCCAGCACATACTTCCAGATCAGAGCCAGGCCACTGGTCACGACCACTGCAGCGACGTGATTCTGCTCTGCGATACGGTACAGAAGCGTGACGAATTCCTCATCCATAGTTATAGACGAGGCAACCTCCCGGCAAACAAAGTCATATTGATTATCGCGAAGCCTTTCTTCATGAAGCAGAGTCACCTGCCGGAAGGCATTGTATGAGTAACCCAAAGGACTCTCAAATACAACTCGCGCGGGCGTCTTCGACCAGTCTCCATCTGCATATCCCAGGAGTGGGGGAAATATCTTCCAAAACAGGGCGCCCGTGTCTTGCGAGGTCAAGGTACCGTCGGCATCAAGTACGATCATCCGTTTCAGAGTACCGCTTTGTATGGCAGGGATGCTATCCAGGGTGCTGAGAGCGTTGGAAAGGTTGTGTCGTTCGTCATGTTTGCTGAAATCATGGAGCAGGTTCTCAACATCCTTGGGGATCATGTCTGGAGACACGGAACAGAAGAGAATGTTATTGCGGTAGCAAAGGTCGCGCAGCATTTGCTTCTCAGCTTCCATCCAGCGCCGCACGTGGGCGATTGAGACGTGCGAGCGATCTCCGCCAGGGTCATCGAGACGGCGCTTGACGATCTCCTCAGGAGGCACGTCAAGGTAAATGACATGGGTATAGGTGTCCAGATCGCTCTGTGTATATACAGCCGATCCACACTTATTACCTTCGTCCCAGAACATCAGGTGGTCTGTGACCACACCAGTCTTATCATATGCTAGACAATTTTGTCTGATACAGTTGATCGCAAGTTCACGAAGCACCTGATGCGCCTTGTCATCCAACCGCTTGAACGATGTTATGCCTCCACAAACGAGCTTGTCAATCTCCTCGCTGCCCTTGAAGTACATGAAGTGGTCTTCGCCGAGAGCCATTCTGAGCTGGTTGAGCAAGGTTGTCTTTCCAGCACCTGGAATACCATAAATACCAACCACCACGGGCTTCGAAAGGGAAGAAGGACTTTGCGCCATGGTACTTCTGTCACGAAAGTTGAAGAAGTATACTGTTACACTGTGGATGTTCAGAGCAAGACTTGGAGAGCGAACTATTCTGTGTCGGTCTAACAAGAGAGGGATATCAACAACCGCCAAGAGATGAAAGGCACCTCTAAATGAGAAGAACAAGTCCATTATATAGACGACTCGACAGGCACCAGGTGGTATGGATCAGGGGGCAACGTTACGCTGGCTATGTCCGGGTGATTCCATGTATTTTTATTCACATCTGGCTAATTTGCCGCACTGCAACTAATATAATAGACAGCTCAGGGATTGGATGTTTGAGGCATGGGCGGAGCTATGAGGTTCATTGTTTGTATAATGGAAAAGGCCTCCTGGGCCAATAGAAGTCCCCTTTCATCGTGCGATAGAGCAAACAGACAATGTGAGATAGTGGATACGTTCATTCTAAAGACCATTGGATGGTGACATGCTTTTTCTACTGAGGTCCCACGGTTGTCCTGTGGCTGCGCACAGATCAGATGAGAAACTGCACTCGATGAATACCAGACCCAGATGGTGATAGGCAATCTGAGAGTCGGATGGTAGACCCAGCTGTTTAGTCTTACAAACACAGGGTATGTTATTCAGTGATGGAATTAAGTAATTACTTAAGAACCTGCATGAAGGAGAAAGGTATCTTGTAGAGTATGCGATTGGGGTTATCTCGTCGAACATTTCCCGTAATAGGAAGCAGCTTCAAACAGTCCAGCAGAACAAACATAATATACATAGGGAAACTCATATTAGAACAGCTTAGCCGATTTCGCCTCATACGGGTCGGGATCCATTGATGGAGGGGCAAGATAGACCGGGAAACTAAACTCCAATATCGTCGTCCTGAACTGTTAATAGTAAGAAACGTTAGCGCAACTCGAGCCAGGCCGTGTTCTTGTTATCCTACCTTAGAGTAGCCACATTGCAGACCTAGTCTGACTTCGAGTGTATATGTTTGGCTGATGTTGCAGGTCTCAAACGACGGTGTGAGCGTAATTGGTAGTCGGTGTTTGTTCCAGAGACTGTCCCCAATACATAACTCAGCCCCATTTAGGGCTCGATCATGGCTGACAACGTGGTGGATGTTCGACATGGTTTGTATGACCTGGAACTGTGTGTCTTTCTCGACAAGCCCAGATGCATGTGTCTCCGTTGATCCCACGAGCATGGTCTGGAAGTCATTCAACCATACGAAGCATTCTCTGTCTCCGACTTTGGTGAGCTTAATCCTCAATGGGATAGGATAGCCTAGAAGTAAGCACTGCCCGTTCAGCAGCTCGACGTCAACCTGAAATGCCAGTGGGCTGCTGGTGCTGACAGAATCGTGGCTGATGGCGAGAAGACATCTTCTTCCTAGTATGCTTTTTGGAAGGCTAAATTCATGCACGGGGTAGAATAGGATATTGCGAGTCTGCCAGAAAATACAGTGGTTAGTATGGCTTTCCAGTTCCTTTTCGCATATCCAGGCTACTCAACTAATTTCTCCACCCCTTTTAAGATACCGGTCTTTGTTATAGTGACGTCCAGGAAGTACCTGACCTCCCAGGCCGATAAGGTGTCGCCAGTCGAGGGTGGAAGCTTTCGTAGAAGATGGTGGGTTTTGTTCTTCCGGTGGAGGAACCCCGTGCATGACTGGTTTGGTTTGCTCTCATCTAGACTGATCTTATGGCATTCGGACGTTGCAGGAAACTAAATCAACGCAGAACAAGCATAAGTAAACGAGATTGAGATCTGCAGGTTGCAAGGGGTCGTGGAGCCTACCGTGAGGGAGAACGGAAAGATGTGCGTCCCAGAGCCAACAGTTAGACTTCTAGAAACGGGGATCTCGGTTATCTTCTGGGGTGGGAAAACATTTTGAAAACGTTGGAATAACTATAGATGGGGATGTTAAGAGACGATTATCACTTTTGATCTTGGTAGACGTACCTGATGGGACTCAACGTATCTTCCAGAATTTAGTCGCGACGTTGCTATCCCAGACAGCTTGACTGTAATTGTTGAGATGTTCACTGGCGCCTTGTTACGGAAGATCAAGTGGCCAGACACAGTGTCTTTCTCGGTGTAGGCTCCCCATTCCTGATCGAGTCGTACTTGAAGATCCATTCCCACCTTTCAGCCAAGTCAATCGGCGATATGCTGGGCAGTTGATGAGAAGAAGTCTGAGGTTCGCACGAGTAGCCAGGGTGCTCCAGTCCGGGCAATCAGGCTATGTTTCTTGGTCTGGTTCTTGACTTGGTAGGGCTGGGAGTCTGTACTTATGATCCTGGATAGTGATGCTTGTATTAACGGTTTACATAAATGAACACGAAGCACATAGAGCGTCGAACGCCGAGCTGATACGAAATTTCCATGACCGAAGTGCTCTATTACTACACCAGTATCGCATCCCCCGAGGAACTGAGGCTGCGCTCGGGGAACTAAGTAGCGAGCAGTTTCAGCCGGCGTGCAACGCTCAAAGAAATTTTCGTTTTCCATCTCTCGGTGGAAGTCTGGTGGAAAAGCCGGGGCTCGGAAAATGAAGCGTATCGCCGACTATTTTTATCTGCTTCCAGAATGATTCCCATCGCGGCCCCACTCTACCGTTGCTCGAACCCTAAATACACCCGCACCTTTGCTTAGGGAGTGTCCGTAGTAGCCCATTTCCTGGCCCACTGAGCGCGCATTATGGACGCTATTGTTTCGTAGAGGAAGTCCCTTCTTGGCCTAGCTTGCCTCCTGGTAAGCTGGTGCTGGAAATATAGGGAAACTCTAGAAGTTAGAACTTGTGTAAATGACACGCAGACTTGTCCGCGACTTCACAATAAAACAACCAAACTATGGATAACCAGTTTGAGAGACCAGATCAATCCGTATATTCCCAAGACTCTACAGAGAATAGTCCGCCACTGAGGAAAGGTCGTTCGCCTAATGTGAGTCTCAATCACAGGGGGGTAGGGTGAGGTCTGCTCGAGGATGGATTGCCTTCTGACACTCGATTGTTTCTCAGGAAAGATATGATCGTGAAGACCGACTATATCATGGAGAACACGCAGAGTCTTTGCTCCATTCGGTTCCTTTGGGCCCTCCTTATCCGGCCTACGAACCTGAATCGCAACCCTTCGGCCATGGGACTCCCGAACAGCTCACTCTACGAAGCCCTAGTACGAAGACGCAATCAACTTATTCACGAACTCAGTCAGTAAGCAGAGATCCGTTTGCTTCATATCCAACCGTCGCATACTCAGACGATGCTTCAACACCGGACTCGTGGCGACAGCGACAAACTCCAGCGCCCAGTGCGCTTCGTCGATATCCGACCCGAAGAATTAACCTGGTCCAAGGTAGCGTCCTGAGCGTAGATTATCCCGTGCCCAGCGCTATTCGGAACGCTATCCAGCCAAAATACCGCGATGCTGGGGAAGGCTTCGCTGAAGAGTTTACACATCTTCGATGTAAGCATCCATGTCAAGGCAAGATGCGAAAGCTAACCGATTACAGATACAGCAGCCACCTGCGACCCTGACGAGTTCACCCTACGCAATGGATACAACCTACGGCCTTCCATGTACAACAGGTCTACTGAATTGCTCATCGCCATTACCTATTATAACGAGGATAAGGTGCTCACGGCGCGGACCCTGCACGGCGTGATGCAAAATGTTCGGGAAATCGTCAATCTCAAGAAAACAGAATTCTGGAATAAAGGAGGACCAGCCTGGCAGAAGATTGTGGTTTGTCTTGTCTTTGATGGCATTGACCCTTGCGATAAGAACACGCTTGACGTCCTGGCCACCGTGGGCATCTACCAGGATGGAATCATGAAACACGACGTAGATGGTAGGGAGACTGTTGCTCACATTGTTCGTGACTCTTCCACATTGCAATTTACCTTCGTTATTTGCTGATGGTTGATAGTTTGAATACACAACCCAACTATCGATCACGCCTGCGCAACAGCTGGTTCGCCCTCATGGCGACGAGCCCACCAATCTGCCACCGGTTCAGACAATATTTTGCCTGAAGCAGAAAAATAGCAAAAAGATCAACTCCCACCGATGGCTATTCAATGCGTTTGGCCGACTGCTAAACCCTGAGGTCGTCATCTTGATCGACGCCGGCACGAAGCCGGGACATAAATCTCTCCTTGCCCTTTGGGAAGCATTTTATAATAACAAGAACCTCGGAGGCGCGTGTGGTGAGATCCATGCACTGCTCGGCCCACGCTGGGAGAAGCTTGTGAATCCTCTAGTGGCTGCGCAGAACTTTGAATATAAGATCTCTAATATCCTAGACAAGCCTTTGGAAAGCGCCTTTGGCTATGTTAGTGTTCTCCCCGGCGCATTCTCTGCTTACCGATACCGAGCGATCATGGGTCGACCTTTAGAGCAGTACTTCCATGGGGATCATACGTTGTCTTCGAAGCTAGGCAAGAAAGGTATTGAAGGAATGAATATATTCAAGAAGAATATGTTCCTGGCTGAGGATCGTATTCTGTGTTTTGAGCTCGTCGCGAAGGCGGGCTCTCGATGGACGCTGACATACGTGAAAGCTTCAAAGGGGGAAACCGACGTGCCAGAAGGTAAGATGGGCATGTAGTCTGATACCACAATGCGCGAGTGCTGAATTTGATAGGCGCCGCAGAATTTCTGAGCCAAAGACGCCGCTGGCTTAATGGCTCCTTTGCAGCAAGTTTATATTCAATCATGCATTTCAATCGTATCTATAAGAGTGGCCACAACCTCATTCGCCTCGTTGCTTTTCACGTCCAGCTACTTTACAACATCTGCCAGCTTATCATGACGTGGTTCTCCCTCGGTATGTTAGATTAGATCAGACGCTTGACACCATATGAGGGCTAACGTGCTGCAGCATCCTACTGGCTGACCAATTCTGTGATTATGGATATCGTAGGAACACCAAGCGCAACTAACAAAAACAAGGGCTGGCCATTCGGCAATGACGCGACTCCTGTCGTCAACAACATCGTCAAGATCACTTATCTTGCCTTCCTCATGCTCCAGTACATCCTTGCTCTCGGCAATCGACCGAAGGGGTAAGAACTTATTCAATGGCATGCAACGGGTCTTTTGAGTGTGCGAAACTAACAATAAGCCACTAGATCGAAAACCTCATATACACTATCCTTCATCTACTTCTCCGTCGTCCAACTCTACATTCTGGTTTTATCATTTTATCTTGTAGCGCAGGCATTCAGCGGTGGGAATATAGACCTCAATTTGGACGACGGGGTTGGGGGTTTCATCGGATCTTTCTTCACCTCCACCAGCGGACTCGTGTTGATCGCATTAGTGTCGACATACGGGATCTACTTCATATCCAGCATTCTATACCTCGACCCATGGCACATGCTCACATCCTCATGGGCCTATTTTCTCGGGATGCCCTCCTCGATCAACGTCCTGATGGTCTACGCCTTCTGCAACTGGCACGACGTCTCATGGGGCACCAAGGGATCCGACCAAGCAGGCTCACTCCCATCCGCCCAGACCAAAAAGGCCGACGCAAAGACAAACTTCGTCGAAGAGCTGGACAAACCGCAAGCAGACATCGACACTCAGTTTGAGTTCACAGTCCGACGAGCTCTATCCCCGTGGCAACCCCCTGAGGAGAAGGAGGACGGCAACTTGGATGATTCGTATAAACGCTTTCGGACCAATCTCGTGTTACTATGGGTCTTGAGTAACGCGCTCTTGGCCCTCTGTATCAATAATGAGGGGATCAGGAATCTCTGTTTGACGGTAGGTTAAGCACAAAACCTACAGTGCGTGATATGAGCTGACGAGAAGTGCTAGACCTCTTCGACAGATCGTACGGCCTGGTATTTTAAGATCATCCTCTGGCTTACCTCCGCATTGTCGGTTTTCCGGTTTATGGGCGCTCTGTGGTTCTTGGGCAAGACGGGTGTGTTGTGTTGTTTTTCAAGACGTTGATCCGGCTATTGCTGTTGAGTAGTGTGTAATACAAGTCATCTAATACGGCAGACTAAATTGAGGTTCCGGACGGTTGCAGCATTCTTTCCGACTTTTGAACATATCTTTATAGAACTTTGCTTGGCTTTCGTTCAGACTGTCTTATATTCTTTGTCGGTTTTCGTGTATCACCGCCCCCAAGAGTGTGAGCTTCATTGCACGATAGCTCCGTCCGCTGGATGTCTAGTTGGAGCACCTTGACAGCTTCTTGATATGTCACTTAACTATTCTTCACGAGGATCCCTCGGAATGACCATTTCGCCGCCCACGATTGAGCAAGGTTATGTGGATAGAAACCGCAGTGTCAACCCAGACGAGGCATGCCTGGGGAACTATACAGCAGTAAGAGTGCCCCATCTTCGGAGGTCAGGGTACTGCTGACTTTCTGCTCCTAGTCGTTGCAGTCATTCCAGGAGAGTCTCTCGAGAACCAGCGAAACGACCGACCGTTACGATCTAAAACGAATCGAATCTCAAAGAACGGTTTTCTAGTGGCATTCGGTCCAAACATATATACCGAAATAAAAGCCGGCGACCAAGTGCTCGGGTAGCTTTAACAGCAACTTTATACCAACACATGGAGGAAATGTAGGATATCAGATGCGGGATGTTCTCGGCCCACGGCATATTCTCGGAGCCGAGACTCGGAGCCGAGCGCTGTGCCCTAACTTCGAAGTGGTGCATGTCATTTCCGCTGATCGACGGAAGCCCTCATTTAATCAAAAAGTGAGTGCCCAAAACGTTCCCGCGCCAGAAGGGAATATGAACAGATGGCTTGTTGGGCGACAACCAGCAGGAGCCGAAGCAGCTCCGCGACCCCCGTTGGCATGACCTGAACATGTCAAGCCCATTGTTGAATATCCCGTGTGAAATTCTTCTGTCGATCTGCTGCTATTTAGGGGACATTGACGATGTATTACATCTCGCACGATGCTGTAAACAATTACACGGCACGTTCGAACGACAGAGCCATCGCCTGGTGGCATTTCGATCGGTAATAGTAGGCGAAGTCGCATGCATTCGAAGTTTGTTTTCTTCCAGTCTGATGTGGGACTAGGGCAATGCCGCTCATCACCGCTACGATCTCAAACTGTCCCCAGTTTTAAACATCTCTCAGCGACTCTTTGCTGAATATAGCGCGTCCCATGGGAAACCGCCTTTATCAAAACGTCCTATCCACGCGGACATCTTGAACCTCCACACCCCTGATGGTGACTCTTTACCCGAAGATGAGGTGTGGTCAATCGTGTGCCGGTGGCAGGGCTTCCGTCTCCTCTACGACCTTTACTGCAACCCCTCCATTCGGTCAAGGTATTCGCGCTCAGTCTTCCTTAATTGGCCTAATAATGAATGCTACGAGGAAGAGCATGCGCTCGTACATGACGAGCCTCTCCTAGAACCGACCATTACACCGCATAAGGACACGGTGCCTGGAGGCTGTGCCACATTGCCTAGCCTACGAAACCGAGGTTATAGACGTTTCTACCAGGCCTTAACAGCACATTGGTTCGCCGTGGAGGCATTGTGGCTGGCCAGAATATCACGTTATAAAACACCACAAGAACGAAACAACCGCTTCGTCCAGGTGAGGGGAATCTGGAGGGATAATCCGGATCGGACCCTCCAGGAGAAGCTGGACGTTCTCGAAGTATTTGACTTTGTTTGGGGCTTTCTCGGGCGGAAGATCTTCGTTGATGTCTATGGCATGCGGAGTTGGTTGGACGAGGACGGAGCAGGGCTCTATTTTGACGGTGAGCAGTCCGAAGGCGTGAACTGGGCCTTTTTTGTTCGATCTGTTACTCAATACCTTCGGCCCCCCAATATTATTGAGTTACTGCTGTCCTTGGTGTGGAACCCGTCTACATCTTGGGCCGTTCATCGACCCAGTTATCTTCGCACGTTGGGATTCTTTGACGAACAGCAAGGCATCTGTGAACAGCCAGGCACTCGAGAGTCACCGGACTGGCGGTGGTTGTTTCCGGGAGCCTTTCTTGAGTATGATGTACTTGCCAGTGTCATCCACCAAGTCACTTATGAAGATGGCGATGAGGCTTTGCGTGCTCTGTGGGAGTATATCTGGTGGGTGTATCGTCGTAATTATTGGGAATCCGATTCGAAGGGGGCCATAATCTTTCGAGACGAGACCAGCAGTCAAATCCTATGGCGGATGCGAACCATGATAGTCCCGCATTTGCGGCATAGCTGGTAGGAATAGTGAACAACGGTGATTAGTGTATTCCTTCGACCCCACAAAAGTGCCGGCGGCTGTAAAGATTGTCCTCCAAGCGATTTCCCGCCTAACTGGAAATTGCAACCCCGTTCTTAGCAGAGTCCCACATTGTACCAAGGGACTAAATCCCTTTAGGAAAAGTCTTTGATTCTGAAAGTCTCCTCGGGTCGAAGCGGCCGGTTGGTATTCTTCCTTTGTTTTGTCCGGCGTAGAACTCTCCTCTTCTCAGACCTGTCTCGCTGTGATAATTGTTCGATTATCCAACTCTTGTCATCATGAACACGGTACGTCTTCCTCCCACCCCTGGATTCGCCTCTTGCTTTTCTTCTTTTCTCGTTTTTCTTTTCTTTTCTCTCTTTCTTTCTTCGTTATTCTACTCTATTTTATTCCATTTTTGTTCTTTTTGTAGAGGAATTGAACAATTGATCAATGTTCCGCACCGTTGACATGTTCCTTCTGACAGATACGATCAACCTGGTAAGTGGATACAATCGTAATCCATATTACTGATGTAAATGGCTCATCCCATTCGAATAGGATAGGCTGGGGCACTCTTTGTGCAGGTAAGGACATCGTTCCTATCATGCTGTATCACTCTAGCCTGGCTAACATATCGTTCCTTTTCCTGATGATAGCCGGTGGAGGTGCTTACTATCTGGCAAACAAATCCATCACTGCGGACAGAGAGGCTAGGCAGGACAACGCCATGAGACACAAGGCAAAAATGGCCGCCATGGAAGCAGAATACAGACAAGCAGCTGCAAAGACCGGCAGTGCCCCTTCGGCGGGTGATTCCCCATCTTCGAAGCCACAAACCACGATGCGTCAGACGAAGGACAGTGGATAATCGAGGGACATTACTCAACAAAGCAATTTACCCTGGAGCGCAGCGCCTCTTCCCTGCCCAGTCATAACCGATCGCAAAGAGGCCAGCAGCTAGTCGCGAAAATGGGGTCATTAGGAATATTTTTCATTCTATTCTATATACTGTATAAATACGCATCCAACAGACCCCTTTTTCCTCACGCCATGTGTTCTATCCGACATAGAATCTATTGCAATTATAGAAGATTTTTCACCCACCATACCTCAGGTGTTGGTATCGACAGTTCCTGGTGCTACGCCGAGCATCTTGTAACATGGTTAGCTCACTGCCTGATTGCCTTTGATTGGAAGGGGCCGCTTTCTCACCCGTTTGATATCCCTATAGATAGCAAACTGGCCCGCAGTCATACCGGAGACCATGACCAGTCGGGCTCGAATGCCCGCATAACTACCACGGATCCCAAGTGCAGAAGCGATGTTAAATAATCGACGGATGGCTCCTTCTCCGGACTGTGCTTGTGTTTTGTTGATCTGGCTGAGCATCGTGTCTGCCGGCTGTGAAACAATTGCGGCCGCCACTCCTGCTACCAGGCCGGAGCCGAGATTGATCCCAGTGTGTGCCGCAGTGGATAACTTCGACCGATCAAGCGACTGATATGCCAACTCGATAGCTTTTTCATACACGACGAAAGTAGCCATCGTGTACGGAATCCTGTAGAGAGGTTATTCAGCTGGTCGTGAGGACATCATGGTTTTTGGGGAGGATGACGACATACTGCTTCAGTAATATTGGCCCCAGGCCAGAGTATAGACCACTGACCCCTTCCTGTAATGCCATCTTCCTGAGGCCGTCTACAAGGCCCCGAGCAAATGTCGGTTGAGAGACGAGCCGGATTCGAACCGCTTCAAACGGACACAGAAGTACATCCCCAAAGAACTCCGCCGTAGCAGAGGAGGTCAAATATACGGCATTCCGGTTTCTCGACGCCGCGTCCTGTCCGATGGCATCGACTGTGAGTTTCTTGAAGAATTCATATCCACCAAATTTGCAAGCTCCTTGCAAGAAGTACCCGATAACTGTGGGGCCGAATCCAGTGGTCAAGGCCGCCGCCCCTTCCTGGACGGTTACTTGTCGTAAACTGCTCAGGATACCCTGGCGGTACCACTGAGGATTAAGTTGTATCCTTGTTTTGACACTGCTCTAATCAGTTTGCGCTTTGGGGCTAGGCAGACAAACTTACACATCAATCGGGGTGAGAACTGCGTGTGTAAATGAACAGCAGATGCCCCCGGCCACTGCATATCTACTGTACAGCCCAATTCCTGACCCTGCCTTCTCTCTAGGTCTTGTGACTGTCTGGTGCCCATACCCCGTGCTGGGGAGCGAGCTAAGTTGCTGTGAGGAAGACATGATGGTGCAGCTTTTGATGACTATAGGAACCGGAAAGGATATGTATCACAGTCACAGCCAACGACTATGAAGGAGATAAATACTCCTCGGCGAGAAACAGGATAAGAGATAATCGACTAACGTGCTCGAACATCTCTGACGGCCTTTGTCCTTTCTCGTATTGAATTGGTTCTGATTACGATGCAACTAACTCACGTAATTACTGGTTATATTAGGTATTGTCGAACTTGTGGATCGCAGTCTCGATTTTGATTATTTCTTCTTGTCTCCGATAGGTTGCCGCTGCATTTTGTTTCGGATCCATCAATTAAATCCATACACAAATTAACCTTCCTTCCTCGCACCAACGGACGGACAGTAATGAAGGCTAAGGGCTACCGGGGGGTCCAATAATAGTATGCGACCCCCTATACTTCTCGTGGCCGACCCCCACTCGACTGAAATTATCTTATCGTCGGATCCGACAGATCCGATCCATCTCCGACGGCCGTGAGTTTGGTTCCCTGCAGACCCACGTGGAGACCATCGGAGTTGACTCCTGGTAGGGCACGGCGCTTTGGAGAGAGGCTCAGATACCGCTATTTCAAACCTTCTTCCCAGTCAACTGCAGTTCTTCGGCAGTTCAATCAACCTCGGTCGGGGACATCCTGGTTAGAATTCTGCACGTCCGATTCCTTCCGAAGATTGACCGTGATTTTATTTGGTCCACGATCTTCAGCGCCACCTCATCGCGGTCACCGTTAGCTTGGAACCCATGGCCAAGGCACTCTCGTGTGCAGGTTGACCGCTTTACCGTCCGTGACAGGGCACATGCAGGGTTCACAGCCACCTTTTACGTGACCATATCTAGAGGAATCAAAACAAATAATGACCTGCCTGAAGGGTAGCTCCAACAAGGCGTACTGGATTGTGGAACAGTACGCATCAATTAGTAACGGCATACTCCAAATGTCAGGTAGGACATTCAGGGTGGTAATTTCCTGGTGCACGCTATCCTGGCAACCAGTCTAGACGGAGTTAGCCCAAAAGACTAGCCCCGATGAAAGTCTGGGTAGGGCTCCACCGGATCACTATGTAGATGACAACTTATTTTTAATTTTTTTTTCCCTAGAATAGCGGTTAAAGTACAGGATACGGATGTTCGTTTCGGCCGGAGTTATTAATCAAGGGGGCGGCATTTTTTTCTCTCTTCAAGTTATTTAATTATGCTTCCCCCGGTCAAGTTATGTGAAAGTATCTATTCTAAGTGACAGTCACCCCTGAGTTCTTCTTCCTCAACCACTACATCCCCAGAATACTTTATAACCTCGACACCTGTCTGAACTCCGGTAGTTTCAGTCACGATTCCATAGAAAAACACAAAACACAGCTGGCACTATTGTTCCTGTAATATTCCCCTCTCCCAACCTCCATTGCCTACTTCGTATGGCTCTCTCTGACTAAAGTCTCCAGCTCCTGAATCTCCCACCTCTCAAGATGTTTTTCACGCGCGGAATCTCCCTGGTCAACTTCACCGTCGCCTCCTCCGCACTCGCCTTCCAGGTCTTCGTATTATATCCCTGGCACAACCAGCTAGACGACGAGTTCAAATCGTTGAAACAGGAACATCTCCGAGTGCTGCGTCGAGCCGATCAATTGGTGGCAGCACAAAAGCTATGACGGCCATATGCGAATGACCCTGAGGATATTTGAATTGTTTAGATTGCATGTATATACAGCGTGGTGTTTTAGAATGGCTTTATAGCCGTGGGTTATTTTAGAGCCTTTTTTGTTTGTTTTCTTTTTTTTTTGTTGAAACGTGTTCGTTGGCTAAAGCACAGAGACTCTGTTGATAATACTATTGTCTAGCTCTCAAATCGCAATAGACCGTCTGGTTGAGATTCTCTTGTCGACGCTCGGGTCGATCCTCCGTCTTGGTCAGGGTGGATTTGGATCCACAGTGGCCGTCTATGATGAGGTCTTGGTTTTGAGATAGAAACATCTGCGCATTTATCTATAGTATACCGGATGTCTAGACTACATGCATAGAAAAGAGGATAATTAATTTACTGCGTCAGAACTGGCCTATGATTCTGAGACGAATGGTTTCTGACCTACCATGGAGTCGGAGTCTAGAGCCGCAATACGTTGGAGATATATATTATTGTGCATGTATTTGCTACACGTAGTAATTATTATCAGAGCCATACTAGCTATAGCAAATCAAGAACAATAGGTAATACCCAGCTTGTTACATTTTCTTTTCTTTTTTTGTTTCTTATAAGAGTGAACCACAGAAAAAAAAAAAAAAAAAAATGTATTAAGGAGATAATATAAAAAGCAAAAATAGTCGCGCCCGGGATCGAACCGGGAACCTTGTCGGTACTACAGTAGTAGCTACAAGCTCACAAATGTGAACGACAAATCATAACCATTAGAACACGCGACTTGATTGGTTGTTAGTGTCTTTTTTTACTTTTATATTCCAGGGGAAAGGGAAAATAGCTTGAGTAGCCCTATCCAACTTTGGTATACCTCGACGGTTGAGTTTTGAGTGTCCGACAGACTGGACGTACTGAGGTGAGAAATACGTCTGAGAAGTGTTTAATGTAAGAATATCTTCTAAGGATAGTTGTAGTTGCTGTAGCTTGTATATAGCGAGAAGTCAGAGCAAGAGCACTTTTAGTCCACCGTACATCGATCTATCTATCTGCGTATAGATCTAAGCAAGTGCGGAAAAATATCAGAGGTACGATCTTTGGATTAGGATCTCTAATAATAGACCATCTGAGGAAACAAAGATAGTCAGAAGGCAAGACATCCACACAACTGGAGATCGAGAAGTATGGTAATGCGCCAAGTCAAACGGCTGGCCCACTATCAACATCCTCTATACATTGAATGCACTACCTTTTGTTACCAGGTCCAACATCTGGAAGTATTCTTTGTGGCAGTTTGTCAAATCAATCGAGATATGCGGTGGATTCCATGGGCTGATGCAATTAAGCATAGGTCAACAAGTCCCAATCCTGCCGGAATGTCATCTGATTTGTGCTAACGGCGTTGGAATACAGCACACATAGACGAGAGCTGCCACCGACCCTCGCAAAATGTGCCCATTTGCATGTTGTATACGTTGAACAAAATTGCATGCAATCACGGGCAGACCCGACATGTTTCCGAGCAATTTCATTTTTACTGCCAAAGCCAGTAGTGGGTTTTGACGGAATATAAGTATGGACTCTTCATCAATATTGATAGCTTGATTGACATACGCTTTTGTTCACAAGCCGCCTAGTTTCTTCCGTTGATCATATATACTACCCCCGTTTAATTAGTATTCAAAGGAAAGGAAAGCAAAGAAAAGAAGAAAAGAAAAACTGAGAAAACTCATTGGACTTTCACGTACAGACGCAGTTTTGGGCCAGCTTTTCTTCCAAATCATCTCTCTGTTTTCTCAAGTCATCGGTTTCCCTTGTCAAAGCCATGATCTGCTTTGCCGATTCGAGATCTTTCTCTTTCCAAAACTCAACTACAGCTTCCAGAACCTGAGTTTCTTTTGTGGCATTCAATCAAGTCCAAATCACAGCCATCAGGATAGCCCTCCCGAACAGTCATATAGACGGAACCGGGGACGACGGTGCATGGTGAATCTGCTCCATCCGATTCTACCAAGAATTCCTGGTCACTCCACCAGCACGTCCCGTCGTGCCTCTTCCAGAATGTGCCCTTGCAGGTTTCGATGCGGGTACATGCGAGGGCACAGTCCTCGATCGATGGTATGGCTGCAACTTTATCGTTCCAGTGTTGAGGCTGTCTATCGCAGTAGTATTGAACGAAAGTTCCCGGGGCAATCTCCGTCTCGATATTGATAGGACGGAGGCAGACTCTGTTCTACTCTTGCTCCCCTATCGAGTCGGTGAGCAACGGGTCTCCGTCTGCCAAGGGTACTTGACCGGCAGCGGTGCCTTGGGCATAGGCAGCAGAAAGAAGTGGCAACGCGACGAGAAGCCTCAATTTGATCAAGATCAGGTATTGAATAAGTTGTCCACAGTTTTGCGCTAATCGGCAGCCAGGATTTGGAGCAGTATTTGTATCTTATATGATACTTGAAATCTACAGTCTATGGGCGGCGAAAGAATCGTGTCGTGGTCGAAAGTCGCGAGCCAAATCTCCAGAGAGTTGCATTCGTTGGCACACTACACTTCGATACTACTGTCACTACTGTCTTGGAGTAAAAGCTACTCACCTATGCTTCATTACAGCCAACCCTTACCACCGGATTGGATTGGCATTGCGTCAAAGGTGGACCCGTCAGTTGCACGCATTCTGGTCACTATAAGCTATTCGTTTTGCAGCCTTTCTGGCCTGTATCTCGCAATGGCATTGAAAGCGCCCAGGCCCAGCGCGTCGTTTACTTACATTTGGAGCTAAGACTGGTATGACACTCACCTTATTTGCTGAAGGCTAGAAGAGACACTAGCACACCGTTGGGGTTCCCATTGTCACTGAAAAGTTGAGTCTAAATGCGGTGTTTCCAGAATTTGGACCCGGATAATCCTATACTGAATTCGGATCAATCGCCAAAGTATTTGATTTCTTATCATTAGCGAAGTAAGCCACGAAGCTACGCAGTAAATGTGTATAATAGCTCTAGAAGTGAGTTTTTTTTATAAAAAAAACGGGATATAGGAATATAGTTTCGGCTGATGATCTACAACCCTTTTCTCTGTACTACGAACAAGGTTTCGGAGTCCACTCTAGAGTCTGGACGTATATGACAGTCTGTGGTCCGTTGTCAATAGACTCTGGCATTCAAGCCAGGGGCCTAGTCCTTTGGATAGTGTCTCGACATGGATATCTGCTTGCGGCTCGACGAAGTTCTGGAGCGTAGATCATAACGATTGGCTCTATTATTACCGAATGCGAATATGCTTTTTGTTTCCCTTCCTGGGACAGAATTCCGTTGGGCGTAGATTGTCAACGCTGCAATGCGATTGACGATCCTGTTTCCAGCATAGACAACATTTATTCTCATGTACAGCTTGCCCCCTGTTTCTCCCTTTGGAAGAAATTCATAGTGATTGTAACCCGGGAACGCGTGAAGCTGATTGTGATTACGGTGTGTTAGTATGTTTCTGATACCCACAGGTAGATTTAGAATTTTCATGCTGCAGGGGGTTGCTGGGTCCTGCATACTTGATTCAGTGCCTGAGGAATGCTCATGATGCTTACCATTCATTGAATAATGTGTAGACCGTGTCTTCTACTTGTATATATAAACCGCGTCCAATGGGAGCAGAGAGCAATTATGGTTTACATATGATGGATGTCGGTAGGGCAAGTGAGCCATGGAACAGCTACAGGCTATACCTTCTCGGCATATACCTGCCCAAGAAGCACAAAGGCCTTGCAGCCCAGCGTCGAGATGGATAGACTGGCTTACCGAACTAAGCAAAAAGCTGATTAGTGCAAAGGCAAACCAAATAAAAAAATAGTCGCGCCCGGGATCGAACCGGGAACCTTGTCGGTACTACTGGAGTAGCTACTAGCTCACGTATGTGAACGACAAATCATAACCATTAGAACACGCGACTGCTCATGGGAAACTTTGGGTTTATAATGATAAATATCTAGCAAATGTTAAACAGTTTCTACCGAGTCATCCTACAGACTCGGCGAAAGTATGTGCATGGTGACTACCAAAGGCCTTACATCCATTGATTGATGATTTTTCACACTTGATGGTATGTAGAGCAGTAAAGAACTGTCTACCAAGGTTGTGGATACTCTACGCCTTCAATTTATAGTGCTGAGGGTACTGGGAGAGCGCCATCTCCACATGATTGTGTTTAACGAGGCCCCACTACCCACTACCTTTTCTTGTGCTATAGTGTTTCGGATCAGACACCGCACTAGTTATAAGAGCTCAACATAAGACAGCGTTGCCGCGTTGCACTACATAAAGGCTAGAATCTGCTTTAACGGTAATGAGAACCCGACATATTCTAAACAATCCTGTTTAAGCAGGTGAAGTAAAAATAGTCATCAAAGTTTTAAGTTCCGTACTTAATTCGGGCTCCGAGCGACCCTATTGGTAGATTATCGTCCGCATCGCCACGTTCTCGTGGCGCAGGCCCTGAAGATTCCCCTGAAAATGGATCAAAATGGATAAAAATTGATATCGGATAAGCCCTACCAGGCAGCATAGAAGCTCTGGAGATGTGCGCTATTAATACTTCGTTGCCGAGACTGGGTTCTCCTCGCTCAGCCATTAGTCGATTCTGTACTCCATTCAAACCAGCGGCTTGGCATGATCTCGTCGGTGACTTTCCTCTGCTGCTTGGCGGAAATCGGAAAACTTAGATTGTTCTATATAAGTGGAGAGGGGATTCCGATATCTGACAACTGAGCTCTTCTGTTCCGCCGTCGGATACTCGCTTTCTTTACGTCTATTCATTACTAGTATGGAACCTCCGTTGGTTGAGAAACGACGGCCCACGTCACACCAGGTGGTACGAATATCCGGGACAGTTTGGAATCTTGGCTGCATGCTAACACGTTCGAACAGTGTGACAACTGCCATTCTCGCAAGGTAAGAGCTAGAAAAGTGCCCCATCGTCTGGTTAGTGTTCTGTTGCTGATATCCTGTCCAGGTCCGATGTGACAGGAAGAATCCTTGCGGAAACTGCCAGGATCAAGGAACTACATGCACTCGCCACCGGAGTATGAGACGTACTATGAGGAAAATATCCCGTCAAAGTGACAGGCCAAGCAACGCAACTAAATCATCTCGAACTTCCACCCACCCGGTGCCTGAGCTGGGCTCGCTCCGCGGTCTATTGGATCAGCAAACCGATGCTTTTTCGCTCCCGTCTGAGGCGGATAATGATAGTCTACCGATGGAGATGCCGGAGGTCGGACCCATACTGACTAATCGTCCACACATGGCATATGAACTTCAGAATTGGATTTCCATCGTTCCCCTTACAGATGCGCAGATGGCAAGCCGGCACCGGCTGAGTCGAGTTCAGGGCCTCGCGTGGAACAGACTGCAGGTGCTGGAGTCTGCACTGTATGCCGCAAGTCAATTTACGGAAAGCATGGGCGGTTTTAAGAAACCGCTTAGTATTGATGACCAGAGTGAAGAGCAGCGGAAAATTCCGGCCCCTGAATTTCTGACATGGATGCTTAAAGGTATTCAACCCCTGGACTCTGTTATGCGGCAGTGACTGACTCCTGGTTCGTTTGATCAAATTAGACATTGGTACTGATCTTTTCGGACCATACGTTCGGGACTACTTCCGCCACGTATCCAAGCAGAGTCTCGAGAAGATGGGAATGGCCCTGATCCGCAAAGATGCATCGCCATCGGATACAATCCTCTACACTGTCTGCGTCAACTCTATAGCGTACAAGTTTCTTACGACAGTAGTTATGACAGAAGAGCATGGGGAACTGTCCCAATGGCTATGGCACAATGCGCTACAGTACCGAGCGACAGCGCAGGCCGCATTAAGAAAAATCCCACTTGTGACTACGCCATCGCTTCCGCTTCTACAGGCAGTGCTGTGTGGTGTGAGTTATATGAAGATCTCTACATGCCTTAGTTTCTAACCACTTTCTAGATCTTTCTATTTCAAGGATCGGGAGATACTAACTTCTGCTGGGAGTTGACGAGAACTGCCTGCCGGATCTGTACCGACATTGGCCTCAGCACCAGTGCTACAAATGGACGGGCCATCAGTGAGGAGGAGTTTTTCTGCTTTATATGGTGCTATATGCTGGACAGAAACTATGCGTGGAAGCTTGGCCGATCTAAGGGCTTTCTGGAAGCCACCCCTGGAGGGATCTTGCACGCTTCTTCCAGGCTGAATCCACCAGTGTCAGAGCTTCTCCTACTATATCTGGACTTGGCCCAGATCCAGGACGGAATTATACCTTTCATCAAGGACCCCTCATCAGCCGAAGGCGAGGCCGTCCCGCCCGTAACTAACTTACGAGAGCAACTAATGCCGAGAATGGAGGATATCCGCAGCCGGATCGACAAGGTAAGTCAACTTCCCAGTCGAGATTGAATCTCATAGATGCTGACTACAAGGTTCTGGTTCAAGATTACCACACCTTCTGATCGTTGGAAAGGCTTAGATACCCACAGCGAAATTGCCGCTCTCGATTTCGCCTATCATTCGGTTATGACAACCATCCTCCATCTGATTCAACTTACCCCAGGGCAGACCCTTACTGCCAAGGATCTCTACCTGGATTCAGCACGTCAGGAGCTCTCGGCCTTAGTATCAATATGTCTATCAGCCAACAAGCAAAGCACAGTCGCCTTCCTGCATTGGTTAGTGACCTCCCTGTACACAACTCTAAGACGAGATACTAACAACTTCCAGGACCCTCCTTTACTACCCCTTGACAGCAGTCTTCGTGCTATTCTGCAATGCAGTAGTCACATCCCACATCGGCGATTTCAACCTTCTGAAGACAGTCGCAGACTGCCTGACCCAGAGCGGAACAGCCAGCGAGCACATCGCCAATCTGCAGAAACTCTTCCAGGAGTTTGTCTCGCTCTCTCAACGCTTCCTCAACGAAGAAAGCTCTACCGCACTTGCCGCCCAGACCAGTCCCTCGCAGCAGGGGACCTCTTGTCAAGATGTAATGCACGACTCTAACTCGCCCCACTGGTTAAACACCAGTAGTACATGGAGCACAGGCATCCTGGCAGGCTTGGATAACCATTCTTTTGACCCGTCATTTCCTATGTTGGAACTCTCGTACGGGGATTCAACCTTCTTCCTCGGCGGTGGAGCTGATATGCAGCCGTTTAGCTCTGCATGAGCTGGATTTGCTGATCTTCGGATGGAAGCACGAAGTTCCTTTCATATGTAATTCGATACCAGATACCACATTTTTATGAGACACATATTAAATTGCTGTACATAATTACTGCTTACTGCACAGTCTGTATTTAAATGTTTCAGAAAGGATTGTCATTTCTAAGATTTACTGAGCGGATCGACATCAGGTAATAGTACTACTCAACACCACCCTCTACAATCGCTGTATATCCAACGATTTCTAGTTCTTCCATGAAAGCTATGCGACTTTGTAGTCTGCTATCTCATACCGCAGACAATTGCTCTACATGGTCTACATCAGACCAAAGGTCTTCCCAAAACACACAAATGAAAGAAGAATATTTGATAAGCACTTATTCAAATGAGCGGCACGGCCAAATCACCAACAACTAACGACCATGAAATCTAAATACACCATTGTCCAACTTGTCCGAGTATCCGGAGGCAACATCACTGCACACAATCCCCTCCGCTGCTTCTATATCAGGGCTCACTTGCACACGCCCTGGGCCTGGCTGGGGGTTTGCTATTCGCGCGTGTGTAGGTTAGCTACTGTTCAAAGAGCGTCCTTGATGATGTCGAGGACCATGCAACGTACCACGCAAAGACCGCTGTCGCAGACTCCCATGCTTCCATCTTGCTTGCAGGGCTGGCCGGAGGGGATCTACTACAATTAGTACGTGACAACGAAAGGATCTTGTTATGGACAGATTGTTTGACGAACCTTAGCAGCCTGAGGGGTGGCAAGGGCAGCGCCAACGAGGGCGAGAGCGGTAAGGACGGAGAAACGCATTGTTGTAGAGGTTTGGTAACTGGAAGACTTGGATATCAAGTAATTTTAACTGCTGTAGTTTGTTTAATGAGGATATGAAGTGAGTCTCTAGAAGTGTATTTATACCTGCTTTCTAGCTACTATAACCTGCGATTCACACCTCATGATGTATGTACTATGTACACTCGAGCACCGACGATTCTCCCCTCCACCGATCAATTACAGTAACGATAAACATTCACCTCCTCCATGCCATGTCAATCATCATCGGTGTACCGGGGATGCATCGGGAAGAACTGAACGTCTAGTATAGAGCATCCGGAGTATTGTTTCTCGCGGAGCCCTAGGGGCCTCGACCGTTCCCCGAAACGAGACTTGTTTGGTACTGCTGTGGATCCGCCCGACCATACCGGCTATTTTTAGCCGGCAGGGGTTTACGAAACTCTTACCTGGCAGGCGAAACCCGACCAGTCATTGCTTGGGTTTTATCAGCGAGAGCTGGATGGCGGTGTGATGTGCGCTTGTTTGAAGAATTTTCTGTCTTGCGTCTTATGTTCATTGAGACCTGCCGAGTGTAGCTGCTCGGGCCGAGATGGCAGTTGTGGAGAATTAGGGCTGGGAATGCGAACTATGTGTTGATCGCAGGGGCTTCCATGTTTCGGAAGTATTGGCTGACAGGTTCAGGGGTTTTGTGGCTTGCTTCGAGGGGTTTCTGTATGGTACTAGTATACTATGCTGCTGGCGATAGCTACACGAGCTGTTTCTGTGCCTCAAGAGCTTGAGAGGAACTGATATCTGAATAAGGAACATCCGATAGAACAACGTTCAGACGAATTAATCCCCTTGATAGCATTGACAATACCTCATGGAACTAGTTAGCTAACACGAGTAGATATTCCAAACCGCGTCATTCACTGTTGCAAAAGTACACAGACAAGGTAAGGTAACCAACTGAATCAACGAGCCTCCTCCAAAGCAATCGCCTTCCGAAGAACAGCCCGATCATCCTCAAAGCTGAGCTTTTCTACTGCCTCCCCCAAAGAAAAGAACTCCGGAGTAAACTCCTTCTCCCACTCACCACCAGGAGACCCAGCAATCACCCCTCCATCCAGGGCAGCAATATACCACCAAATAATCTTGATACCCTTAACACCTTCACCTAACTGTCTTATAGTAACCATGAAAGGCTCAGTAAGAGCCGGGTGAGAGCGAGGCATGTCTGGCACGTGTCCCTGTTCGTCCCTTGGCAAGGAGCCATTCGTTCTTTGCACGGTAATGGATGAGACATACGGTCTTGTTTGGGGTAGACAGGTCGAATAGGATGGCCCCGCAGCTTTCGACGAATTGGTCGGAGGTGTATTGGGTGGTGGTGTTGGGTGAATGCTGCCATGAAGGGTGGGTACTGTAGATAGAGAGTTAGTCTCAGTTGGATGATAAGTATACTAGATTATTATGATGTACTCGCTTTGGATTGGCATAGGGGAGAGTGGCTTGGAAAGGAAACTCGCTGGCATAGAGATTAGTTTGAAATAAAGTCAGATATTTACCCCTCATTATTAAGGGTGCCACGAAGTGACTTGAGTTGTCTGTCTCATATGGCGTCCTCTTAGTATACAGTTCCATACATGGCGGAGATTGAATGATGAAGTCGAAGACTACGGTGCGAGCCTTTTGCCAATAGAAGAAAAAGAGATACCTAGGTCACTACATTAGTGACCTGTATCCACTTTTACTCGTCCTCTTCCGGTGGATGACACGGTATAGCTCAATCCAGATGCTAACCAGACCAAAGACTTCGTGTTTTCATAACCAAAAACTCCTTATTCAAAGCTTACGGGGAGAGAGTATCACACTCCAACACAAAACACCATCTCTATTTGGCAGTCTACTAGTAGCCAGCCCTGGCGATGGAGTTCCCTTAGAATGCAAAACTAGTAATGACAGGACAGTATTCAAACTCCAAGCAGTCACCGAGCAGAAGCACACAGCCCTGTGTGGCAGGGTTGAACTTTTGGCCATCCGGACATTGAGGACCCTTGACCAGGACACACTTGTTCAGCACCTTGTCAAACACAGTATCGGTATCATCACAGACGGGCTCCTCCACAGCCACGCAGGTGTTCTTTTCCTTCTTGAAGCGCTTGCCCTCACCACAGTCCGGCTCATCTGGGGACCGGCAATCTTCCCCATCCCAGTAGGTGTCATCGGAGCATTTGGGTTCCTTCCTGCTGAAACAGTCTTTCCCTTGCAGAGTGCCATGCTCGCCACAGTCCGGCAGGTCTCCCGAGACGCATTGCCCGTTCTCCGCACGGTATCCGTCCGGGCACTCGGTCTTTTCCTTACTGCGGCATTGTTTTTCGAGCTCGCTCCACTCGTAGCCTTCCTCTGTGCACTTGGGCTTGACGTGTGTGATGCAGTCACCATTGGCAATCATGGTAGAGCCTGGCGGACATTCGGGACGGGATGATGAGACACAGCGACCTTGGAAATAACGAGTGTTGGGATCCGAACAGATGGGCTCCTGGCCCGTGAGACAGGCGCCGTCATGATAGATACCACTGGGAAAGTGTGGCATATCATCTACGAAGCAGTGGCCCTTTCCATCAAACTTGGCTTTGGGGTTCGAGCAGGCCGGTTTACGGTTGCTCACGCAGCGCCCGTTATCAGGGTGTGTCGACGGAGGGCACTCCAGGGGCCTGGTCGAGACGCACTGGCCGTTGACTAACGTCATGCCATCGGGACACACGGGCTCCTGCTCCGACTTGCATTGATTGTTCTGGTCGGCGGTATAACCGTTCGGACAGGTGGGGATTTTGTCGGAAACACATTGGCCGTCCTCAAGCCGAGTGGGAGGGCGACAGTGCGCTGGTCGGGGCTCAAGCTTGCATCGATCGCCCACAGGTTTCCATCCGGGGCGACATCCACCGCCGTTGTTCTGCGAGGAGCACAAGACTCCATCCCAGACCGAGCCTTTAGGACAGCACTGAGCGGTGTTCGCGGTTGGGTTGAAAGAAAGGTCATAGCCATCGCCGCATTTCGGGCCGTCGGATAGGATACATTTCTTGCCCTCTGGCTTCAGCCTTGTGTCTTCACAGACAGCACTGGTGGTAGAGAAGCACGAGTTGGTTTCTGGACTAAACTCTTCACCGGTGGCGAAGTGATCATATTTCTATTACTGTGATTGGAAAGGACGATGGCTATGTCCGCAATGATGGTGGTATCTTGGTTACTGGTGGAAGTGGGAATGATACGTTCCTCTTTAGTGATTTTAAGACTGCCTTCCTTCCCTCGGGAGTGAGTGGTGATGCAGTGATGAAGAAGGTTGAGCATGACGGCGATGAGTAGGAGCTTGTTGCTTAGCTATTTCTCTAACTTATCAGATATACAGAAATGTAAACTATCCCGATGCCCATTCTTTGAGAATGGCTGTATCCAAATTTCTATCAACCATATCCCGCTAATAGATCACTCTGTAGGAATGCTATCCTGTGCAAGAAATCCCATGTGTCTGTTACACTTGCCTTCATAGCCATGTTACCCCGTTTGTCTCAAAGCTAGGTGGTGCTATGACTCCTATCTATCTTCCTTGGGTATGGGATGACTTCGCAATAGCCGACTCGTAGACCTTCCTCTCATGCAAGGATCTAGTCCAGCCATGTGCGTCCGGCAACTCGATATTGGTAGTGATCTCTACACAAGAGTAGCCAAGTTCACCTAGCCCTATTTAACTAGTCTGATTTAATCTAAAAAAAAAAAAAAAAAAGAGAATACCAGAAATCCGCCATGCTAATCAGAATGTATCACTACTCTAGCGAACGAAGCTCCTGAAAAAGATCATCTAGTTTTGCCACGGCCATAATATTACCTTTGACTTTCATCTTTCCTGACAAGAACAGCTTCTGGCCATTTGCATCACCCTCGGCCCAGTCGCAAAATTCGTAATCGTCAATTTGGACGTAAGCTAACGGAGGCGGTTAACTCATCAGCGGCCTAGGTAGGAGACGAGATTGGAGCCAAGGCTAAGAGGAACTCACCACTCTGTATATTTATGCGTTTCCTATGGCTGGCTGAGTCCACGTCATGACTCAGTCGGTTGCAGATCATAGCATTATAGCGGTCAATGTACGAACCAGACGTGATCTGTTCATGCTACTGAAACTTTTCAGCTGGGACGATCTCTCATCCACTTCAGCCTGGAGCCAGCGCAACGTGGGTCTTGGCCACAATTTGGGTGTTTGAGCCTGAGCAGCTTTGCTTTTATCCACAGCGGTCATTACCTATCGTAGCTAAGGCTAAGATCGAGATCTCCCGCTTCTGGTACCAGAATTAAGGGCCGAATGGTGGGGATCGTAAGCCTTAGATCCGTGCCCATCCCTCGCTTATCGGCCTAGATTTCGCTAGAAGCTCCCAAAAGAGGAGTGGTAAAAGACGACCAACTCCAGTCACTCGCTCCTTTGAAGGTTTTATACAATTAATTTTATATAAGCCGGCATCTTTGGCCCTTACCCAATGCGGGGGTCAATAGGGAAAGAGACAAAGAAAGAACTTTAATTGCGTCAACCCTAACTGCCGACAGCTCTCAACGTTCATTATCCACAGACTATCCTTTGCTTCTATTGTACAGGCTTCCTTTAGGAGACAATAAGAACCTTTTATAGCTCAAACTCCCAGTGGCCAGACCAACCTAGAAGAATGTATCTCAGTCTAGTTACCATATACGCTAATGAGGTGAACCATGGATCTCGGCGACGATGCCTCGTTAGTCGCACTATCACAATGGTAATCAGTCTTGAACCCGACTGATGTTGGTGCTAAATAGCCATCGCACACGATGGCTATTCTTACTTCTACATAGTGCCAGCGTCAATAACTATTCCAATGAATCCCTCCCGGTATGTTGCTCCACCAGCTTGACTGAGCTCGCGTCTGATATGCCTCAACAGATGGTATTGCTTGCATATACTATAGGAGCCTTGTCCCTGGTTCTTCACCTTCTAGTCACAGCACTAGCAACCGAGCCCAGATACTCTGTTGTTGAACGCCTGGAAAAGATTCCGGATAACTGGGTAGATGTTGGGACGCCTTCCCCGTCAAAGCCGATCGAACTTCAGCTAGCAGTGCATCCTGAAAAAGTATCGGAATTTGAACAAAGGGTCATCGAAATATCTACTCCAGGAAACCAGAACTACGGATGTCACATGAGTCGTGACGAGATCCGAAACTTCTTATATCCATCTGATGTAGCTCCGCAGAAGGTCCTCTCTTGGCTTGAAGCTGCGCATGTACCTGCTGCATCTATCAACAATCAAGCAGGCTGGCTTAGTTTTACCGTTTCAATTTCGCAAGCAGAGCAGCTGTTGAGGACGCGGTTCTATATCTTTGAACACAAAAAATCGAAAGCAACCATAGTCAGGACTCTCAAATATTCGGTGCCCAAGGAAATTCGGTATTTTGTTCAGATGATTCAGCCAACAACCCGATTTGGGCAGCTTATGCCGCAAGCTGAGCCGCCACTCCTTCAAGCGCTGCCTGTCACCCTCAAAGATCCAGTTGCAGGCTGTTCATCAATAGTCACCCCTAGCTGTCTCCGCGACCTCTATGGAATCCCTGATTCCAAACCCAAGCCAGACCGTCATAACAGGCTGGGGGTATCTGGGTTCCTGGGTCAGTATGCACGCTATAGCGACTTCCATCAGTTCTTGCGCCTCTATGCACCGAATATCACAGACACTAACTACACCGTGGCGCTCATCAACGGTGGCCTCAATTTGCAAGATTCTGTGGAGGACAGTTCCGAGGCAAGCTTGGACATCCAGTACGCTGCTGCGCTAGCCGACAACCCCTTCACCACCTTCTATAGCACCGCCGGGCGTGGCCCTGTCATCCGTGAATTAGGGCATGATGACGCAGGTGACCCTCACGAGCCGTACCTGGAACAGCTTCGCTATCTGTTAGATCTCCCCGATGACGAATTGCCTTCTGTCCTAACTACGTCATACGGTGAATTAGAACAGAGCGTGCCCGAAATATATGCGAGAACCACATGTAACATGTTTGCTCAGCTGGGAGCGCGCGGAGTGTCTGTGATCTTCAGCAGCGGCGATTCGGGCGTCGGGGAGTCTTGTATAACGAACGACGGGACGAAGCGGACCAGGTTCCAGCCACTTTACCCGGCATCATGTCCTTTCGTTACGTCCGTGGGAGGCACCTACGGCAGGGGGCCTGAAAGGGCGATTGGCTACTCCACAGGCGGTTTTTCAGAGTACTTCCCGCGTCCTTCCTACCAGGATGGCAGTGTCCACCAATACCTCAGTCAACTGGAATCCAGATGGGAAACACTCTACAATCCCAATGGAAGGGCGATTCCCGACGTTGCTGCTCAGGCGGATCATTTCATCATCATGGACCATGGACAGCTGCTGAAGACTGGAGGCACCAGGTTTGTCACTATAAATTGATTGTTCAGATACGGAGCTGACTGCTGCCCAGTGCCGCGGCGCCTGTATTTGCTGGTATTGTCTCCCGGCTGAATGCGGTTCGACTGGAGAATAACAAGCCGCGGCTGGGGTTCCTCAACCCTTGGCTCTATTCTCTCAACCAGACGGGGTTTACCGACATCGTCGATGGAGGATCGGTAGGGTGTTTTGGCGATGTTGGGCGGGAGGTGCCAGATGCAAGCTGGAATGCAACCGCCGGGTGGGATCCCGTCACAGGACTTGGAACGCCTTACTATGAGACACTCCTTGAACAGGCTATGTCTGTATAAAAAGACGGCAGTCGTCGCTTAAGCCATCAGCATGGGGTCTAGAATTGTATAGTTCGAATCCATATTTGTATATAGTGTTTGAGCATGTCTTTATATAGACTGTTCCTGCTGTGGAATATCGGAATTCCAGAATCCACTAGTTTCTTATTTTTCCTTTCCTTTCCTTTCCTTTTCTTTTCTTTTCTTTTCTTTCTTTCTTTTTTTTTTTTAACTACTATCTTTCGATAATTGCTCATTTGTATGTAATGGAAGCATAAAGGCGGCGATGTGGCACACCGCCCCACGTGACGCGTGCCAAGAGATGCGCTGGAGAAGCTCTTGGAACTGCTGCTGTCATCGTCAACCATCCTCGTCCATCTATCACGAAACCACTCCTGATCTTTCTCCGTACGCTTCAACCTCTTCCAAACTTCGTCACTTTATTTCCGTTCGCTTCCCGAGTCGTCTTCACCCCCTTCAGTCCACATCCCAAATTAGACCCATTATGGCAAACGGTGCCGACCTCCGGACCCAGGTCTCCGAGCTTCACAACGCTCTCAATCGGAAACAGTTCGATGCGGCCAACGACCTTCTCAGTCGCGCCAAGCGGACCCTCCTTCTGCAGAATGCCCTCATCCCCACATCGTCGACATCACCGGAGCTGATTGCCCTTGCCCGGGAGGTGCTGGAGCTCGGCGCTCTGTCCTCCATCCGCCAAACCGACGCACCCTCTTTCACACGCTACTACCAGCAGCTGCAGCCTTTCTACGACCTGGAGAGAGACAGCGCCAATGCCGGAAAGGTGGACTTCAAGACCAGTCAACGCAGCAAGATCACGGGGCTATACCTTCTGCTGTTGCTGAGCATGGGCGACAGCACGAGTTTCCACACAGTCTTGGAGGGTCTGGTTGAGGAGGCGAGTCTGAAGGGCAAGAGCATTGAGGACGACCCATGCATTAAGTACCCGGTGGAGCTGGAGAGAAACTTGATGGAGGGCAGCTACGATAAGGTGTGGAGAGAGACCAAGTCCGAGAGAGTTCCCTCAGAGGATTTCGGCTTGTTCTCGAATGTACGTGCTACTGTTCCTTCCCTTACCCGTGTCGGAGCCCAAACTGACTGTCCCGGTTGATCAGGTTCTGGTTGGAACCATCCGCAGCGAAATCGCCGACTGCTCCGAGAAGGCGTACCCCTCGCTCCCCATCTCCAACGCCAAGAACCTTCTCTTCCTCGAGTCGGAGGGCGCGGTCATTGAGTTCGCTCAGCAGCGCGGATGGGTGCTTCGTGACGGACGGATATACTTCCCTGTTGAGCCGGAGGCCGCGACGCGGTCCGAAAAGGACATCCTGGTGGCCAGCACCGCAATCATCGAAAACGCGATCGGCTACGCTCGCGAACTCGAGACGATTGTTTAATGTAATAGATTTAGTCACGGATCTTTTTTTTGCCTGGGGGTTTATCTCTTGTATACCGTCGCCTTGCATGATGAATTTATCGAGCGCATCACTTATGACAATTAACAAACATCTTTTTATACATTGACCCGCCACAAGCAGAGTCTCCGGTCGTAGAAACTACTCGAGATACAGAGCAGCTCCGACATGTCCTTGCCTTGCAGATCATACCCGCCGTCCGGCTTCCACACATCAGACGCATAGTTCATACTCTGATGCTCCGTAAACTCCGCCAACACCTCAATCTCCCACCCAGTGGCCTCTCCCACCGTGTGCGTAACCTTGACCACTCTCGTGCCCGCATGCATACAGCTCGCCAGCACCAGGAACTTCCACTCCTCCCCAGCAGCCAACACACCATGGTCCGTCCTCAGCAACTGCAACCGCCACACGCCACCCCCCAAACCCACCTCCGCCAGCACCTCCCCGCGTCGCGTCGCATGATACACCCGTAGAGACTCATCATAACTCCCGGTCAGGACGACCGGCGCGCCTCCCTCCACCGCAACAGACAGGGGCAAGATAGCCGTAACACCAGCGGTATGATGGCGGGCACGATCATTATAATCGCTAACAACCGGCGCCAGCAGCTCTCCCTCTTCCCCTTCCCCCTTCTCCCCCTCCTTCTCACACAGAAACCGGCGCGTATGCAACCCTCCAAAATCATCCCCCGTAAACATAACCGGCTCCCTTCCCTCACCATCCGAAAGAACAGCAACAGCAACAAACCACACCTCAATGCTCTCCCGCGCCGCAAAACACCCCACCTCCACCAGCCCGCTCTCCGCATCGGCTCCGTCCGAGATGCCCTCGGGCGCGCCGAAGACGCTCGTCCGGCCATCCGAGAACGTGACCGCGACGCCGTCCGCGCGCTCGGCTGTCAGCCATGATGCAGGCGTCCACGCCAGGAATAGCGCCGGGATGCTCGGGTCCTCGTGCACGGCTTTCGTCCACAGCGGCCGGATCTCGGGTTCCCCTCCCGAGGGCAGCGAGACCCGGAACAGCGATACCGATGCCGAGCTGGTCGCGATGGCGAAGAGCGTGGGGTCCGTTGGGTGGAAGTGGAGGTCGAAGACTGCGTGAGGGAGGGGGAGAGTTTGGATGCGGGTTCTATTGTTTGTTAGTTATTTTATTTTATTTATCATTTTTTTTTTTTTTTTTTTTTTTTTTTTTTTTTTTTTTTTTTTTTTTTTTTTTTTTTTTAGTTATATATAAGTAGGGTTTTGGGTGAGGGGGAGGAGGGGTTTCTATAAAATAGTGAGTAAGTGGGGTAGCCTACAAAGTATTCGTCTCCGCGGTCAACTGCCACAGCTGCAGACTGCCGGTCTTGGTCTGTTGGATGGTGTCCTTGGCTTCATCTTTCGTCTCCGTGAGCAGGTATGTGCCTATGACGATGTGGTTGGGCGATGCCGGACAGGTTTGCAGACAACTGGGCGGTTGGTCCAGGTAGACCGTGGTGGCCGATTGAGGGGTTTGGGGCATTTTGGTTGAGTATAGTATAGTATAGTATAGTATATTTTGATGTCGGTATCTAATCAATGGGCTCTATATTTAGGTGCATAAGAGAGCATGATTTAAGTAGGTAGTTCTATTTGTGGTGCTGTGGGCGGTGAAGTGTTTAATTTTTTTTTTTTTTTTTTTTTTTTTTTTAATTTTAATTGATGTTAAGTGAGTGAGTGAGTGATTGGTCAATATATATAGACTGTTGGCCATGATTGATCTATGTCTGTTCTATAGTGATTGAACAATGGCTGTTCTCTACGAGTGTGTACTTAGAGATGTCATATTGGTGACATGTGTAATGACGAGGACATGGCTTGAACATGAAAGAAATCAATTTAATCTATAATATAATAAGTCGTCTAAACCGTCATAATACCATCTACAACCGCGTGTACACTGTGTTGATCCCCCCCGTCGTAATCATCTTAATCGTCATGTAGTCGTCAAGCCCATACTTGCTGCCTTCACGTCCCATCCCGGAGTGCTTGACGCCGCCGAATCTAGAGCCAGTTAGTATATATTGAAAGCATAGGGTTAATCAAAACTTACGGTGCCGGTGCGTCGGATATGGCACCAGTGTTGATCGCAACCATGCCGAACTCGAGTCTCTCCGAGACCCGGTGCGACCTGGCCAGGTCGCTCGTGATGAGATACGACGCCAATCCGACCTCGCAGTTGTTCGCGCGCTGGACGACTTCATCCTCGGTCGTGAACTTCATCAAGGCGGCTATAGGCCCGAAGGTCTCCTCCTTCGCCACCAGCATGCTATCGTCGGCATCGCCCAGGATGGTCAGCTCGTGGAAGTTCTTGCCCAGCGACGGCAGCCGGTTGCCGCCCAGAAGAACCTTGGCCCCCTTGCTCACCGCGTCCTTGATATGCTCCTCCACCTTGGCCACGCCGTTGGTCAACGGGCCGTGGGTCACAGAGGCATCCTCCAACCCGTTGCCCACCTTGAACTTGCTGACCTCCTCGACGAACCGCTGCGCGAATCGCTCGTAGATGCCTTCTTGCACGAAGATCCGGTTGGCGCACACGCAGGTCTGGCCGGTCACCTTGAACTTGCTGATGAGCGCGCTGCTGATGGCCGTCTCCACGTCGGCGTCGTTGAACACAATGAACGGCGCGTTGCCGCCCAGCTCCAGGCTGAGCTTCTTCAGCGTGCTGCTAGACTGCTTCATCAGCAGCTTGCCGACGCGCGTCGACCCCGTGAAGGAGATCTTCTTGATGACATCCGATTCGCACATAGCCAGGCCCAGCTGGGGCGTGTTGTCCAGCGCCGTCACAACGTTGAAGACACCCTTGGGCACGCCCGCGCGCTCCGCCACCACCGCCATCGCGTTCGACGCAAAGGGCGTCAGGCCGTCCGACTTCATCACGACCGTGCATCCCGCGGCGAGGGCCGCCGCGACCTTGCGCGCGCCCATGGCCAGGGGGAAGTTCCACGGCACGATCAAGCCGCACACGCCGACGGGCTCTTTGATCACTCGCGTCCGGCCCGCGGCGCTGCTGTGGGGGATGATATCGCCGTAGATCCGGGGCGCCTCCTCGCCGAACCACTCGAAGAAGCTGGCGGCAAACATGACCTCGCCCTCGGCGTCGGCCTTGGCCTTGCCGTTCTCGGCGGTGATGATCTTGCCAATGTCCTCCTTGTTCTCGACCAGGAGATCCGCGATGCGACGCAGGATCCGGCCCCGCTGACGGCCTGGCACGGACCGCCAGGTGGGGAATGCTTGGGCGGCGGCCTCGATGGCCACGTTCAGGTCGTCCAGGGTGGATTCAGGGGCCACGCCAACCTGTGCTTCGTTTGCGGGGTTCGTAACATTGAATGTGGCGTTGGAGTTAGAGGATACCCACTGGCCATTGATGTAGGAGCGTTCGACGAAGAGACTGGTGTCCTTCAGGATGGATGCGAATGATGATGCCATGGTGGATTGAGTATTTGGTCAATCGCAATTATCTCTGCTTGCGACTCGTAGAGTATACATTTCGTCGAGGGGTGTCCTTGGACTATATATATCTCTTCCATCGCGTCTTATACTCAAAACGGTAAGGGAAATGAGAGCTCGGCTGATCCGCAATCCTGGGGAAAGAAACCTGGCATCGGGAAGCCCTTCCGATGATCGATGGAACCCGAGGGTAACGATCCAGATAGGGTCAAATTGCCGTGCCCGTAGATCGGAACGGAGTTAAGATGGTATTAACTTGATGACATTTGCAACTGTGGGGTTCCCCATCTCCTGGAATCTTTCTAGGGCACGGATACTGTATGTTCTAGGTCATGGATATGTTCTAGGGTATGTTCGAACAGAACAAGATCTGTGAGCCATGCGATATGATCTGACTCGATGTCTTCGTCAGAATTGATGCAGTCAGACTCGGTTTTGTTCGTATTAGAAATCAATCGTGCCTATGAATCATAATCCCATTAATCATCAACTTCCCCGCATTAGCCTTATCGTACACAGTATACAACCCAGCGTAGACTGAGCATTGGACGGACTTCAACAGTTACCCTACTTTTGCTACCACTTCCTCCAGTATTTCCTGTAGATCCATAGACCATGTCTGCACCCTTCAGCCAAGTCCCCTCTACGGCGAGGATTACCCCACACCCCTTCACGGTGTCCATTCCTCAGGAGCCGCTGACCGAGCTCCACACGTTGGTGAAGCTGTCGAAGATAGGCCCTCGGACATACGAGAATTCCCAGCCAGACGCCCGCTTCGGCATCACGTCCGAATGGCTCACGGGGATCCGAGAAAAGTGGCTGAATGACTTCGACTGGTATCGTCAACTCAATAGACTCAAGTACACACTCCCTTCAGGGTATAGAGAACCTGACTCCGCGTAGGAAAGCGTGCGAAGCTCGGATCAACGACTTCCCTCAATTCACAGCCGAGATTGACGAGATCCGGGTGCATTTTGCGGCCCTTTTCTCAGAAAACCCTGATGCAGTGCCCATCGTGCTGCTCCATGGATGGCCCGGTATTGTAACATCTCTATCTATTCGGTTTCTTGTGTAGACTAGACTCACAGGCTGTCACTCTGCAGGCAGCTTCCTGGAATTTCTCCCCCTGCTCCAGCTGTTCCGCGATGAGTTCTCCCCCAGCACCCTACCGTATCATCTCATCGCCCCGTCCCTGCCAGGCTATGGCTTCTCCTCTGGCCCCCCGTTGGACAGGAACTACAGCTCTCACGATGCCGCCCGAGTCATCGACAGATTGATGAAGGACCTGGGATTCGAAAGCGGATATATCGCCCAGGGAGGCGATATCGGCAGCCGGATATCGAGGATTCTGGCCGTAGACTATGCCAGCTGCAAAGGTTCGTGGGTGTCTGTAGGTGTGTGTGTGTGATCTTCAGCACGCTAACGGTTACACAGCGGTTCATTGTAAGTTTCTTCAGCACCCCCAAACATCAGTATAGCATGGAGAAGACCAACTGCAGCAGTGAACTTTTGTGCGATCGCCACACCCCCACCGGGCGTGTCGGACGTGGACCTTACTCCCTTCGAGAAGAAAGGGCTAGCCCTCCGAGAGGAATTCCTGACCTCGGGCCTCGCATACGCCCTCGAGCATGCCACGAGACCAAGTACCATCGGTCATATCCTCTCTTCGAGCCCTCTTGCTTTGCTCGCGTGGTAATGCCCCCCCCCTTTCCTCCGGTAGAGAAAAGTACAAGCCTAACTGAGACGCAGGGTCGGCGAGAAATTCCTCACCTGGGCTGACGAGCCTCTTCCCTCGCAGACAATTCTGGAGTTCGTCTCGCTCTACTGGCTGACGGACACTTTTCCGCGGGCGATCTACCCTTATCGAGAGGTATGATCCAGTTGGATGTCGTTTGTCAGGGCTAATACGTGGTACTTAGGAGCTCCCCGTGTCGCCAGAGAAAAAGCCTCTGCGGTACATTCAGAAGCCGCTGGGGTTCTCCTACTTCCCTGTGGAGCTGTTCCCCGTGCCCAAGAGCTGGGTCGAGACAACGGGGAATCTGGTCTTTTGGAGGGAACACCAGCAGGTATGTGTTTCATGTTCAGAGAGAGAGAGAGAGAGAGAGAGAGAGAGAGAGAGTCGTTTGCTGACTGTTTGTTGTGCAGGGAGGCCATTTTGCAGCTCTGGAGAAGCCGAAGGAGTTGAAGGCTGATTTGACGGCGTTTGTGGAGCAGATTTGGGGGAGGGAGTAGATGAGATTATTATTATCACAGATACTCACGAGTTAGGCAGTTTATATAACTGTGATTGTTGTCCACAGAGAAGCACTTTCTCCCGAAGATAGTGGTTGCGATGCGTTTAATCTGTAGTGTTCTATATAAACTACAAAGAGTAAATAAATACCCCACATCCACCCCGGCAGATCAACCACTAGAAAGCTCTAGCCCCAAGCTATCGCGACAGGCAAGACTCACTAAATCAGTCCATACTGTTGTACAACATGTCCGACACATCACAAAACCAATTCTCACCTCACTCCACGCCGAGACGTCTCGCCATCCCCTAGCACCCCTCCCAACTATTTATATTGTAAATCCCACCCATACACACCACAATCAACTCACATCCCCAACTCAACATGCCACGACCAAAACGCCAAACGCGCACGACGGACATGTCCATCCTCGACAGCAACGAGTTCTTCTCCGACGAGTCGAGTTTTTACGGTTCGTGTCGTCTCCTTATAAGTTAACTACTACTAGTAGTTAACCAGTAGTTATTTATTTTATTTATCATATGACATCATCCCCCCAACAACACAAAACTAACTAGAAACTAAAAGGCTCCGAAGACGAAAAAGCCCGCCTGGAATATCTCGCCAAAACCTACGACCCGGGACCCTACTGGGAAACCATCCATCCGACTCTCTACTCCACAATCCAACATGACGCCCTAGCTGTCTCCAAAAAACAACCCATATCCGAAAACAACCCCCCAGCCAAACCCAAACCAAGCCCGCACCCTGTCCACTTCGAGCCCGAAACACCCACATCCACTGCTGCGCACAACGCTCGCACACGCAACGAATCTGTTCACGACTTCCTGGCCCGGTTACCGCCCTCTGAAACCGAGGCGGCGGATGTTGGACCGTGGATCTATGTCGATCATCCCGGGGCGCCGCAGGGGGAGAAGGATATTGCCGGGTTGGTTGGGCGGGGGACGGAGATGTTGAGGGCGTTTGAGGAGAGGAAGGTTGCGGTGGAGGTCGAGATGGAGGGCGCTTCGGCGCTGGCGCGGGGCCGGAAGTTGGTGCCGTTGCGGCGGGGGTTGGAGAGGGAGATCTTTGCGCTGGCGAGGGAGACCGGAGTGGTGTCGGGGAAGTGGATGTTGTTTCTTGGGGAGGAGGACGTGGATCGCGTTTGGGGCGTTGTGGTGGAGGAGACTGTCGAGGGTCGGTTGGGCTTTGCGGCGAAGGTGGCCACGCGGGATGGGCGTGGGAAGGCGAGGTTGTTGGCTATCTATACCCGGGATTTTGGGGATGTCGACGATGTGCGCCGGGTGTTGGAGCGGTTGGTCGAGCTGGAGTTGGTCAGGAGGGAGGATAGGCCCATCTATTATAAGTGTGATGCTTATACCTATCTGGAGATTACGAGTGGGAATTCGTATGGGTTGAAGGCGAGTATGTTTTCCAGTCGGGAGGTTTTGGAGCGAAAAGTTTGACATGTTTTCATCTGTGATGTATTGCATATCTGTCCATCTAATTATGATGATGATCATGCCGGTATGATCTGTCTGAGCTGCTGGGGCTCGTTGTCGATATCTAATGCGATATGAGATTGGTTTGTTGAGCTTGAGCTCAACCTTTTCCTGGCTGTCCCTGATATCGAAGTGATACCCGTAGGTGAACTAGCCGAGCCAGCAGTTGCTAGACGTTCCGATAAGGTTGTTCCATGTTTGATCAAGGTGGTCCGGTCGAGCAGTACTGTGCCATCCCAGCCTGTCAGAAGGCCAGTAGTATAAACAGTGATAGGAGGCATTCTTCCAGAGGCCAGTGACAAGTATTCACAAGGTAGCCCGACTCGAGGATCGGTTGATGCAGCCATCCTTCAGGAAGCGTCATCGCTCTTCTCCATGGCCTTCTCACAAGCCTCCCGGAGCTCCTGGACGCCTTTCACACCCTCCCACTTCTGGAGCAGCTCCCGCACCTCCTCCCAATCTTTCTCAGCCTCCTCCCGACTGCCGTCCGCAACAAGCTTCTCCAACCGAGCCGGCGTACCAAGCACCCACCTCACCGTCTCCTTCTCAGCCTTCTTGCGCTCCACCTCATCCGACGCCTTCGCCTCCTTCATCCGCCGTCTCTGCTCCTCCCCCTCCTGAATCAACCCCCCGGCCGTCTCCGCCACAAAAGCAATAGCCGGTCCCAACGTCTTGGTCATCGTCAACGGCGCCCCCCGGTCATCCATGCTCTGCCGCATCTTCCCAATAGTCTCCACCGCGCGAATCAACTTCGAGTAGTTATCGTAGACAAGCGCCTTGCGCTCGCTATCCAGCGTTTTGATATCCCCAACGAGGGTATTCTCCGCCTTCAGCACTGTCGACAGCGACGACGTAGCCAGGAGATGATTGACATAGTGTTGGGCATCGAAATCGGGACTATCGAGTTCCGTCCCGGTCTGGACGACTGACGGATTCGAGGTGTCCGCTGCATCGGTGGGTCGGGGAATGCTGCGGGATCGTCTGGCTCCCGGTATTTCGGCTGCCGAGGGTTTGAGGTTGTAGTAGTCGCGGAGGGCGGCGCGGTTGCGGCGTGGATGGAGGGAGGGGGAGACAGCACGCGCTGTGGAGGGGGTCGAGCTGGCGCTGAGGCTGAGGCCGACGTTGGTGTTGAGGGTGTCGAGAGATGGGCGGCGGGAGGATGCTGGGGTGGGCGAGTGGGCGCGTGAGGAGGTGATTGAGGGGCGGGGGGAGGAGACGGTGGACATTTTGATCGGTTGAGGCAGTCTAATGAGGGTGCAGGTTCAAGATACTCATATGTAAACACAACGGAGAGGTAAAGAGAAAGCGAGGTGTGGTCTGAAGGTAAAGAACAGCTAAGGAGGTTCAGCGGTGGTCCGTTCCCCGGATTTTGTTCCGCTGCGGAATAAATAAATGAAAATCAATGAAATTCAACTACAACACACAAATCACTGCACTTCTGGACCTCACTAATGGCCAATCCCGAAGAACAAATTGCCACCCAGCTCCTGAGCAGCAAGTCACTTCCGGTCTCAGCAGCATGGCTCAGTAATTTCATGGACTCGACTGCGCACCAGCGAAACGTGCCCCTCTCGGCCTTGACCCAGACGGCCTTATTTCGCATCCTTGCCTCGGACTTTAGAGATTCTCTCTCCACACGAACACCGTCGTCGCTCCTTCCCGTCGACGTCTTAGACCCCACCGTACAAGAAAGACGACTCCAAAGCTTGATCCCTGTCCAGGTCCTCGATATCGAGGACATCGGCGCGAGTCTCTGGAGCCAAGTGGAAGCCATTGAGCGCGTGGAACGCGGAGAGGCGATCCGAGGACGGGAGATTGTGCGGACGATTAATGTGGACGCAGACCCGGAGCAGAACGCGGAGGGTACCGGTGGGAATCGTACTTCTGCGCAGCCAGAAACGGGAAATAGCAATGGCCCGCACCGGTTGGTCGTTCAAGATGCAGCGGGGACGAAAGCTGTCGCTATCGAGTTGAAGCCGGTTAGTGGTATTGCGCTGGGGAAATTGCCCATTGGGGCTAAGTTAGTGTTGCGCAATGTGACGGTTGCTCGTGGGATGGTGTTGTTGACACCGGAATCTGTTACGCTCCTTGGGGGAAAGATTGATTCCTTGGACCAGACGTGGAGAGAGGGTAGAAAGGAGAGACTGATAGCACGGATCACGGAAATGCAGGGGGAGTAGAAGGCTTGAGAACGGGTTTACGACTACAAGGCCTGTCCTTGAGTAGTGTCTAAGGTATGTCGGGATGCTTCTATTTCATCACTCATGCTCTAACTACAGCAGACATGTTGCAGGATGCCCTGCTCGACTATCTATAAGCGCAACTCTCATCAGGCGGAAGCCATCACACTAGTTTGTTGCAGACACCGTGTGATTCAGTTCTTCCCACCCATGCTGTTTCCATGGGGCAATCATAATCGCCCGGAGTGCGTCACTCGCCTTTCCGGTCTGTGCATATGCGGTAGATAGGTCAACGGCGTCAAGGTTGCCCCGGGGTGGGACGCTGCGCAAAGCTCTCTTAACGCCCATCTCCGCGGGATATGGTTCATCGGAGGCTGCTGCCAATTCCATCCACCCCTGAGGCTGGTAAGGTGATCTCATCACGGCTGCCGCAGCTTCTCCAATGCGTCTTGTCTCCTCGGGAACTCCAGAGTTATCAGTGAACCCTAAGGTAGACATGGCTGTTAAAAGCTTGACCAACTTAGCCTGTTCGTGAATCTCAATATCATCTCTCGTGATCATAATCTGCAAGTCCGATTCGACGGCCTCAATGGCATCCTTGTCGGAATCGAGGATCGCGATGGCGCCCAGTAGTGTGACAGCCCCGACATGTTCGGGGTTGTTCTCCACACAGTCGAATAACTGCTGGCGAGCGACGGCCCGTTCCTCCTCGCCGCCTTTAGCCCATAGCACTTGTGCGAGAAGGCATACCACTTCAGGCGCATTGTCCGCTTCCTGGAGAGCGTCACGGAACATATCAATCGCACTGTCCATGTTCCGTAGATAATAATGCGCCAGGCCCGCGGTCAAGTGGGCTGACAAACGCAGCCTGCTGTTCGTTTCTGGATCGAACTTCTCGGCGTCTTCTTCCCCAGACAGCATGAGCGCTGTCTCCGCCTTTTCGGCGGCTTCCTCGAATTCCTGACGTGCAAGGAGGACACGAGCAATATCCGCGTTCGCCTGGGCGTATTTAGAGAGGGATGACGCTGACTCCGACACCTCGTATTCTGCCTCTACGGCGGTACAGAGGGCCCGTAGGCTGGCTTCTGCGTCTGACAGTTCGCCAATTCTCTCAGCCAAAAGAGAGGACAGATGCACGAAGGGTAAATCGGACGGATCTTGCGAACAGAGCTGGTGGAGTGCAAAGAACGGTTGGATCAGCTCTGAAACCTCATTCGAAGCCGACGAATCTGACATAAGATGATCGAACAAGCTCAACGTGTACTGCTTCTTAGGCAATGGAACTGACGAGTTGGAGATATCAAAGGCATGCTCAAACAGACCCCTGGCTTCCCGTGGGTCACCGAAAAGAAGTGCAAGGAAACCTTGCCCAATCCAAGCTTGGGAATTGTCTGGATCTGTAGATTGCGCTCGAGTAAAGGCTTCGTTTGCAAGCTGGATGTCATTGTGGATGAGGTAAAGTGCCCCCAGGTTGGTCCAGACTTGCGCAGTTCTGTCGTTGAGATGAAGACTTCTCACAAAGGCATGTTGTGCGACCTTCGGGCTCATACTGGTAGTCACTACACCAAGTGCGTTCCAGAATTCAGAGTTCCCAGCCTCCAGCTCAATGGCCCGTTTGAAGCATCGGATTGCGGCCTTCAAAAACTTTCGCGATTGCTTCTTGCCTTGGCCCGTAGACACTTGCATACATCTGAATGCCCTGTATTCTGACCAGCCAAGGTTATACCAAGCAACCGCCTGAGCATGAATGTCCTGTGCTGACACATGGATGGCGCGCTTGTATGCCAGAATCGAGGCGTACATACATCTATCCGATAGACTGCAGGTCTCATCATCTGCATTTTTCAATTCTGACAGACGATCTTGTCCGACCTCATCGACATCTGTAAGGATGTCGAAGACTGCAGACTCAAGCTGAGTAGAGAGTAGTTTCTGTACTTCATTGATTGGGGCTCTTGCAGCCTTCGACTTGACATAGGAGAAGATTGAGCAGGCATCTCCTACACCTTTCCATAAATTGAAGATGTCGACCCTTTCCAGGGCTAGAGATGTTGCTACAAGAATCGCTTTACGGGCAAGTTCAATGCAGTCGTTGAAAAGTCCCTGGTCGAGGCTCTTCCAAGAGCTTTCCGTGAGTGTATGGAGTAGTGCAATAGACACGCCGAACTCATTCGGATGGATGCTCAGGACATCCTCATATCTCGCAATAGCATCGTCGTAATCTCCAAGCTCCCGCTTGACATTCGCTAGCATGTACCGTGCGAACCAGACTTGTTCCTTATCTGAGTTGGAAAGGGAGTCCTCCAACTGTTGGGCGTGCTCGAACGCTTTCGTAGCGGCAATGTAACGGCCGGAATGGTGGTAGCTCTCTCCTAGGCCAACCCATGAATGATAATCGCCGGGTGACAGTCTTAAAGCTGCCTGGAATGAGACGATACTCTTGGCATATTGCTGCTTGTTAATCTGGACAGTGCCCAAAGCAGCATATGGCCAGCTGTAACCCCGTCGTTTCGATCCCGGTGCAGGTTTAGCTTTGCCGGAATCCACAACACGTTGTGACAAAGCTTCAACAAGATCCCACTCTTTCTGATCCGCAAATGCCTTTGCGAGCCTCTCCGCTGCTTCGATCTCGGATGGCGATAGCTCAAAGGCTTTGTGGAAGCATCTTCGCGCCCTGCCCTTGTCCCTCTTGTAATCGGCGTAGAACAACCCGAGACTAGTGTAGGCAGGTGCATAATTAATGTTAGTCTGGATTGACGCAAGGAAATTAGCGTAGGCACCATTGCGGTCCTTGCGTGCGGCAGGTGATGGATCCAACTCCCACTGACAATAACCAATACGATAAAGAGTTTCTGATTTAAAATCTCTATTCTCCGAATCCGAGTTTTGTAGTTCTTCAAGCACATCTTGGAGGCCATGAAGTCCAGAGGTCAGATCACCGGTTAGTGCCCTACTCCAGGACAGCTCGGCACGAACCTTGAGGTTCGATGGGTCTCGTGCCAGAGCACGCTCCAGGAAGTTGACGGCCTCAGTATAATCCTCGTCTACCTTGAGAATAAGCCCAATCCCAAGTAGACAGCTCGTGGATTTTGGATTTCTTTTGAGGATTTCTTCGAATATGATTTTGGCCTCAGTGTGGTTCCGGGGCGACTGATAGTAGATCAGGGCGTTTGCAAGGGCAATATTCATACAATCAGTGGTCTTTTGAAGCTTCATGCCAGACATCTTGACCAGATCTTGAATGTTGCGAAGTCCTTTGCGAGACACATCCACAACGCTCTCGTACTCTTCAAGGGTCAAGTAAAATTCACCCAAGATGCGATGCGCAACAATTGAGGATCCAGACATCTCAAGTCCTTCGACCATCAACAAAATACTGTCTTGAACACCGAGTTCATTCGTCTCGTCACTTTCATCCTCGGCGTCCTGTTCCTTTGCCTTAGAATCTTTGTCCTTCGCCTTGGGGTCTTTGGTCTCCTTTGGGAATGGTGAAAGGTTGCTGGCCAGGAAACCTTTCAGGACTCTAGTAAGACCCGCTTCTGGGAAGAATTCGATAAAGTCTTGTAAAAAGTTGTGATCCCACTCTGAGAAGCTTTGGATATCTTGCCATTCAAGAAAGATTCTCCACGCGAGCTCGAAGGGGTGCTTGATAATGACCATATCGCGAGCTGCCACCCACACCTCCTCGCGCTTCGCTTTCTTTTCGTTTGCCGGAAGAACTGCGAGAACATCGCAGCCCCGCTCTAATATCTTCTCTTCATATGTACGCCGGACCTCATCGTCATGGCTCCAGTCCACAATTCCGCGATAAAGCTGTTCGAGTTCGCTCCGCCTGAAGGCCTCCCTCTTCACTTCCAGTGTAACTTGTTCAATGCGCGCACCCAGTCGTGTACGTCTTTCTCCTATCTCTCTGTTTATGAATTCTTTTTCTTCCGCTTCGGTCATCTCTATGAGGCGAAGATAGGTATGCGCAGGATGCGGGATGAGACCCTCTAGGACATCGTAGATGGGACTCGACGGTAAATGTAGTTCGAGGGCCTTTCGACATTGAGACCGTGTGCCATTTTTCTTTGTGAATTTGACATATTTATCAACAATTTCTTCGCAGCGTCGACGGTCATTTCTGGAGAGGGGTCAACTTGTGTTCTACCAAACAGCTAGAGGTGAGACAAATGGTGAACCTACGCCTCAGCAAGGATCTGGCAAAGTTTGATAACCGCCTCGCGATAAGAGTCTAGTCTGTTGTTTCCTTGCCTTTCATACAGACTGATCAGTCCTTGCCATGCTATCTTGTCGTTCTCTTTCGCACGGGTTGCTGCGAGGTAGGCATTTTCCGCATCTTTTGTCTTGTTGAGTTTATCGAGCGCAAGACCTAGGAAAACATTCCTAAAGACCGAATATACGTCAGCGGAGAATATCCCAAGAGTAGAAACCGGGTTACATACGCGTGGTAGTTTTGAGGTTCTTGTTGCACAAGAGCTTTGGCTTTCTCGGCCGCAAGCTCGAAGTCTTTCGAGTCTAGTGCTGTTCGCACCGCTTTCAGGGCTGCCTTGCTTGACATTCTAGTCCAATTGCTGCATAGCCTTGCGCCAGCAGTTGGAGAAAAGTATCTGGCAGATCGCAGACCAACAAACAAGCGACGGTTGAGAAGAAAGCCAAGTTGGGCAAATGTTCGGTTTGTGGGGAAGCCGAGCGGGCGGCGGGTGGTGATACGTCAGAGGGCCGATCTCGTGGCTGCTTATCGCCCCAGGCCGTAAGCACCCATCCGTCCATCTACTCACGGAGTACCCCCTTACGGCGCTTGGGAAGCGGTGTGGAACTGAGCTCTGGATCTTTTACGTCTTTCGAGATCCTTCAGATTGTATTTTCCCGGTCGCTGTAGGACGGTAAGCGTGGATCTCATCGGCAATGTATCATTGCTGAACTATCCCTCCTAACTTATCAGTTCCCATAGGTCCCGGACTAGCATTCTATGCTATTTTAAACCAAAACGTACTATTTCATAACTATACTCGCTGTTTCAGATAATCATGGGAGCTCCCCGGCTTCGAATCGAAGGCGCAACCTTCAAAGACCCAAATAATCGAGAAATTACGCTTAGAGGCATCAATGTCGCCGGAGAATCCAAGTACCCCAAGAGCCCTGATACCCCTTCCCATGTGCCCGACAAGTTTTTTGAGGCCGACGACGTTTCATTCGTTGGTCGCCCATTCTCGCTGGATGACGCACATACGCACTTTGCAAGGCTACGGAAATGGGGCTACAATACCATAAGATATATTTTCACCTGGGAGGCTATAGAACACGCGGGTCCTGGGAAGTATGATGACGAATGGATTTCCTTTACCATCGAAGTTCTTCGAATCGCGAAGCAATACCAGTTCTACGTGTTCATGGACCCTCATCAGGATGTGGTATAGTTCCCTCCAGGCGCACTCAGTGCCGGTGCGCATTTGCTGACAACATCCAGTGGTCCAGATTATCGGGAGGATCCGGTGCACCGGGGTGGACTCTCTATGCAGCGGGGCTTAACCCAAGGACTTTCAAGAAGACCGAAGCGGCTCTTGTTCAGAATACATATGACAACCCGGCAGAGTTTCCGAAGATGATCTGGAGCACGAATTACACCCGTCTTGTCTGCCAGACAATGTTCACCCTGTTCTGGGCTGGCCGGGACTTTGCACCCAAGGCAATTATAAATGGTGTGAACATCCAAGACTACCTGCAGGGTCACTTCATCGCTGCATGTAGATATTTTGCGCAGAAAATCCACGAGGCCGGTGATCTGGAAAATGAAGTAGTTATCGGATGGGAAAGCATGAATGAGCCCCATAGAGGGCTCATTGGTGTTCAGGACATATCAGTGGTTCCGCCTGACCAACAACTTCAACTAGGGACGTCCCCTACTGCTTTCCAGGCAATGTTAACTGGATCTGGACGAGCGTGTGAGGAGACGACGTGGGCATTCGGTGGCTTTGGCCCTCATCAGACTGGTCGGGAACTCGTGGACCCCGAAGGCGAATTGGCATGGCTGCCTGCAAGTTATGATGATCACAAATATGGCTGGAAACGAGATCCGGAATGGAAATTAGGCGAGTGTCTATGGGCACAGCACGGTGTCTGGGATCCGTCAACGGACCGACTACTCAGAAAGGACTATTTCGCTAAGAAACCTCAAAGCGGCGAACCATTGAATTACGATGTCTTTACGAACACATATTTCATGGAGCATTATAGGGCGTACAAGGATGCCATTCGAAGTGTATGGCCCGAGTCCATCATGCTTTGCCAGCCCCCTGTCATGGAAGTCCCCCCTGATCTCAAGGGCTCATTTGATGACGACCCCAACATGGTTCATGCCGTACACTACTACGATGGCCTGACCTTGTTGACAAAACATTGGTAAGTCGTGTTGCATTGCAGCTCGTCAGCTTGCCACTAATCGTTCTGCAGGAATCGACTATACAACGTCGACGTAATCGGCGTGCTTCGTGGAAAGTATCTCGCGCCAGCATTTGCTGTGAAGATTGGGGAGACGGCGATCCGGAATTGCCTGCGTGACCAGCTCAAATATCTCAGAGAGGAGAGCCTACGGTTTATGGGAGATCACCCCATGATATTTACGGAAATTGGAATCCCATATGACATGGACGACAAGCATGCGTACAAAACTGGTGATTATGGGAGCCAGATAAGTGCAATGGATGCCAACCATTTTGCCCTGGAAGGCAGCATGGCCAATGGCTTTACGCTGTGGCTTTACACAACACAGGTAAAGGGCCCCTCCATTCCCGGCTGACATGTTTCCTCGAGCACCGAATAGCTAATTCAGGCTTCAGAACAATCATGAATGGGGCGATAACTGGAACGGCGAGGACCTCTCGATCTTCTCTCTCGACGACCCCGAGCTGCCGAGCGGTAAGCTGTTAGCGATTGAAAGCGCATCACGTTCGCGGTCTGACCCTCATTCTCCAGCCTATTCAGAGAGTCAGAGTAACATGGAAGATCAGCACGTGGGTCCCTCCAATCTGAAAGACGCGTTGCGACCAGCCTCCATCACTTCCGACATCTCTTCTCAGATGTCCAAAGACCACAACGGCTTTCGCGCCGCGGAGGCCTATATTCGCCCAAGTCCGATTTTCACCAACGGCTCTCTCACACACCATGGCTTCGATTTACGGAATTGTACTTTCACCATGTCATTGGAGGCCAAAGAAAAGGCCGTCCGAGGGGATCAACCCACCGAAATCTATTTGCCTGACTTCCACTTCCCGGAGATACAATCCGTGGTGTCTGTCAGTAGCGGGGAGTGGACAATCGACCATGCAGAGATTGACTCTGTGAACATCCAACGACTTCGGTGGTGGCACCCTGAAGGCAAGCAGGACATCAAGGTGCAGGGAGTCAAACGCAAGCCAGGCGACCTAGCTAAAGTCTCCGGAGAGGATATAACCTATCTGGAACAATGCCAACGTGGAGCCTGTACTGTGATGTAAGGCGGATTGACCTGAAATATCGCTCAGCTTTGACGGTGGTTGGCGCATTGGGCGTTATGACATCTTTTGTTTATTGCTGCGCCGAATCATGGCAGTTTGTTCTTTGGCTTTGTTTTCTCCGATGAAATAAAGGGGAAAAGAATGCCAATGATTTAAAGTTTCTTGATCAGATAACAAGCGTCAGGGGTAACGACTTGGAAGTAGGCCTGAGGCTGAACCAGAATGAGAATTGGATTTAACGAAACCAAAGTGATAAATGAAAAATTGAGCAATATAATTGTTACTGTGATATTCACTCGGTTGTATCTTGTGAATTGCATGGACCCGAGTCGACTACTAGAACGGAGTAGTACTATAGAGAGAACTTAGAACCAGAGAACGAGTATAAATAGGAAGCGGTGTGGGCGGAACCCCTCCGAGAGTCGGTGTGGTGATTGGAGCGGCAGCGCGTGGAAAATTCAGTGAAAGCATCTGAAAGGGTAAAGGTGGGTGGGTGTTTGCCTGATTATTCTTGGTTGCTTTACTTTTTGGTTCCCTCTTTCCCAATCACAACAACCGCCCGCCTCCTGTCTTAGAAGGACTACTACTAGTCTCCCAGCCCGGACGCTCTTCCTTTAGAGTGGTGTATATTGACCTGTCGTCGTCGTCAGGGTTATTAATATCCCGTTCAATCATTTCCGGGGCGGGATTCCGGACAGGCAAGAAACACTGAGCCGGACGTGCGCAGGTGCTCTTCTGGACCGTGGTCCGCCCGCTGGAACTATTCGATCACGGGTACTTGTTGATGATCTGCTGCACTTCGTTCGATCCTGTCAAACAAAACCTTAAAAAAAGTCTGCCCAAAAAGAATAAAGCAAAAAACGAAAAAGCGAAAGCAAAAAAGTTAAGGGCTTGTATGAAGCCTAGGTCATGATCAAATTGCTCCAACGACTACCTAAAAGGAATTGAAGCAATCACTGCTGGACCCGTCACTAAACAAGCCCCCGGTCAATTTCAGGGTCGGGACTAGGCGAAAATGACTACCGAAGAGGATCTGTCGGAGAGCCGCATCGCAGACATCGTGCGCGCTCTGGAGCTCATCCACAATCCGTCTTCCACCAATGAGCTCCGCAGGGAGGCGTTGACGTTTGTTGAGTCGCAAAAGGAGAGCAAATCCGCCGCGCGTAACGGATTTGTGCTGGCATCTCGGGAGCAGAACGATCCCTTAGTCCGCTACTTTGGTCTGACACTCTTGGACCATGTCTTGCGGCACACCTCCTTTACGGCTTCAGCGCAGGTGATCGAGCTGAGGGAGCTGGTCCTCAAGCTGGCAGAGGCCATCCGGCCTGAGGATCCTGCATATCTCCGCAACAAGATCCCGCAACTATGGGCGGAGATCGCGAAACGGAGCTGGGGCTTGGACTGGATTGAAATGGACCAGGCGCTTGCCCAATTCTGGGGAGCCAGCCTGGTGCACAAAGAGTTGGTTCTCTCCATCCTAGAAACTCTATCGGAGGACATCTTTTATCGGGAAGATACCGTTTCCTCTTTGCGAGGAACAGATCTCAACCGAGCGCTGGTTGAGATTTTCACGCCGCTGTCGGTTTTTGAAGAGGTCTATCCGAAAAGGGATAACCACGTCGAGCTACGGTACGGCTCTGACGGCTGGCTGCCGCGAATCTGCGAGTTCCTTCAATATTGTATTGAGAACCTTCAAAACTCAAAACAAGCGAAAGATGCAGCGCTCAAGGCACTGGCGACTCTGAAATCCGTTTTGCTATGGGCCATTCCTAAAGCCATTATTTCCTCAAATTGTGTCCCTGCTATTGCTAGAGCTTTCACTTGCTCAGATGAGCAGGTGTTGTTGGCTGCCGTCGAAGCCCTGCACTCTTTATATAGCAGATCCAACATGGATATGGAGAGTTTCCAACCTCTTGTACACTTGATGTACGAGACCGAGTGTTTAGATATTATGCAGAAATTATACCAGTGGTCAATTGTGGGGCCAGACGACATGGACGATACCCGATACATGATCTCGAAAAAACTGTCCGAGATGCTATCGTACATCGCAGGATTCTTGGAGGAGAAGGGATTTTCTCTAGAGAGCGCGCGTGGCATGAACCTGCCTTTCTTCTTCCACCTGACAATAAGTGTTATTCAGCATCAGAGCTTGTTGGTCTCGATCCCCGTCCTCCACGTGTGGTCCAAACTCTTAGCCTCTGAAAGAATAGGAAACACTGATCTGGTTACCGGTTTGGTTCCGTCGCTACTAGAGATCTGCACCCAACGGCTGGTCCGATGGGAGGCCTTACCAACGGATTCCGATGATCCCACAGTAGCATTTTTAACTGACGATATCGATACTATCCCGGAAAGACATGCCTTTGTGGGCAATTATCGCAGATACTGCTCGTCAGTTATCGAAACGATCGTCCAGAAGCGGCCACAGGAAGCCATCCCACATATTCTGTCAGGCGTCGATACTAATTTGAACAACCTCTACAATGGAGTTGAGCCTTTTAACGGTTTGTTTGGCCTTGGGAACAGTGAAAATTATGGACTAACAATTCAAAACAGCGAAATCGTTCTCAAAGAGCTCAATTCCCCTGATGCGCGCCGATACACAGTTTGCCGTCGTAGAAGCAACTCTTAAGGGCTATAACAAATGGGTGGCCGCACACGGAAAAATGCCCCAGCAAGATGTAAGTACTGCCAACGTCACCAAATAACATGCTACTGATAAGCAACAGGAGCAAAAACGCAGTGATCTGGAGGGTATCCTGGAGAAATGGGCTTTCTCGCTAATGCAGCGGAGCTTCGAGGTTCGATTGTGCAACTAATAGAAAATGACCGAACACCCCATAGCTAACTAGAGATTCAGGACCCGGTTCTCAAGCAAAGAGTCATCAAACTTATCGTTGATATTTCGTCAAAGGCTCTCGATAAGACCCCTAGCTTTGCGCTCAAAGCCCTCGAATACATTCTCATGACCCGCCTTCCTGATCAGCCCGAATTTCCTGTTTACTCTGAAGCTGTGAAGGAACTGCATGGCTTGTCCAGCCATGAGCTCAGGCGTCTCGCAATGCGCTATTCAGAGTATTTCGCCGTGAGTCCACAACAAATACCTTTTCTGGGAATGCAAGATTAATGAGGTTTGAAGACATTCTACGACGTACTCGAACCGAAAGTCAAGGAGATCAGCTTCGCCAACCGGGTGGATGACAAACTCCAAATGGAGCTTACCTCCATTCTTCTCATAATCATGTATTAACCAAAGCTTTATCGCCGTCCTACATGTCTTTATACTGATCTTGCTAGGCAACGCGCGAATAACGTGGAACCGTATCTACGCCAGTCCCGCTTGGCATCATTTATCGAGCCCATAAGACAGGCTTGGCAAGATGAGGAGTTCAGGCAGATGAGCTCCTCTTTCGAAGGATTCTGCTCCATGCTTGGACTACAGAGCGTCGGACCGTTCATGCAAGCTCAACAAGCCCAGAAGCTGGAGGACTGGGCGTCCGTGCCTCTTGATACCGAGGGTAAGCGGATCCAGGAAGAGATGACTCGAAAGTTCCAGGTAATTCAAATATGAGCCGTGATGGTCTGAAGAGATTCTGATAGTTATGCTAGCAATTGCCTTTGAGAGGCACCAAGACGATGCTTGCTGTCTCTACAGATAAGCTCAAAAAGAGTGAGCCAGCGTACGAGCTTGCGTGCAATGTCTGGCATGAGACGATTCCAATTATATTGCCGACATTGCTCGAGCTTGTCAGGTAAAATGATTCAACCATTGCACTCTAAACTACATAGCTAACCTATCGCGCAGTAATGCACATGCCTTCCACAATCCGGCCAACTGGGGCGGTCTGCCCAGTGAGATGCGGACGGTTGTTGAGCGCATCTTAACCGACAGATTCTGGCAAGCAGGCATATCTACTGGTAGTCGGGATGAGTTCTACGCTAAAATCACCGCTTCACGGGCATCGCTTGAAGGGTTTGCGTCCTCGGTCAGAGGTAAGATCAGAGCAGTTAGAGAATCCTGCTACTCGATGCTCTACAGCATGAGCAGACTACGAGAGCACTTCTATGGGTTTGCAGAACTTCCAGGGCCTTTGTCTCAAGCTCTATTCAAGGACTCAGCCTGCCTTTCTTCACATCAGTTCTCTGTGCTTCTTAATATTGCGAGATGCTTAATTGACGACTGCCCGGTTCGCTTCCGTGCACAATTCTTGCCTCCGATGCTCTCAACCTTGTTCACCAACATCGATAAAAAGGTTACATCAGAATGGGCTCTGATCGAACAACAGAGAGAGGGTCTTGCGGACGCAGATCTGACTGATGAGATGAAATCTGAAAGTATCCTTCGACAATTGACGTATTCTGCGGTGATCATGGTGGCGAGCCTTCTGGATCCACAGAGAGGGGGTAAGTGACCGCATCCTGATACCCTGCTTCTTCGGCTAATACTTCAATGATAGACCCTGATGAGGAACCTGTGGACCCAAGCGCAGCGCATCCTCAACCTGCGCTCTCTGACTCCATACGTCATTTCGTCCTCTCCTCGCCGGAGATTTTTGAGCCTTTGATGCTTTTCTGCACCCATGCGCTTCGTATGCGTGATACCCGATGCTGCAGCATCATTACACGCGTTATCCGATCCATTCTACAGGACTTCGCCCCTCCCAATAACTCTCCAACCACAGTCCAAATTCGTGAATTCATATGCTCCGAGGTTCTTAAAGCATGCATTACATCCGTGCATGAGCCCTACTTTGTCGACATGCAAAAGGATCTTGCCCAGCTTATCTCCTCAATCTGGGTACTCTATGGATCGAGCACGCCTACCCCGCGCTCTGTGATTCTCAGCCTGCCTGGCATGGACGAGCAGAGGGTAGCAATGACAGAAGCGTCCCTCGTTAGATCTACCGCCGCACGCCAACAGCGAGCTCTCATCCTGGATCTCTTGGAAGGTCTGAGGGGCGTCAGCATCGCCGAGCAAGGAAAGATTCTGGGCTCGCGAGAGGAACGCCGCAAGGCCCGCAGCGCTTTACAGGAAAGATACATGACTGCCGAGATGGAAGGCCAGCAAAACAACAAGGTTGATATTAATGACGGGCCGGATCTGACCGGTGTGGCGGACATGTTTGGTTAGAAGGGTTTCCGCGTATATACTGGATAATGACTGCCTCCTTCACTCGCTTCTGTATAGTACGACGGTTCGCGCCATCCCCTTCCGTTGACATGCCCCAATTTCCTTGATATCCGTCATTCTGGCTTTTCTGGACACAAAGATAGAGTACACACCGTTAAAAGCCTTTCATAGAAAGTACCTTTTAGCCATCACGATATATTGATACTGATTGACTACACCTGTTCATTCGATGCAGTCCTTACTCTCTGCACTGAATAGATATTGGAACTCTTTTTTAACCCAGTAAAAAAACACATATTGCAAACTAACCACTCTCCTTTAGACGGTATATCTACATCATACAGTACCCCTTCCAGCTTTCCTATCGCCTTATTGATCTAACAGGCCCCGCACAAAGACTCCGAATTGTGTTGTAACCATAAATCAGGACCCGTCCACCGAGGTGCTCAAGTAAGCATGCAAAGTTAACATAAACGAATCCAAACACATGACAATTGCAATCGCTTATTGAGAGACCTTGGTGGGTGTGTATACGAAAGTAGGGCGGACGAAGCTGTATCAGTCAATTAATCAGTACATGCACCAATACTGACAATAGATGGAAGGCCATACCGCTCAGAGTGGTAAACCTGGGACTCAGAGCCCAAAAGCTCCTTCTCGCGGGCCTTGTCGGCGAAGTGACGACGGACCTGGTCGCGGTCCTCTTCGGCCTGGAGGAGAGGGAGGATGTGGAGACGGCCCCAGACCTTTTCGCGGGCAAGCTCACTATATGCAATCAGCCACTGTGCTTCTTTTGCGTTCAATCCGTGGGAGGGGGAAAGCGGTAGGTTACGTACTTTTGTTCGCGGATGCCGTGGAATAGCTTGTAGTAGCCGTAGCCCATTAAGAGGTGCATACCGACGAGGTAGGTGATGGGGCGGAAACCACGGGCGGGAATGTTACGCTGTTGAGCATGTTAGCCAGGGCGTCCTTGAGGCAGGTTCACGCCGGCAATGGGGCGTGATAACTGAGGCGATTCAAGTAGACATTTGGGCCGATGATTCCAGGGCAATTGAACACCCACGCGGGAAAACCGGACATGCTGCACATACCTTGTATTGAACTGGCCCGTAGCCCCCAACGGGGGGCATATCCTGAGGCATTTTGACGACTGACGGACACAGCAGCCTTCAATGTAATCTTGGGATATCCGTAGGGAAGATCCGCCGATGATGCTCGACGAAGTTGGAGTGGTGGTCACGTGCGACGGCTTTGGTTTGGTAATGCGGGCTGCGCTGTCGCTCATTGGTTGCTGGGCATTTTTTGGTGCTTGTTCCCGGAGCTTGGAGTTCTCTTTGGTTTTGAGAAATTACGATTCACCGCGACAGGATAATCTATTTGGTTTGACGCTGATATCGCACAATGGAGGACGACGAAAGGCCTAGGAAGTACCCCAAATTGAGTAATGACGACGGACAGGAGGATCCGGAGCCTACAATGACTGGAGCTGTGGGATCTGTTCCCCACGAGGACGCCGCCCAGCCCACTACGCAGAATGATGTCGCAACAGCAGCGAATGGTGCCGATGACAAGCCAAAGGCTGGACAGCAAACTGTGGATGAAAGCAAAGAGGATGCGCCCAAAATATCGAAGAGGCAATTGAAGAAACTCCGTCGCAGAGAACAGTGGGACGCGCAGAAGGATCAGCGCAGGACTCAACGCAAAGAAAAGACGGCCGCAAGGAAACAGCGCAGGCGCGAGGCATTGAAAGAGGCAAGAGAGGAAGGTGGCCAAGAAGCAGTAGACCAGCTTCTTCAGACCTGGCAGCCAAATCGGCAAAAGTTCAAGCAATCGACTTTGTTGCCGATCACTCTTGTTGTGGACTGTGGCTATGACGACTTGATGCTTGAGAAGGAACGGATTTCCCTTTCATCACAACTTACGCGCTCGTACTCCGATAATCGGGGAGCGCCCTACCGTACTCACATGGTGTTCTCTTCCTTCAATAAATTACTCAAGGAGCGTTTCGACACAACCCTAGCAAAGTCATATAATAATTGGAAGGGAATCCGCTTCATGGACGAAGATTTTGCGCATGCTGCAGAACAGGCAAAGGAATGGATGAAGGAGCCCAATGGAGGTCAGTTGGCGGGCATGTTTGCTAACCAGACGGACGCAGCGCCTGAAGACGGAGAGATTGTGTACCTCAGCAGTGACAGCCCAAACACGCTGACAGAACTAAAGCCATACAGTACCTACATAGTCGGAGGACTGGTGGACAAGAACCGTCACAAAGCAATTTGCTACAAAACGGCAGTGGAAAAGGGAATCAAAACCGCTAAATTGCCTATTGGGGATTACATTCAAATGGCCTCGCGCCAAATATTGGCGACCAACCACGTTGTGGAGATTATGATCCGATGGCTGGAACTCGGCGATTGGGGTGAAGCTTTCATGAAAGTTATTCCTCGGAGAAAGGGTGGTACACTGAAGGATTCGGGGCGAGCTTCTGAAGATCCATCGCAGGAAGGCGATGTTGCCGAAGCTGACTCGGATGAAGAAGCGGAAGCTGCTGAACCAAAAGATGAGGCTGCTGAACTACAAGCTGAAGCTACTGCTCCTAGTACCAATCCTTGATACCATATAGGAAAAAAAAGCAATTTTAATGAACCTTATGTTCAGTCGACAGTATTGTACATAGCACAGTACTATACAAGCACGTGACTAGACGACACGTTCCAGCCACATGGTCGTAGCGCCACAGCGCCACAGCGGTTGCCACTGACGATCGATGACGGAAGATCAACACAAACAACTTTTCCTTCGCTTTTTACCAAACAAGACCAGCAGTTCTGGAGATCAGAGAGCCTCCCTTGCTTTGGTGAATATCGCGGCACTGTCATTTGTATCGTCAGCTGCTTGGTGATGGTCCTCTCCTCCTAGTATCATCTCGTTTTTTCTTTTTTTCATCTTCTTTTTTCCCTTCATAGTCGTCCTCTTCACCACATCCTATCTGACTTCCTGCCGAACCCTGTTCTTTTCCACTCCTGGAGTAAACAGCCGCTGTTGCTCAGACAGCCAGAGATCGCAGCCATGTTTATGATCCGCAACGGTATGAGCTTACTTTTCCTTCCTCCACTTCCCTTTTATTCTGCCCCTCTTTTAATCTCCAATCTTGATTACCCCGCCATCCACCCCTCCCTCACTTCATTACCACCCTATCATTTCACTTTCCCTTGACATCCCTATCTGACACTAACGCGTTATCCCTTGGCTTCTAGTGAGCAAGTTCCTCTTCGGGGATACTTCTAAAGAGTCTATCATCGAGATCCCTCAGGGGGAGCTTTATCTAGTCCGGCCTCTGTCACCCAAGGGCTACTCGGAACTAATCTTCAAGGACGCGGCCGCGTCGATCCGACGTACCGGACAGGAGTATCAATATCAACTTGTGATCCAGAGAGCTTACGAGGAGGGTGAGGAAGAACTAAGCGCCGACGAAGACGAGCAAGGCGGCGTGGATAACTTCGACAAGGACGAGAAGATCTTCCTTCTTGACGAGGCTTTGCACTTCCGTACTGAAGTCCGCGAAGGGGGCGCCAAGGTTCTTGCTTGGAGAGACCTGAGCGGTGATATCGGCGACCTGTACGAATTCGTTTGCGACCCGTCTGTACCGTCGGATAAAATCCCTACCTTTGAACTGGCTGCCTTCCAGTGCCAGTACGAGCGGAAATACAGACAAAGTGCTCAAAAAGCAACCGAGCAGGATCTTCAGCAGTTCTCGTACCAAGAGGAGAAGCCCATCCCCTCTGCGAGCCCCATCTCATCACCAACCAAGTCTCGCGCTCACTCGCTTACTTCCGGAGAGTCAGCCGCCGCGATGGCCAAGGATGTTGAATATCAGAAGTCGAAAGGACAGATCAAGCCAGCTGACAATGGAGAGGGGCCCACTGTGGCACCGCCATCGGCTGTGCAGCCTGAAGCTACGGAAGTTCTTGCGAAGGAAAAGGCTGAGCTGCATATGTTTGACTTCCCAAGTGGAACATTCGTTATGCAAGATGCTGATGTGACTGCCACTGTGTCCGAGGTCGGTAACTGGCAGTATTGGCTTCAAATCAGCGGAACTGAGAAGGAATGGCTTGGACAGGCTGTTGTCGCGGATATTAACCCTGTCTTTAACTTTGAATATCTTTCCTTCATCTTCAACCACTACGCTGAGGATGGGTCCGCATACTCTTGGCTTTTACGCTTCAAAGACCAAGAGACTGAGGAACGCTTCCAGGAGGGTCTGATGCAAGCGCTCTGGGAACAACTGAACGAGATGAAATGGGTCAAGGTGAAGGAGGACGACCGGGAATATGTTTTGGATGCGTTCCAGGACCTTACCATGGAGGACGCAGCCGACAACCAGGAGGAGGAAGAAGAGGAAGAAGAAGAAGAGGAAGATCAGTACGACGGTCAACGCAGTGAACACTATGACAGTGATGAAGAAGAGGATGATGTGGTTACACACGATGATGACGGTAATGTCAACTCGCAACTTGCAGTCGGCTACAAGCACGATAGATCGTTTGTTGTCCGTGGTTCCAAGATTGGTGTCTTCAAACATACGCCAGACAACAACCTTGAGTTCTCTACCACTATCTCCAAGGTGGAGACACCAAACGGCAAGCTATTCAGCCCCAAGAAGGTTATGTTGCATGCCGAGGACTCCAACATGGTTCTTCAAAACGGGGATGACCCTAACTCTCTCTATCGCATGGACCTGGAGTATGGTAAGATTGTCGACGAGTGGAAGGTTCATGACGATATTCCTGTCAATACATTTGCACCAGAAACCGTAAGTCTAACAAACATCAAATGAGTACATCTGAAGCTTTGCTAACTGTGACAGAAATTTTCCCAAATGACCAATGCTCAAACCTTCGTCGGAGCCTCTCAGAATGCGCTCTACCGCATTGATCCCCGTCTGGCAGGCAACAAACTTGTCGATGCGGATCTGAAGCAGTATGCTAGCAAGAACGACTTCTCGTCCGTGGCCACGACTGAAAAGGGATACATCGCGGTCGCTTCGAATAAGGGAGATATTCGCATGTTTGACCGCCTGGGAATCAACGCCAAGACGCATATTCCTGCACTGGGCGAACCTATCATTGGTCTTGACGTGTCCGCCGATGGCCGCTGGGTTCTAGCTACGTGCCGTACCTACCTTCTTCTCATTGACTCGCTGCAGAAGGAAGGCAAGAATGAAGGCAAGCTTGGTTTCGAGCGTTCATTCGGCAAAGACGCTAAGCCCCAACCTCGTCGTCTTGGTCTTCAGCCAGCACATGTCGCACAGTTCCAACATGAAACCAAGAAGCCTCTCGCTTTCACCCAAGCTCGTTTCAATACGGGTGTTGACTCACAAGAAACGTCGATTGTTACGGCAACGGGTCCTTTCATCGTCACATGGAGCTTGAAGAAGGTGCTTGCTGGGCGCAAGGATCCCTATACGATCAAACGGTACTCTGAAGAGGTTATGGCAGACAACTTCCGATTCGGCTCTGACAAGAACGTCATCGTCGCCTTGCCAAACGAGGTCAACATGGTTGCCAAGAGAGCTCTCCAGAAACCCACTCGCGAGAGCATCGCAGGGCCCCCAGTCACCCCAGGCCGTCGCAGCACCCGGTGGGGCAGCCGTTTGGGACGAGATGATATTGTCAACTCTCCATACTAAACGTCCGGCCCCGTTCTCTAGTCAAGTGACTTTGACTTATTTCATTACCTCGTTTTTCTTTTCTTGTACACTGCATACCCCCTTCTGTCTTCCTTTTGCTTGTTTATTGCCTTTTTTTCCCCCCTCCTTTAATAATTCCTAGACGTTCTTGCACCACTTCTATGATCTTCTTATGCAATTTCCGATACGATAAACCATGGACGATCTTTCTCCTGAGGGCGATATGGTAGCTTACCAATGAGATGGAAAGGGTGGGATTGAATGATGGTCTTTGCAATCTCGAGATAAATCTCTAGTAATACTTGAGTACGAATTATGAATTCCGAACGACATTTCTCCAGTAATGAGTACTATACCTATTCATTTACGTATGTGAAGTATGTATGGCTCATGAAGTAGCATAAACTTTTCTCTTTCCTATCAACCTGGAAACTATGTAAGATTCAACAACAGTGCATAACACGATGAGACCAGCCACACCGTGCACGGGTATTATAAGTAGATAGATATATCCAAACGGCTCGACAAAGACCGGCTAACCGACGTACTAAACAAGGCACCCAAGTCCCCCATACACCACAATCCACCAAGATACTCCACCTGCATTACATCCAAAGATGAACTCGACCAACGAATTCTCACGAACCGACATACCATACTTCGACACCAAGGATATCAAATTTGACGCCTTCATCTGACAGGGGTTCGTTGCCGAATGTCTGGCACCCGGCACTCACGCCCTTTTCCAGGCTCGAGTCAATCCACAGACCATAATGGCCATCTCTGCTTCGTTATTAGTTATCATAAGCAATCACTGCCGGGATTCAGAAGGAATGCGCTTACCCTCCACCTAAGCTGAGAAATCCCGTTTCACAGAACATCATATAATCGTTCACTCCGCTGTATGGGAACGCTTTAAAGCGGATTCTCTCTGGAGTACTGGCGCCGCTAGTACGCCCGCTAGTTGCTGGAGGTGCCAACTTAGCATCCCTCGCCCGCAGGGTCGTGGATCGACCAGCATGCGTGGTATCAGCGCTCGGCGGAAGGGGCAGACCGGCGAGTTCGAGCATGTCCTCCGATGGGGGCCCGTCGCGGGGCAGGCTCAGGTTCGTAGGGGGAGTGAGAACGCTCGCGCGCCAGAGGAAGCATTCGCCCGTGCCGTAGTAATGAGAGTCTGGATGCGGGGGGTCGGTCATGTAAGCACCGAACACGGCGCCGGAGGGAGAAGAGTCGCGGACGATGAGGACGTAGCCCGCCCGCGGGCTACGGTGAGACATTTCTCGACAGTTTTCATAGAGGGTGGCGAGCGAGGCGCCGTCCCGGTCCAGGCTATAGGCTAGACGCCAGGTGTCGACGAGTTGCAGGCGGGCTGGGACTAGCAGCCGGATTTCCTCGGCCAGGGCGCGAGTTAGGAGCTGTTGTTCGAGATTGGAGGGGTCGCCGGTGAGGGTGAGGGGAGTGAGCGGCGGGGGCTGGAAAGGTGAGGCGGTTCGAACGGGGGTGAAGACCTGAGATGAGGTGATGGAGTCGTTTGGGGTGGTCATGGAGGAGGATTGATTGCGGTTCATGTTCTTTGATTTCGAAGCTGGTGGGTCAGTGAGGCGACGGTACAGGCCTGATACGACATGTGTGACGGGGTAGGAGAAGTAGGATGCAGTCGATTGATGAATCTGGGAGTTCGATTGTCGAGAGCGAGATGCGGATCTCGAGCTGGAGGCGGAGGAAGACATGCGTACGGCGGGGACGGGACGGAGGGACGGAGGAGGAGCTCACGGATCCAGGGAACGAAACTGCCCAGGCATTCAATTGGCTACCACGCAGCTGCAGAAGAAGGCTCGAGTCAAAATGACGCGACGTGGAGACGTTGGAGAAGCTGTGAGAGGAGATTGAAATCAAGATAACAAATGATCGTTTGAGTTTAGTTCCCTTTCGGGTCACGGGTGGGGTGATGCCCTGCCTCATAGGGCGGCGCATTTCAAATCACTTGGATTTGTGTCTCACTTACAATGCTACAGCACAATTCTCCTAGTACATCCAAAGCTATCTATACTGCCCACAGATTTCGAATTACAGAGCAAGAGATGGGAGATCCGACAAAATTAAAATAGAATGAAGACTCTAGAAAGTGGCATAGTACGCTCTCATAAATCGTGAAATGGCAGCCATCGTTAGATTTAGGATCCGTTCGGACGTAGATCCACAGTCTCGAATTCAAGCCCCTTGGCTTCAAACACATGCCCCGGTCGTAGCGCATCGGTGTAGATGTTGGGCTCGGCGTGTGGGTGAAACAACCCGGGCTGCGTACAGTTGAGGACCGTCTTGAGCCCGGGCGGGTCGGTCAATCGGAAAACGCCCCAGTCCGGCTTTTTGCTCGGAGCGCAGACGATCGCAATGCTCTCGGGCAGCATCACTTGGTATCCAGAGTGCGTATGCAGATCTCTCGAGCTCATGAAGCAAGTTTGCGTCGGGTGGGTATGAATCCAGCCGAGGATCATCAAGTCCTCCGAGTCGCAGTATTCAAATATTGCAGTCTCGTTCACCGTTTCACACGTGTCCGATGTGGCGGTTTGTTCGGGGATGAGAAGCCGGGAGACGAACAGAGCGTTGGATATCAAGGTCCCACAAAGTATACCACATGTTTCCAGATTACGTCGTGTGTTCGAAGCTGCTAGCGACAGGAACGTGGATCGTAGCTCTGGGGGTAGGAAAACCGTCCGGAGAGGGGTACCATTCTCCAGGTAGGCGGCCGGTTTGAAGGTGAAGCTGGATGGGTCCAGGTTTGAACGGCCATCCCCACCATCCGCGACTGGCTTGACTTTCGCCGGAGGGGCTGGAGCTTGTGTTTGAGCTGCGGATGTCAGGGGTACCGCGGAGATCTTGTCCGGTCTTGGGGGCGGCGATGGCCCATCTAAGACCACTGGCTGGAGAGGCTCAAATCGTTCCTTTGGAGGCCGCATCGGGGCCGCTGGTAAGGACATCGTCGCATCTCTCGCTCCGTTGGTCACGGAGGGCGCAATATCTAGCGCCTTCTGGCGAGGCACTGTTGGGTACTTATATGTGGACGAAACGGATCCTGGAGTTAACGGCCGCGCCGTGGATTCTGTTGCCTTCTTTTGACGGTCCGCATCGTGCGCATGGTCCATGTTGATCCTGACATCTTGTATCCGTCGACTCAGGTCATTGCCCGTATCTGTGCCCTTCTTGTCCAGAGCGCTCTCCCAGTCACCCCAGATACCTGCGGGGCGCCGACGCTGCTCCTCTTTGGGTGCTATTCCAGCTTGGCGTACAGTTCTCCTAGCTGTGGCCCTCCGGTTGATTTCCGTCCTTGCTAGTTTAACAGCCAGGTCTCGGTTCTCGCCAGCCTCCAAAGGCGTGGCAACACCTACCAATGCGGGATGCTGAGGCTGCTGCTGGTTGGGCCCGGCCTGGTTCGTTCCTAAGGGCGGGCTTCGAGCTTGGCGATCATTCATCAACTCGGTATAGCGTTTATATCGTTTATTGATTCGAGGTCTGAGGATTTCCAACTTCTTGAGATTCCTGTTGACATCCTTGTTTGCTTCCATCAGAGCTTTCCGATTCTGCTCATTTTTGGCTTCCGAATGTTTTGCCAGGTTCTCGAGAACCAACTGAGCATGGCGAAACAATAGGCAGTACGCTTGTTCATCGTCTCCCTCGCGTTCGTAAATACCAGCCTGTAAAGGGGACTGCTCGTTAGCCCTCGGAGATTCAACGGAGTCGGTAGCATCAAACTGACCTCTCTCAGTAAATTCGTGGCGGTCCGTAGCCAAAACCGCAGCGGAATCGAGGGGTTGTATTCATAGTTCTGCGCCTCTCGGGCAATATCCTCGACCTTTCGAGGGGCTGAGACCCCCGCGCCTGTGGCCAGAGGCACATGCGAGGCCATGGTTGCGCATACGACGTGAGCGTGCGTGAGGAAAATCAGTAATATAAGTTCCGATAACCTGAAATGTCCGGTTTCCAAGCGACTCGTTCGATCATAAGGTGCAACGAGGGATCATCGAGGTCTGCCGCCACGGCGTGTGGGGACGTTCCGCATCGACGGAGCAGGCAGCCGGACTCTGCAAAAACCTTTGGAGCAAATCGATCTAAATTATAAGCACTGATAGATCTGTTGGGTAATAATCGATCGATCAGAATGAGAATTGTGCTGTAAAAACAGCCGGTCCCAGAGGCTGGAACATGCTTTGCAAAAGGCTGTGAGCGAGTCGAAACAATGAGACAAACAGATGAAAAGTGATTTTGTGCTCATTGAATTTATTTGAATTTAGGAAAAATAAACTGCGGGTCCTTTTCCTCTTTGGTCGCCGTTCCCGCCGCAGTTCTCGAAAGCTTCAACTCCAACTTTTTCCATTGCGATTGACTCGCGAGAGGCAAAAGTACTATCTAGACCAATGATGGAGAGTCGGTGTGGCTACCATACGACATCCCTGACCTGCACTTAAGATGAAATTCAATCGGTGGACGCCCATTCCCCATGTTCCCTTAACAAAGGCGCTTTATAAATGCTTCCCTTTGACCGCAAAGAGGAAATCCATTCGGAAGGCAGAAATAGCAAGTGAAAAACTATGCGGTGAGTTACTACTCAAGACCAATTGTTATACCGAAGGAGACTCTAATGCGCCGGGCTTCTGAAATTAGACGATGCTCTTCAACGCCTATCACCCTTCCTCCTTCGCAACCCTGCCGTGGACATTCTCGACCTATGGCCCGGCGCTGGACTATGGTCTTCGAAGATCAATCAACTCCTCAAACCCCGCCGGCATGTCCTTATCGAACCTGATTTGAGCCTATACAAGCCATTGCTCCAGCCATTGGCAGAAACCAACCCCAGCTATGAACTACTGTCTGCAGACATCCATGCTATTGCGGATTGGCAAAGTATACTATCGAAGCATTTCCCGGAGCAGGGACCATCGAACCGTGACGACAGCGGCATTTTGCCCAGGAACGATACACTCCTTGTCTTAGCCAACCTGCCTCCAGTTGGCTCAAAAAAGGACCACTATACCCCAGCACGCTGGTGGTCGGTTTTCATGGAGGCTTGTATGCACCAGACGGGATTACATTCTTATGGAAGCGTGCGTATGATCGCATCGCTCCCCATCTCAGATGCACAACAGGTCGTTCCGCGGACCATCATCGAGCGCAAACGACCGGCATTGTGGACCGAGAACGTCGCATTGCATGCATTCGAAGTCGCGGCTCCAAGGGACCCCAGTACATGGACTTTTCTGAAGGGATGGGATTTGGCGGCGGACAATGCCTCGCGCGTTGCTCAGAGAGCCGCAGAGCAGGGGGTTACCACACCTCCCGGCAGAGAACTACCACCCATCCCCATGGCCCCAAAAAGTCCTGACCCGGGCAGATTGCCTGTGCCTTACGTGCCGCGCCCTTTTACCGACTGGCATGAGAAAGTTTGGAAGAAGATAACTACCGGCGCGCCTGGCAAGGACGGCAAAATGAATCCAGTACAACAACGGGGCTGGATCCAACTGAACAAAGAGAATCGCGACATGTATTACCGCGTGCGTCAGGCGAACGGTATTGCCGAAATTGACGAACTGACAGCCACGCTGTCACGGACGGCGGCAAACACTCGCAAGACTTCGGCGGCACTGAGGCCCATTTTGAAAAAGATCCAGGCCGCCAAGTCTCGCTTGGAGCAGGGAGTGTCGGAAGTACACTACTCAGTCAGGAATGAAGTTCCCGTCATCGTTGACAACAAGCGAGCGGCTCTGCAGACCGGAGACTTTGACGATGCAATCCTCCACTGGGACCGGCGCCCCTTTGAACCATTGCTCATCAATCCCGACGAGCTCTACCCCCGAGAGACTGAGCGAAGCATCCTTTACTTCGAGGCTGACCCGAACCCGCAAGCCGTGCAGAAACTCAACCAGCTGGATCCGCCGCAACGAGACGCCCCTCTTCGCCTCTTCGAAGCCCTCTCTCTCACCATCGGCACCCGTAGCCTTCTGACTGTCGCTGAGCTTCTGGAGCTGATCTTCCCCGGACGACCCATCAACGAGATCGTCAAGGTCATCCCCGGCCTAGCCGTCCTCGCAGCAAAGACCCCCAAGCCAGACTACGACAATCTGCCGAAGACCATGCACGGCTCCCCCGGGGCCCCCGAACCCCTCAACCCCGTCGCATGCTACCAAGAGAACCTGGACTACGACCTCAGCGACGTCCGCGTGCGGACTCTGTCGACCAGCACACTGTGGGATATCTTCGTCGAGTACCAGAGGAAGGGCGATACCAGCCTCTCCACGGTGCAACTGAGTCGACTGCTCGGCGGGACGTTGACGTCCTTCCGCACCGGCGAACTCGAACTTCGGAAGAGATACCATTAGCATGCCGGTCTCGTTTTTTGGTATCGTCCACATCCACTCTACTCACCTACTTCTCTACTCACCGTCCCCTTCGTGCGGGGGGACTTTATACCCATATCTTCGGGATGTATACTATGTTTTATGAGCTGTGTCTCTTTGTACTATACTGTAACGGTTACGATCTATAGACATATGTGCCTATATAATCACTTTTGATAGACTATCCATATACTAGAATTTTGCATCTTTCACATATTGTACTAGTTTTTACTACATATCTTTGTATTGATTTTTACTGTGCAGCTTGCGGGTTAACGTTCGAATTGATATTGTAATACATGACAAGAAGTGAAAGCATTGGACCGTATTGGAGAAACAGATTCTCTTTGATATTGAGATGGTCTAGAACGAAAAACATGCTGAACATCCACACGTCGAAACATGACAGTCAAATTGGGTATCATTTAGTAGTTTATTGTGAGAGAAGAAAGAAAATATGGGGAAAGAAGAAAAGGACAAGAATAGGAGGATAACAGTAAGATGTTGAGACCCTTTGGAAGAAAATAGAATAGAAGAAGGGTCAAAGAAGAGATAGATGAAACAGTTCCAAATGGTTCATAAATATGGTGAAATCGAACGGTATATAAGAGTAGACAAAGTAGATGGAGAATATGTTGTCGAAATGGGTTGAATCGAAAGTGGTCGGCCTTTTGGGATGAGATCTTAGGCCATGGCAGCGATTAATTCTACCCATTCATTGGGTGAAATCCGTTGAGATGGGTCCTTCGAAACGGCAGGTTTGATCACCTGTTCGACAGGTCCGTTTCGAGGGACCCGGGAACCATTAGCGCCCGACTGGGCAAAGTCAATAACCCGGTGGCCTTCACGGGCCATGGCAAGGCGCTGCATGTTGCTGGCGCCAGGATAAAGCAGCAGATCGCCTGTCGCCGCCGCGAGGAGGGTGACCGCCAGAGAAAACACATCGGATGCGGGCGTGGGACTAGTACCCGGGGACCTCAGAGATGACACAGATAACAGTTCGGGGGCGGCGAAAGGTGGTGTCAAAGCCGTTAATGACGTTCCGGTCTCTTTCTCTGCAGACAGTGAAGAGCCGGTGATGTTATGTGCGGAGAAATCGGCGAAAAGCGGTTCAAACGGGAATTCGTCGGATTCTATATCGTTGCCCGTCGGCCGTGATCTCAACAAGATGTTATGTGGTTTGATGTCCCCGTGCACTATTTGACACTGCGTGTGGAGCCAGTGTAAGCTGGTTATAAGCTTCTTGGCAAGCTCTTGCCACTGGGGCATGCCTTGCACAGGATCGAACATCGTCCGAGTGGACTTGTGCTTCTGGGCCAGGTCGGCCTTTTCTTCGATGTATGATGAAAGAGAGAGGGGCACGGCCGACAGAACTATAGAATGTGATTCGGAGATGTACCCATGGAAAGGAATGACATGGCGTTCCGAACCCGGCATACGACTAATTCGAGTCAATGCTAACGCTTCGGCATCAAGGACGGCGTGCGCATCTCGCCGGACAGGAGATTTAACCGCTACCACCCGACCTCCACTCGCAGGTGAACTGGGAGGGGTCATCAGGGGTGATTTCGAAGAGGGGCGAGACGAAGCTTTGTAGACGACACTCCAAACACCACGACCAAACTCCACCGGGCGACCTTTCGGGTCATATTGAAACTCTAGCTCATCGGAATATTGAAGAGGGCTCGAGGGACGCACATCAGCCGCAAAGAGATCCGTTGGCTTTTCTCCTTCGGATGCAAACGAGCTTGAGCGACTTGATCCGACTGTCCTCGTACCACTTGAGTAATTGTCATCGCCCTTGGTGGGGGTGACTGGAGGGGTCAGTCCCGGCACCACTGTTAGTGGTGTCACGGGTGAGGCTTTGTCATCTTGGTTTTCCGTGCGGATTGAGAGTCGTATAGGAATATGAGCAGCCATTATGAAAATATCCGGGGTGGATAGAGGTTGATCCTGGGGATCAAGCACCTTACGTAGAGGGTAAGGTGCGCGAAGAAAGTAAGTGTATGAATCAGATAGATGCAAGATCAAGTCACGTCTTGCTTTGAATTAACTCTTAATAGATGTCGACTTGAAGGTTGAGTATATATTGATAGGTGTAGATCAGTGTCTAGATCAAGAAAGGATCTAGAAATTCAGGACTGGACAGTGGTATATAAAGGCCGGTGGCAACGGTTGCGTACGGGTGATGTCCGGGCCAAAGATTGGTTCGGAGGAATGAATGAGTCAAGCACTGGTCAGAGATTACTCGCAATCGAGGTAATATATAGGGTCAGATAAAGATAACGAAATGATGGGAACGGCACACTAAGCATAAGCATAGTGGGATTAGAGATTAAAGATAAGAGGAAAAAGAAATCGACGATAGATCTAGACAGCAGGGAGGAATGACTGGTATTTAGTCTGGACCCCAACGGAATTTTTTTTTCAAGGTTCAATACAAAGAAACCAACAGAACCGGAAAAATAACAATAACAATAAAATGAAAAAAAAAAGTGGACGATCGACAGATAGCTTAAATTATTCTGGAGGAACCGTGGATGAAACAGGGCCTCAACTACGACTGTTGTAGGTTACAGTGACATACAGTGCGCTGATCATTTCCTCCCTGCTCTCCCCACATGGTTCTTCATTGTTGCTTCTTGACAGCGCGAACAGATTCAGACGTCGTGCGATCCTTTCGACTGCACGTCGGAAAACTACTCATCCTTGGGACAATGGCACCACTCCTCGGGGATCTCAATCTCATGATAGTCGAGGATTCCCAGATCGTGGTCATCCCTTTCACGCGGTCTCTCCTGTGCGTCTCCTTTCATCTGTGAATTGTATGCCATACATAGTGTAACGGCCCCCGAGCGTGGCACCAAACTCTTCCGGGAAGTCCTGCAGCTTCCATCACGGACACTATGCCCAACTGAGCCTTAGTCTCCTGCACGAACTGTTCGGCTGCCTGGATTAAGGAAACCGGTGGATATCATCCTATCGCATCGCTTGCATTTCATCTCCGCCCTTAATTAATATTGACGCCGTTCCGTCGGCGAACTGAACGTCACAATTTCTACGTGCTCTTCGGAGAAGGCCCGGGTGTTTTGATGTGTAAACTAGAAAAATTCGATTGAATGGCCGAGTCAGCAGGGCGAAACGGACGAAGACCCCGATTACGCGGCATGCAGTCAGGTGACCCATCAGGAATGAACGCCCCTCTTCTCTCTCGTCCCATGCTCCTCTTTTTTTTTTATTTGATCTTATCTTGAAAATTGATGCACACCCTGGCCCATACATGCCGGGATTTCCCTGGCTTCATGTGGTGCGCGCGAATAATGCCAGGACCAATGCAGCGCCTTCCTTGTTGTCTGCAGAGTATTACTAGAGTATCCATGCAAACATTCCTTCGGTTCCGGTTTGGTCCTGTTCTTGGACAACAATCTACCGAAACGGAAGTTCTGACGCCGGAAGAATAGCCATTGTTCTCGTGGAGTGACGGAAACGCTGTGGGTGGGAGAAGTTGTATGAAACGGTAACACCGGTGCAGGTGTTCTGAACCAATCTCCACCCCCACGTGGGTCCTCATCTGCCAGGGAAATTGCACTCTCAATAGTCCGCCCCACTCGTCCATCTTGGGATTTTCCTTTCCAGCAGCAAGTATCCCGAGTACAAACTTACCGGAACTGCAGGAATTCATTTGAAGACAATGTAAGGGAGCACAGGATTGGCCCAATCTAGCAGAGGCCATTGCTCTATCTACCACGGACTACAACTACTACTACGAGTTAGTAGACGCGGGGTATCAACTTATGTTCTGTAGTGAGCTGGAGCCTGGGGTTGTCAAGCATGATATGACGTAACCGACATCCTCTCCAGTCATTGAATAGCCTCATGCGTCATGCTTGGGGACCGTCTTTTCCTGAATGGTCTTGTGCTTGGCTCTAATGAGGTTTTACTAATACGCAATCATGGAATACATCTTATTAGGCAATATTATATCTCTGTACGTTACCGATACACTCATCTCGTTTTCTAAATCATCCGTTGTCAGTTGATTATTTCCCATGTGAATTTTCATTTTGTATACTTGACTTACCTTTTTCTGTATACTTGACAACCCCACAATTGTTTTCTCCTATGCCTCTTTGGGATGGTGCCCGACAAAGTCCCGGAGGTTTGTATAGCAATCTAAATATTCAATATATCGCCAGATAGTACCGGCTCTCACCTTAACATTGAGTGCAACTCCAGTCAACATGTATCGACTTCAACTAGAGCGACGATCGACCCTGTCAGTAACGATTGGAATAATCTCATAATCTCATAATCTCACAAACGCGCTCGACTTCCTTTTCGACCTACCACCAAAGGCAATAGCGGCGACTCAATCTGGAAACAGTTGCACCTACGGGCAAAGCGTAAAGAATACAGAAATCGAACTCTTCCTATTTATTGTGAATTGTCTGAAAGCACTGTCTCAGACATACATTCCGCAACAGGAAGTACGTCTATCCTGAGTCCATGAGCCAAAGCACCAAATCTGCCCTTCGATGCCGCAAGACCACTTCGTCCCTGTTTGAGCCAGAGTATCATTCGTTGCATGGGCAACCTGCATCTGGCTTGGAAAGGTAGTATGTATACATGCAGGGCGCAGCAAGGCGGTTGGTATCTCCTTTGCTGTCATACTTCTTCACAGTCACGCTTTTTATACTTATCTATAATAGGTTTTTAGCGTTGGTACCAAGAACCAATACAATAAGCCTGTACAGATGGTCAATTATATTTAGAAAAGAAGAATAAATCTTCAGACATCGACTAAACCGGGGTATTACGAGCGGAATAATGGTGCTCTTTCTTCCATTCGCCCTGGATAGTTCTCGAATTCACGGAACACGGCAAAGATATCGCTAATACAAATAACCAGGTATCAAGAAACAATCACAACCTAATTGTCCGTTTTCTGTCCTTCAACATACTGTTTCAGATCCTGTACCCACGTCTCAAAGTTCTTTTTCAACTGTGCCCCAAACATCCACCGAACCACATACACAAGATACCCAACCTGCGCCTCCCAATTCCGCACCTCGGTGACACGCTTCGTCTGCCCGCCTTCTTCCTGGACATCATACTCCTCGAGCTCATGAACCCTCTCCGCCGTCAAAAGGAACGCCGGCATGCTCCCCTTGGCCGTTAGATCCGCAACCCAGACAATGCGGCCAGGCTTAGGGGGGTTGGCACTTGGGGGCTCAAACTCAGCCACGACGAGGCCCACATCTTGCTCGCTGGCCGACGATGGATCCATATGGACATGGAAGGTCATTTTTGTTCCCATCTGGAGCTTCGGGGAAAGACCATCAGTAGATTGAGAGTCGGAGCCCGGCTGTTCGCGAATGGTGACTCGTGGAACAAATGTATTCCACGAGGGCCAGGTGGAGGTATCAGTTAGGACATCCCAGACATCTTGGCAGGGGGCGGCGATCGTCGTGGCGCTCTCGATATGCAGCACTGCGTCTGAGGCGGAGATGCTTGGGGTTGATTTGGACGCTAGTGTCGCGGCAGATGAGGGTGGGGCGGATGTCATTTTTTAAGGAATGATTTTGTTGGTGTGTATAGTAGAAGTTGTTATAGGAGCTACCATGAATGTTTGTTTGTGGTGTCATTTGAAGGGAAATAACTGGTTGTGATAAGCTTTGACTCCGCCGGCGTACGCCGGCAAGATAGCCGAGCGCCAGTGACCTCATCTGACATCCGCGCTAGTCGCCGAGTGCTCTTTTTATGGTAGCTGTTTGCAATGCTACTATCTAGTATTAGAATATAAACTAGATGAACAATCTTATCCTAACAACATGCTGAACTTCTCGCAACTTGTCTTTCGGCATTGATCATATAAACGCTAATTCGGATCTTGGCGGTCATTGACGACCACTTCGGCTGTCTCCGCTTTCTTAAAGCACTCAGGCCAGAGCCATGGAAGGAATAGAGGTTTTCCCTGAATATGTCTAAAACGGTTTCTGTGCCACGAACCGAAGTCGAATGTAATTGACTGTGAAGGAGCCATCGTGTTGATGCCTTCCAACACCCTCGAGGACGTCAACAGCATGTTTGACAGCTGCATTGCGAGCCTCTACGGTTGGTAAAACCTGAAGGAAAGGCTCACAAAAAAGGCGGATCCTAGAACTTGATTAGCGACTAGTTTCATCAGACACGAAATCACTCGAGTATATACCATCCTTCAATTCCGCCCTCATTGTGATCTGTCAGCTTCGTCTGTCTGAGCTCTGCCTCGCCCTTAACCCACTGGAAGCCTTCCCCTTCCAGGAGCTGTTTCATAGCTTCTTGGGAAGGGAACCACCACGGCGAAGCTGCTCGGGCTTCTTCAACCGGAATTCCTTGAATGACCAGAGCACTGACGATTGCCGCATGCACCTCGGCCACGTTTCCGAGCGCGCCCGATTCACTCACAAAGAATCCCCCTGGCTTGAGCGCATTGAAGCAGCCCTTGATCGCATTCGACCGGGTTTCGGGGTCGCGTAAGATCCAATGTAAGGCAGCGTTGGAGAAGACTTTGTCAAACTTTCCATCTGTGAGGTCTGACACTTGATCCAAGTGTCGGCAGTCCACGACGCGGGATTCAATGTCGGGACATGATCTCTGGAAGTGCTCTATCATATTTGACGAGGCGTCGACACCAACGATCCGTTTAACATGGGAGGCTAGTTTGGCTGTTAGGACGCCTTCCCCGCAGCCGACATCGAGCACTTCATCTGTTGTGCATTAGCAATGCAAAATTAGACACGCTCTCTATTTTCAGGCGAAGGAACTTGCCAGTAGGCTTAGGATCGAGCCAGGAAACAATCTTCTCTGTCAAGACTGCAACGAATGGAGCCACTTTTTCGCCGTAAACATCGGCCGACCACATGTCGGCTTTCTGCTCTTGTCCACTCATTTTGGGCTTTCCTCGAAATTGAAGATCAATAAGTGATGATACTCTAATTATGACTCCGAGTACCATAGCCTTTTATAAGTAAATCATCAGGGTGATATCACAATAGAGACCAGGACCGACATCGGAGGGTGTAAGCATTGATAGATCTACAGGGTAGCGGGCGGGATGTTCCCCGCTGGTCGGCCGCTGCTAACCGCAGTCATACTGGTTGCAGAGTATTGTCCAGCTAGAATGCGTCACTGTGCGACCGAGTGAGATTACAGATAGAGGATATTACCGACACCCCGTCGTATTAAAGGGACAGTCGGCGGCGGCGTGGTGACTGCTGTGATGATCTCGGTGAACATAGGATCCTAACCATGGTTGTTTTCCTACCGACTTCAAAGAGATCGCACGATGCGGTGTCTATTGACAACTTGGCCCAGAGGCAGAAAAGAAAAGTTTGCTCATTTAATCTGAGCAGCAGGATGATTCCACAGCTCTGAGACGTCATACTCAGGAAGCGCATCAAAATCGTACTCCAGACGGCCTCTGGCTATAATTACTACTTCCTTCTTGGCTTGCTCCTCCGAGTTGCGAATTCCACCTTGTTCTGTTCCCAGGTGATAGTTTCGATCTTCACGCCACTGTTGCTGCCACCGTCTCTTGGATTCACAACAAGTACATAGAATTCCTTGCCCGTCCCGCTTCGAGCAAAGTGGATGGAGATAGTACCGCTCCGGCTCTGCTCCGTGACCAAGACGCGCCATTTATCATCCTGATCCTGAGGTTCGAAGCCGGCTTTGAGCTTCTCAAAAGTTGGCGTCGCTGATACTCAGACCCCACGGTGCTGTGACAGGCTCCTGCATATCGTATATATGATCTGTGATTGGCTTTGCACATGAGCATGGAAACGCCCGGTGTTGAACTTGACACGTACCCGTGAGTGCAGTAGGAATAGGTTCTACTAGAAATGATCACAATTGTAGTTTACAAAAGTACAGATCTACCATACTAAATCCCCCTTCCGCAGATCAACGTCGTCTGTGACAACATCTGGGATGTAAATAGGCATCGAAGTTCCTGCAGGGTGAAGCTGTCGTAATTTTGGCGGCCTAATCTTGTACATACAATGGCGTAGAGTGCCGCTCGCAGCGGACACTAACCATAAATATCTAATAACTAAATCTCAATAGCCTATCATTCCGCGGAATGCACTTTCATGCTCCTGCAGGAAGCACGAGGACGGAGTGAAGACTCTCCCCGATATCGGGCCAGGTGCTAGCCCTAACTAACCTTCGATTTTTTCTTCATAGTGCATCTTATGTTGGTAAATATGCTGTCTAGGGACTCTTTCTCGTTCTTGGATTACCAACTCAAGAGGTGGCATGAATTTCCTCTTGCTAAATAAGATCTTTGGATTCTTCATAGTATATGGATGCTCTCAGCTGGTAAGATGGTTCGGTTGCTGAGCGGATTGCAGTTCGACCCGGTACTTTCGTGTCGTTTGTTGTTTGGAATTGGCTTTGTATAGCAATATGAATCACCTACATGAGCTTCATACTATCTGGCAGCATATGCTGCATCGGACATCAACACTTGCAGAATATTCCTCGATTCCTGTGATTGTGTAATACTTCGCGGTTCTTGCTGGGTCAAGGAGAGACCACTTGCCGAACCATGATTGATTGACCATTAATCAGAGTCCAGTGAATTACTTATACAGTTTCACTTGGAAAGATATATAGAAAGGAACTACGTACTGACTAGGTGATAACCCCGTCAAAATCACCTTTCTTAATAGATCGGGTGGCATCTTGAATTAAGAAACATGCGTTGTATAATTAACTATAATGGTTCAGCCCAGAAGACTCAGGCCCTGACCTCGTGTGATGAAAAGTAAATTCTTCTAGCCAGAGCCCGGCGACTCTTCAAAACTCAGCTGGGTCTGAATTGAGTTTTTGCTTCTACAGCTGCATATACCTATCATGACGTGCGAGATTGGAGCAACCACCACCCATTTAACCAGTGGGATTAAAGAGCTGCTGTTGAAGGTAAATATGTATATTCCTTTTAGCCAGAGACCAAACAGTCACTTCGGGATCTTTATGAATCATTCCGAATCAATTACTAAATATTTTGCAACTCATATCATATGTACGCTTGGCAGGGTTGCTCAAGAGAACAGAGCCGACGCCCTGGCATAGCTCAAAAGCCCCAAAACCAAATAACGCAGTGAGCAATGTACGAGCATAGGTCAGACCGTCCGGGGTTGTAGAGGTTTTCTGGGGTCAAGGCAGGTCCGCAGCCAAGATTAATAGCCATTTAGTCGACGGCATAATTTCTCCACCAATTCGAGGCCAAGCTGTGGAGACGGAAGCACGGCTAGGACATGGCTTCTTAGCAATTCAACGCCAATTTCTCCGAGCAGTGGGTCTATGGAACTGCTATTTGGGGTCATATCGTAACAAGTAAAGACAATCCAATGCTTCGCACAGCGGTTTACCCCATTCGAGTGAGGATATAAAGACCAACGGCCCGGCAGGATGGGCATATAGTCTTCCTCTAATATCTTTGTCAGTGATTATTGTCCCTCTAAACGGCATACACTATGCTAATTCCCAAGACAGCCTTTCTGGCTTTCCTCCTTTCTTCTGTGCCCCTGGCGCACGGCGCAGGAGGAAATAGTTCTTCACCCGACACCCGAGGCCGTCGTTGTGTGGTACGCTCTTCCAATGGCACTGCAGACGACTCCCCCGAAGTGTCTAGAGTATTCGCGCAATGCGCGACCAATTCAGTCATTGTCTTCCAGGAAGGCGTTGACTATAACATTTTCCAGCCGATCAAGGCCACAAACCTGAGCAACGTGGAGATACAGATGCATGGAAACCTGCATCTTCCGCAAAACATCTCGGCCGTACGGGACATTGTTAATGCAGGCACCACTACTTGGTTTACTTTGGAAGGACCCCGTGTGGACTGGACTGGGCCCGAAAATGTGAACAATGGTTGGATTAAATCATACGGCCAGGCCTGGTGGGACGCAAACCCTGCCAATGGCACTGGAATCTCCGGCCGGCCTCATCTCATGAGCTACAAAACCAGCCAGGCGTCGATAAAATACTTCAGATCTGGCAAGCCGATTGCTTGGAACATGAAGCTCCATGGCGAAGATATCACCGTCAGCCATGCCATTGTGGACGCTTCATCCACTGGCAGCTTCCCATTCAACACCGATGCGTTTGACGTGAAGGGTACCAACATCCGCATATCTGACAGCGTTATGTATAATGGCGACGATGCGATCGCAGTCGGATCCGATTCACACAACATTGTATTCGAGAGAAATACGATTGGCTACCAATCCCATGGTATGAGCATCGGATCACTAGGAAAGGATCCCTCGGACATTGTCAACATCACCAACCTCAGATTCGAGGACGTGACCGTGATCGACGCTCTGTACGCTGCTCGCTTCAAGTCCTGGACGGGTGGCCAGGGGCTCGTCAAGAATGTGACTTGGAAAAACATCCGTGTATACAACGTATCGTTCCCGATCTTTGTGACCCAGAGTTACTACGATCAAAGCGTCTCGCGAGATGGTGCTGATGCCGAGTCCTCGGTGATGATGGAGGACTTTACCTGGGAAGATTTTTCCGGCTCAATTAACTCGTATCAACCCGGTGATGGATCATGCGCAAGCGATCCTTGCTGGTATAACGCCGGACTTCCGAACTTGAAGCACACGGAGGCAGTCATCATAGAGTGCAACACGGACAAGTCCTGTAAGAACTTTGTTACAAAGAACATCCAGCTCTATCCACAGGCTCTGGAACCAGCGAGCGTCATCTGCATGAAGGCTACGGCAGAGCTGAATCCAAACCTGGGGTTCAGCTGCAGCAATGGGACATTTACTTCGGCATAACCTCTCGATATTCATAGTCATTGAGAATTCATGTATATAGATAAATATACTTTCTACAGCTGTCAATCGGTCGCCAGTACGCACTGTGGCCGTGGCTTGAGTTGTGCTTTCCCAGAAAGTTGGATGCAGCCCGCGACTTCCCTCCATGACATACATGTAGCCAGTACTTAATATCCTCTCGAATCTCAGATTCTCACAATTCAACCATCTCTTTCTTATCGTCATCTGTCATTTACTTTTCTAACAGTCGCTACTACCACAACCGTTCGTTGTTCTTATCTTACTCTCAGCCATATTACTTACTTCATGCTACAGCCGTATCCCAGGTTCTATATCATTAGACCTCAAGGTTCATTTGTGCCCTTGATCCCAGTCGACGAGCTACCGACGTGGATTCAAGTTGGAAACTGGGACTGGAACGATACGTCATTGTTCACTGCCATGGCCCCTGCTAGTTTCAGCTCTATCCCACGCGTCGGCGAATACGACGTCGTCTGCCACCACTGCAACGCCAGTCTCGATGGTCTTCATCGAAGCGTCTCGGAGCAGAGTGGAAAGACAGGAAACAGCGCTCAGTACCCTCCCTTACCACTTACGAAACTAAACCAGACCTACGCCGGTGCATTTCTCTCACAGTCATCACAGGAGGCGCTTTCTCCTCTGGCCTCAAGCTATCTAATGTCCTTGAAACAGCCGCTCTTTTACACACCTGGATACCCTGCAGGTTTCACAGAACCCCCTTATTATGCGAATCTGCAGAGCCCTTTTGTTGGAATGTGTTTCATTAAAGGCTGCTACAAAAGGGGTCGAGACCAGGCCAAGGAGTCGATAGCTTTGAGAAGAATACGTAAACAACAGGGCCAGACTGGCGAAAACCTACTCGCTGATGAGTTTCCTGAGGATCCTCAGAATCCTCCAGCTCCTCCCAATTTGCCAAGTGCTTCAACTTCTCAAAACCCTGGGGCTGGTCCGAGTGGTGAGAGTCAACCCCAGAATAATCCTGCGTATGACCCCGACGAGATCACAGAGATTCCCGACGATGTAGGCAATGTATCTAGTGCACAGCTGTTGGATGATGAGATCCAGGAAACGGGAGGAAGTCTTACACCAGCATCCCCGGCGGAGTCCAGGACTAACAAGTTCAAGCGATGGAGATCCAAGCGACAGGAATCCAAGAAACAGGAGTCTAAGCAACAGGAGTCCAAGCAACAGGAGCCCCCTCGTCTGGGTAAACAGGCAGTACAACGAACTCCTGTACAGGCTTCCTCATCGAAGTCTAAGCCACAGGAGCCCAATCAGCCTGTTAGTAAGGAAACTCAACCAGTTCCTATACCACAAAAGTCCCCGTTGAGGTCAGCGCCACAGGAGCCCAATCATCCGGGCAGACAGGAAGTGCAACGAGCTCCTGTACCAGGGGTTCCAGTCAGTTCTAAGCCACAGAATCCCGCTAGAGAGGAACCGCAAGTTTCTATACCACCAAAGTCCCCGTTGAGGTCCACACCACAGGAGCACGACCATCCTGCTCAGCAGGGAACACAGCCAATTCCTATACCAGGGGCCTCATCGAGGTCCAAGCTACATGAATCCAATCCCCATCCTAGGCATAAGACGGACTCGCCCCCAAACAAACACGAGGAGCTCCCGACGTTTCCCGTCGACCAGTCGCTCATTTTTCCACACTCACCCTCCGACACTAGTCTGGATAGTAGATTGAGAGTAGGTACTCAATCTGCTCGATACGAGGATATGGACCTGTATGACATCTCACGCCGCTCATGTAAGGCTTCACCTCAATCCATAAATTCGCCGTTGCCACAAGCATCTCCAAAAAGACGTTTGAAGGCGAGGGGGTTCAAGCCATTTTCAATGTTCTGACGTAGGGAAAATCTACACAGGTTGTGTTGGAATTACGGAGAATGCATGACTATAAGATTGAATGTGTGTACTCTTTATGATTTGCTTATTACTATCCCTAGCTACCACCAGTACTAGCTTTTGTTGTCCAGATTGCTCTTGATCACCATACTTTGTTAATTTAGGTAAATCCTAAATGTTGCTCATTGCTCAATGTTGAATAGTGCATCTGGCTAGAGTACAAGTCACAGCCTTCACGGTTGCCAGAGCCTCTGTAAGCCACTGCGCGTCTATTAGACATAGTCCATACTTAGTATATTCCGGTGTGCAACCAAGCAGACACCGTTGCACGAGTCTACGAACTGGTGTCGTTAACCATAGTATACGTAAGACACAAGGATGGTAAATCCAAGAAACCAAATGCAGACCACCAAACCAACAAAAGAAAAGGGTATCTTTATCTCTCTATTCTATCCCCAAGCAAAACCTCCCCAAAATCAACCCCGACCAACCGAAAAGCTCCTCCCAGAAGGCCTCAACCCCCGCTGCGAGTGCGTCTCCTCCGCATTATCCGCCGAATTCAAATCCCAATGAACCTCACTCACGACCTGAATGCCATCCACCTCCGGATGCCGATGCATACTCGGCTCCCTACCCTCATGATTCGTCGAACAATTCCCCGTCACACTCGCCGAGTAACTATGATTTTGGCACCGGAACGGATTCGGCACGTACAGCCCGTCACACGCCGGTTTCTCTGATTGGCTGCGGTCCTGCGAGAGGAAGATGCGCGGGCAGATGTGGACGATGATGGGGCGGAGGGTGGGCAGACTGGCGCAGATGATGGCGACGCTGGATTCAATGAAGGACCAGTTTGCAGCGGCGGCGTTGTATTCTAGGATTTTGTTAGCTGAGGTGTTTTGGCTTTACATGGGGGGTGGGAGTTGTGAGGATATGTATGTTTGTATGTATGTATGTACTTACTTGTCCTGTCTGTGCTTTGGATCATTTTGACGAGGGCTGCTAGGCGAACTATACTTACTGCGCAGCCACTGAAATCAGATACCGTTAGTTTGCTATTGCTTATATTGGAAATTGAGGTTGAGGTTGGAAAAAGGGGGGGTAGACGAACAAAGTCCCCAACGCAAACACCAAAATCAATGCGATCTTCTGCTTCCGGGGTAACTGCAGCTTGGCCAGCAGCGGCATGGGCAAGATGACGATAGTCATGTCGGTGATTATCTGGAGGGCGGCGTTAAGACTCCAGAGGACTTCCTTGGGGATACAGTTGTGGGGGCTGGAGAGGTCCCAGGCGCCGCGGACGGGGATGCACATGAAGAAGGAGGCGAAGACCATCCACAGGCCGGTGATGATGACGAAGATTAGGACGATGACCAGGACGATGCGGTAAGTTCTCAGCGGGAAGAGGCGCAGATATAGCAGGACCATTGAGGTCTTGGTTAGGTTGAGGCTCAGGTTGTATAATGGGATGCTGGCCCATAAGGCCTGGATTATGTTAGATATGTGTGGTGATTATGGTGGGTATGGGAGTTATGGGGTATGTGTGTATGTGTGTACCTTGAGTTGACTCTCTACCGTCTCCAGGCTGAGTGTTTCCATGCTTTGTCCCAGGCCATGGCGCACCTCTGAGGATCGATGTTAGGGGCGTTCGGGAAAGAAAGTATAGTGACTGGTGGTTGGGTACCTATCATGACACAGACGAATAGACCGATCTCTGCGAGCTGCAATGGCTTTCATTAGCTCCATAGAACGTCTGTATTTATCGATTGGCACATACCAGGGCGAACCCGATCACCAGATCATCCCAGCCTGCAGTGCGGACAAACCAGAGTCGAGTGTATAGGCGTACAATGACGATCACTATCGATATCGCCAGAAAGGTCACGGTGACCGGTACCACGTACATCCTGCGACTTGGTGGTGGTTACCATAGAGTAGCTACATGGTTTAACCCCCGGTAGAATATCTTTCGAACGTCTTGTGTCCTGGCATGGCTGAGGGGTTTCAACGCAGGCACAGAAACTTTTCCAAGCATTTGTGGCCAATTGTTCAGCCATTGACGAAAGCAATGCAGATTCAGGATCAATTGCGTCAAGAGTCCCCCGGATTCCTTAGCCCGATTACCCCATTGGGCAATCCGGCAGTTGCATCCATGGTTCCCCCCCCTGCATGATTCAACCGGCCACAGACAAGTCGGCAATTCACGAGGTGGATCCAACAAGTCCCTCGGGCTGGGCCCTCAGGGGCAACTGAGTTACATTCTATGGCATACTTTCATGTTTCATGGCACTTGAACATAGGTGGAAACGCTATCCAAGAATGCATAGAGGTCATAAAAGGCACAAATGGCGGTGCGATCCTACATGGATTTCATAATGAGGATGGAATGGGTCATCGCAAAGTAAAATATACATTGTAGTCGTTTGATATATGCTATCTTTACTTGGTCATGACTGCAGCCCTTCCGGCTGCACGCTAGAATTTATACCAACTTGAAAACATTAAACCCACAAAGCCCTTACAGTCTAGACTTCAGGTTGCTCTTCAGCCTCCGCTCAACGGCCTCCATGTACTCGCGGGTGGTGACCCACGCCTCACGATCCTTGCGGCCGCAGGCGAGAGCCAGATCCTTGGTCATGATGCCCTCGTCGTTCACGACTTCGATACAGGCACGCTCCAACTCCTCGGCGAAAGCAACCACGTCGGGGGTCTCGTCGAGCTTGCCACGCTGCACCAGACCACGGGTCCAGGCAAAGATGGAGGCAATGGGGTTGGTCGAGGTCTCACGACCCTTCTGGTGCTCACGGTAGTGACGGGTCACGGTGCCGTGAGCGGCTTCAGACTCGAAGGCGTCACCGCTGGGGGTGGTCAGAGTAGAGGTCATCAGACCCAGGGAGCCGAAGCCCTGGGCGACGATGTCCGACTGAACATCACCATCGTAGTCTAGTTACCCTCGGTTAGAACGCTGTTCTCGGGCAAACGGTCCAGGGCCGGGACGAGTCACTTACTCTTAAGAGCCATAACGAAGCCACCCTCGCTCTTGATCATCTGAGCGACCATATCGTCGATCAGACGGTGCTCATACCAGATGTTCTTGGCATCGAAATCCTTCTTGTAGGTAGACTCGTAGATCTCCTGGAAGATATCCTTGAAGCGGCCATCGTACTTCTTCAGGATGGTGTTCTTGGTGCTCATGTACAGAGGCAGGCCCTTCAGCAAGGCCATCTGGAAACTGGCGTGAGCGAAGCCTCGGATGGACTCGTCAGTGTTGTACTGAGTCTGAGTAACACCGCCGCCCTGGAAGTCGAAGACCTTGACGGTCTCGGGTTCGCCGCCATCGGCAGGGGTGTAGACCAGCTCAAGCTTGCCGGGGCCGGGAATCACACGGTCAGTGGCACGGTACTGGTCACCGAATGCGTGACGTCCAATGATGATAGGCTTGCTCCATCCGGGTACGAGACGGGGAACGCGGGGAATGATGATGGGTTCACGGAAGACAGTTCCGCCGCTGCAAGCGATGTTAGTGATCCTGCAACAGCAGACCAGGTAGGTTTGACAGTACGTACAGAATGTTTCTGATGGTTCCGTTGGGAGAAAGCCACACTAAAAGATACCCTGGTTAACAGAGGTATACAATGCAATTGTCCAATCCGGCACCTACTCTTCTTCAACTTGAACTCCTCAACACGGGCTTCATCGGGGGTGATGGTAGCACACTTGACACCAACACCATATTTCTTGATGGCCTCTGCGGCCTCAACGGTGACCTGGTCATCGGTCTGGTCACGGTATTCAAGTCCCTGCAAAGGTGTCAGTGCCAGGGAAGCTTCATACGATCTGTGCCGAGGTGTCAATCATACCAGGTCGTAGTACTTGAGATCAATGTCAAGGTAACTGGTCTCGGAAGTTAGCTACATCGTGCCGTCGGTAAAGAGCATAGGTCATCATAGGCTTACGGCAAGATCAACTATGAGGAAGAAGCATGTCAGTCTCTGAGTTCGGGGAGGAACGGCCCGTGTCATACGAGGCCAGGGACCGCGGGTACTAACCTTCTCTCTGATCTCCTGCCAGATAATACGGGTCATCTGAGAAAAGTAAAGTGGTCAGCCACATGTGAAATGCCATGACTCGGATAGATTATGGTTGGCCGAGCGCTTGTGATCCTCGGAAGATTGGCGCTGTGTGGCCAGGGAACATGGAGACATGGAGACATCTCGCCGTATTTCCCCGCGTTTGCGCCAGGTCATGACGAAAATGGCGAGGATGGGGTTGAGGCATATAAAAACAAGGGCGCGCCCTGGCGCCGAGCCAAGTCTAGATGGTCGAACTTACCTCATCTCCATCCAGTTCCACCACTGGGTTCTTAACCTTGATCTTGGGGCCTTCAGTTGCCATGGTGCGGGCTTGTGTCCACTGCAGAGGAGAGATTCCGGTTTGGCGGGGGGAGACGATACGAGGGAGCTGGGACGAAGCGAGGGGTCTCTGAGCGCGAGGGGTAGCAGCAGTCGAGAAAGAGGAAGAAGACGAAGAGGAAATGTAAGAAGAAGAAGACCGGGCGATCGAGCGATAAGCGGAGGAAGAGAGAGGGGCAGACAGAGGGGAGGCGACAGCGCGGCGAACCGACGCGGAATGGAGCCGAAGGGAATTCATCATTTTGGTCGGACCTGATGCCTTGGATACCCAAGCGGATTAACGATCGGTAATCGCAACTCCCAGAGAAACTCCCCTGCTTACCTATTCAGGTCTGGGGTACACCAAAGACAATTAACGTATACCCGAGGAAATCGCCGTGAAGCTGTTCGGTTGGAAGGAGAGAGCGGGCGGTGGAGTCGGAAGCTCCCGTCAACGCCGGAGAACGCTGCTGATAGATGGATATACACGGGGGAGATCGGAGCTCCGGAAAATATGTTAGTTCCCAGGTGGAACGGTTGATTAGTCGTAGGTGATTCGGGGGGGGAGTTCGTCGGGGGAAAAGAGTACAGGAGAGAAAGGGGAGTTCGAAGGATAAAAGAAGTTGTTGACCAAAGTCACGACTTTAATCTGGCCCAAAGCAGAAGTCTTTATCCCCCTCTTGACTCAATTGTTTTGGTCGCTACTTCCTTTTCCGCCCACCGTGTGCAAGGCCCTACGCCGAAGCCGGCCGGAAATTTCCCACTACTCCCCGTAAAGAATGAGGGCGGGCACAGGATGGATCCTCGGTCCCCATCTATAGTAGTACTCCTGACTACTGACTACTGACTATCCTGTCGCAAAGAGAGAAGTCATGCGCTGTGGCCGATCGGCACTTATGATGATGACTCCCTTCCGGACTACATCTCATATTTTGTGAATTTTATACTTCACTCATCCCTTTGCCTTGTCTGTCTTGTCTGTCTTGTCTTGCCCCAAGCCGTACGTGTAAATCTTTTACCCGCGACTGGCCATCATATGTCTGATAGGCAGGAGGCACTACTCCAGATGGAGCCAACTGCCCTCCATTAGCCGCCGTTTCCCGCGGTAACGGGTCCAACAATCTCCGCCCGGATCAAGTTGCACCGAAGTCGCCTTTCCACCGCGCGGTCGAAACCAGCGATAAACGGACACTCCGTCCATCTCTCGCCCGACAGTCAAAGTATTCCGCTACTCAAGACGAACCCATCATCATTAATTAACTCCATTCACTCGTAACACTTAGTAGTTTATATAGTAATATGATCTTTCTAAGAAATTTTATCATCTCAACTCCGTCCGCCCAACTTGTTGAAAAGCACCCAGTCCTGTTCCGAAGGCTGGTGCACCATCACGCTTGTATATGTTGAATTGAACCCGAGAATCCCGCCGTATCATGATAGCACAGAACAAATGATGTATATCCAATTAAGAGAAAGAGAGCACTGGGAAACTGGGTAATCGGGTTACACCAAACGTCCCAGGATCGATCCAGTCGACCACATAGTGCATCTAAAACAGACCGTCGATTTCTCCGGTCTCGGGGTCAATATCGACGTTCAAATAACCCGGGGCGGTCGGCAGACCGGGAATGGTTTGAATATCCGCAGCAAGGGCGTACCTGCAATCTAATTAGTATCTGCTCGGTGTATAAGGTCTATAAAGGCAGTCTTACAGATATCCACCACCCACGGCCAACCGAACATCCCGGATGGGGACTGTGAACCCGGTCGGCGCGCCCTTCAAGGCAGGGTCATGGCTGAGAGAGTACTGAGTCTTGGCAATGCAAATAGGAAGATGTCCAAATCCTTGGGCCGAGTAGGTGTCGACCTTCTTTTGCGCAAGCTCGCTGAGCTCAACCTTCTCCGCGCCGTACATGGCCTTGCCAATGCGTTCAATGCGCTCCTGGATGGTACCTTCCAGCTCATACAAGAGCTTGAAGTCCTTCGGCTTGGAGCTAGCTGCCAGAACACCCTTAGCCAGGTCCACAGCGCCAGCTCCACCCTCAGCCCAGTGGTTAGCGGGGATCGCATCCTCGGCTCCTGCAGCGATGGCCTCCTCCCGGATGACAGCAATTTCCGCTTCGGTGTCGGTCTCCATGCGGTTAATGGCAACCACCACGGGCACACCATACTGGCGGGCATTCTCGATATGCTTCTTCAGGTTGATACAGCCCTTGCGTAGAATATCGACGTTCTCGGTACGGTAGACTTCGTTCAGCGGGGCTCCGGGGCTAATCTCAGGGCCACCACCGTGAACCTTAAGAGCACGGACGGTGGCCACAATAACCACAGTGTCCGGAGTCAACCCGGAGGACCGACACTTGATGTTGAAGAAACGCTCTCCGCCCATGGTGAAGTCAAAACCAGCCTCCGTTACAACGAAGCCAGTCTTGTCCTCATGGTCCTCATCAGGTTCGGTACCGGCGAGTTTCAAAGCCAACTTGTCCGCAATCACGGAACTAGCTCCAATACTGATGTTGGCAAAGGGACCAGCGTGCACCAAAACGGGCGTTCCCTCCAAGCTTTGCATGAGATTAGGCTTGATGGCGTCCTTCATAAGGGCAGCAAGAGCACCACCGGCGCCAATATCGTCGCAGGTGACGGGATCACCACTCCTCGATGTAGCAACGACCATCCGACCCAGTCTGTCGCGCATATCCGCCAGGCTGTTGCTCAGAGCCAGGATGGCCATACACTCACTAGCGACGGAGATATCGAAACCAGTTTCACGGGTCAGTCCCTTCTCCGTAGGTGCCTGTCCAACAGTAATGCCACGGAGGTGTCTGTCATTGACATCCAGAACACGGCGCCAAGTAATGGTTTCTGGGTCGATATCAAGGCGTGCGAACCGACGAATCTCCTCATCGGTCAGGTCGTCAGGGTTGGTCTTGGTGATACCCAACTTATTCAGTCTCTTAAACATGACAGGTTGGAATTCGCGCTTGCCCTTCTTGGCGGGGACCAATCGCTTGTAGAGGGGGCCATCCTTCTGGGTTGCTTCGTGGAACATGCGGGTTTCGATAGCGGCGGCAAGAAGGTTGTTCGCAGCAGTAATCGCATGAATATCACCGGTGAGATGCAGGTTGAACTCATCCATAGGAATCACCTGACTGTAGCCACCACCGGCAGCTCCGCCCTTGATGCCGAATGTAGGGCCCTGGCTGGGCTGACGAACATTGGCGAACACAATGCGATTCAAATGCGCACCAATAGCCTGGGTAAGACCCAAAGTAGTTGTCGACTTGCCCTCACCAAGCGGGGTTGGGGTAATACCACACACCAAGATGTACTTTCCATTGCGGCGGTGAGCCAAGCGATTGAGAACGTCGAGACTAACTTTAGCTTTAGTGTGACCGTAAGGCTCGAGCTCGTGAGCAGCAATGCCAACTTCCGAAGCAACCTGTGTGATTGCCTTGGGGTACTGTGCGCGGGAGATGGCAATGTCAGAGGGCACAGGGCGAGCCAGCTTGAGCGGCAATGGGGTGATATGTCTGTCCTTCTGCTTCTCGAAGTAGGCCTTGGCAGAGTGAACCACATTCTGCATCAGCATAGCCACTGTCATGGGACCGACACCACCAGGCACGGGGGTGATCTGAGAAGCCACCTGAACGGCGGACTCGAACTCGACATCGCCGACCAGTCGCTGGCCCGACTTCTTTGACGGATCTGCCTTGTAATTGATACCGACGTCAATGACAACAGCACCGGGCTTCAACCACTCGCCCTTGACAAACTCCGTCTTTCCAAGGGCGGCGACGAGAATGTCCGCCGTCTTGATGATACTTTCGACGTCAGGCGTCTTGCTGTGACACAGTGTCACAGTTGCGTCTGCCTTGTTCAACAGATAGCTAACAGGGCTGCCAACAATATCACTCCGACCAAGCACCACTGCCTTCTTACCCGCCGGGTTGACTCCACTCACTCGCAGGAGCTCCATCACGGCCTGTGGGGTGCAAGGAACAAAGAGGGGGTGGCCGCCTCTCTTGGCTAGTTCACCGATATTGACTGCGCCGAAGCCGTCAACATCTTTCTCGTCAGCCACGGCAGAGGTGATGGTATGTTCAGACATGTGTTGCGGAAGGGGCAATTGGACGAGAATGCCGTGCACGGAGGGGTCATTGTTGGCCTTGACGATATCCTGAAGGAGCTCAGATTCGATAGCGGTCTCTGGAAAATTGACAATCTTGCAGCTGATGCCCGCCTAGACGAAGGGAGTTGGTCAGCCAGGTGAGTAGCATTATGGAAGTGGGGGGAGCTTACCTCTTCGGCGGCCTTTAACTTCATGCGCACATATGTGCCTTAAAAAAAGATTAGTGGACATTCCAGAGCTTAAAGTGTGTTAAGCAAAGCACTCACTGGAATCCGATCTGCTGCCCACTATATACAATACATGGTCAGCAATTCCGTACGTTTGGGGGGTGGGTTAGTCGGTTATGAGTCCATAGGACGGCGCACCCTGGAAAATAACCAAGCTCGGCTTGAATCTGGGATTAGACTCCTGGATCTGCTGGATCTCATTCTTCAGACCCGCCCGAATATCCTTGGCGATCTGCGTGCCATCGATCTTAGTGGCTGCCATGGTGGTTCCGGTGCTGTAGGATGAGCGACGGATAGAGAACGGCGTCGCAGTGAAGCCCTTATAACCTGTGGGGTTGGGTTGGAGGGCCCGTAAAGTACCGTAATTAAGTGAGCCGACCCCGCGCCCTGCGGAGGATTCTCGTGGTCTGAGGAGAAAGAAGGGTGCGATCCGGGGAAAGGAGAGGGGGAGAGGTGAGGAGGTATGGAGGTGACGAGAATTGAAGAAGAAACATTTTGCTTTGGCACCTTGGTGGTGTTGGAACTGGCAGCGGGGTAACGCCGCCAAACGGGCGGGGGAGCTAAATGGCATTGATTTGCTTCGTCGGAGACTTTGGCTGGGCTGACCAGCAGCAAACCCTCGGGAAACACAGGGAGGAAGAATTGGAGATAGGGAAAAACGCCCGTCAACCCCAAGGGATTACCTAAAAGTGTTGAATAACACGCAATTAAGATTATGCTTTATACAGAAAATGAATCGGGGATTCAACCGTGCAACCATCCCTGCCCGTCTCCGGAATCTCCAACTTCTTCATCTCAGGGATTCCGTTTCAATATCTTCATTTGGGGGTCAACATGTCTAGAAGTTTGTTTGGGTTGCACATGATCGGCCCGTCATTAAAGTCGGAGCGTTAAAAGGGACTTGGCAACGAGTCAGGCCGGAGGGAACCGACCTTTCTCACCCAACTATGCCTAGTATGGACAAGACCTCTGTAGTCAGACACTCATGGGTGAGTCAACAATCTAGGGCTGTCGAAAGTCACGCGGATAGATTACCATACCGGATTATCAATGTGCCGATACAGACATTTTTCAAGACAGGAACAGCCTCGAACAGGAAAAGTCTTGGCGCGCGAGCCCGGACTGTGCGATGAAATTCACTAGTCTGACTACGCCGACGAAGAGAGCCGCCAGCAGCACCCCGCCAGCAGTTCCGCCTCAGAAACGATACAGTCGGTCCCAGGATCCAATCTGTGATCTTATACCTCAAATCCTCTCGTCGCTTTCCCCTAATATCATAGCTTGGTTGGCCCAATATGAGGCCTATTTTGCTTTCGGGCCATGTGCGTGCAGCCTTACAACCATCCCGATGATTCTCTTTTTCCACGGCAATGAAAAATAAGAAAAAACAGAACCAGCCACTGACAGAGACTTTGCGCATAGGAACGGTCCCTCAACCAGATCAAATTCAACCGCGATGGCGACCTTTTGTTTTCTGTAGCGAAGGATAAGATTGTGTGCGCTTGGTGGTCGGCTAACGGCGAGCGACTCGGTACCTATAACGGACACCAGGGTGCTATCTGGACCGTCGATGTGAGCCCCAACACCGTTCTTCTGGCCACCGGATCGGCCGACAACACCGTGCGACTATGGAACGTGAAGACTGGCGAGTGTATTAAGGTGTGGGATTTCCCTACGGCTGTCAAGCGGGTCGAATTCACTCCGGATGGAAGCAGGCTGCTGGCCGTCACAGAGAAGCGTATGGGCTTCTTGGGTACCATCGCCGTGCTCGATATCAACTATGAGGACTTGGAGGCTCAGGCTGAGGAACCCAGCTTGAGAATCACCTGCACAGAGAGCAAGGCAACAGTTGCGGGCTGGAGTTATTTGGGCAAGTACATCATTGCTGGCCACGAGGACGGTAGCGTCAGCCAGTACGATTCGAAGGTGCGCAAAAATCGATCAAGGAAAAACAAAACAGGAGGCCGTGCTAATAGACCGTGGTAATAGACCGGTGAGCAGTTGGAGAACGTTCAGGCACACGAGTTCGACAACTTGATCAGCGATATTCAATTCTCCCCAGACCGCACATATTTCATCACCGCTTCCAAAGACAAGTCTGCCAAGGTATGCCACTTCCTCGGAGAACTGGTAGCACGGCAGTATACTAACTTGAGTCCAGCTCATTTCCAGCCGTAACCTCGCCATCCTCAAGACCTATGTTGCCGACACCCCCCTCAACAGCGCCGCTATTACGCCCAAGAAGGAATACGTGATCCTGGGTGGTGGTCAGGCTGCTATGGATGTCACTACTACCTCCGCTCGTCAGGGTAAATTCGAGGCTCGTTTCTACCACAAGGTCTTCGAGGACGAGATTGGCCGTGTCCGTGGCCACTTCGGTCCCCTCAACACTGTCGCTGTCCACCCCGCCGGTACCTCCTACGCCTCTGGTGGTGAGGATGGTTACGTTCGTGTTCACCACTTCGACAAGCCCTACTTTGATTTCATGTATGAAGTGGAGAGGGAGCAGCTGCGCAAATAAAGTGATTGGCGTTTAAAAAGAGCTTTTTTCCAATTAACGCATGTGTCATGAGGCAAAGACATTTCTTACCACAAAAAAGAGTAGAAAAGGTAAAGCAGGCACGGCGGTACGAGAAGTTCTCGGGGCGATTTAGGGCATGAATTCTCATTTCATTGATTCCATGATAAAGTCGGAGTTGGTACCATTTTCCTTTTTCTGGTCGCTTTCTGTGTCCTAATAAAAGAACCCAGTATTTACTTCTTACAATTTTGCTTCAAAGTTCATACTTCATCATCATAAATATATCTCTTCGTTGGCAATTTGCTGGGTAGCACTCTATCACATCTAGATATAAACCATATAAATCCCAACATGCACCAACAACAGCATCACGATTTCTTTGAGGTAGTATTTTATATGAAAAAAGAAAAAGAAAAGAAAAAATCATCTCAATGCCAGGTCAGCGCTCTTCCGACCAGCAGAAAGTAATGGGGATCTCATTGCACAATAAAATGCATTAACGTAACAACCGAAAGGACATCCGGGGACATCATAAAGAAGTAAGAGAGAGAAGGGTTTCATAAAAAAGCATCCCATCCCGTCAAGAAAAAGCCGCAGGCTCACCCCCGGTCTATTTACTTTTTCTTGGGGAACTTCTCCTTTCCGATGTCTGAGCCTCTCAGCTTGATGTTGAGCACACGCTCCATCGCACTGAGGACCTTCTGGTCGGGGGTGGCGGTACCCTTCTCGAAGTCCTGGACCATGGTGACGGTGGTGTTGCACTTGGTGGCAAGTTCCTTCTGTGTCATCTTGTAGCCCTCCTCGGTACGGCGCTTCTTGATAGCGTCTGCAACTTGGTAACCAACGGTCTTGGGCTTGATGATGTCGTCGCTGCGGTCGACCTTGGTCAGGTGCTGACCTTCAATAGAACCAGTTTTGGAAGCCTTCGAATGCAAGTCAGCGCTATGGCCTCGAAAACAAAGAAACTCGATACCGCGCGGGGCTAGGATCAAGTAGATTACTTACAGCATTGCCAGTGGCGTACTTCTTCTCAGTTCCGATAACAAGACCCTGGCGCTGAGCGGCGTTCAGGGCGCTCTTGCCCTTGACGACAGTCTCACGAGGAGCGGCACCGCCAGCGCGGTGCTTGCTTCCAATGCGAGTAGTAGAGTTCCAGTCATCCATTTTGAAAGAGTTTAGAAGAGGTTCGAAGAAGACTCGATAGGGAGGAGAATGGTGGGGTTATGTGTTGAGGGGTGGGAGAATTGTGACGAAGGCGGTAAAATTGGATCGCGTGAGGTTGTGGCTAAAAAGAAGGGATGTCGCAGGCCCGCCGAATTTATATCAATGACACAGAAGCTTCTCGAGCCACGATGGCGGAGTCAGAGGGGAGGTTATGCCCTAGTCCTATTTCGGTCCCCTCTTTGGGTTCGGCCCCACTGACATCATCCGTTCATTCGCTCGGAGTTTTTCTCGCCCTAAATCCGTTTCTTACTTTGATGGCAAATCCAAACCTACTCGTACATACCACATGGATCATTTGCCACAATGATCAAAGCTTGACTGGTTAGTTACTTACAGTAATGAGTCTTTCCAGTGACTGGGACCCTTCTTCCAAAATATATGGATCACTGTATCGCACTAATATTCTAAGACTCGTCCTTAGATGTATATATCGAGGAACACCAAAATCTCAGAAAGAGAAAAAGAAAAGAAAGAAAGAAATATCCACAATAAACAGCCTCATGGCGCTTTTGCAAAGGCTGCTTCTAGAAGCTGTACACACTCAGTCGGATATGACTTTTGCGCCCATTCAAGCGCCGTGGTCCCGCTTAACATCCTTTTGTATATATCGGCCCCAGAGTCCAGCAAGAGCTTCGTGATTTGCGTATATTCATTCCGAGCCGCAAACATAAGAGCAGTGCAGCCATCATGGGTTTGCATATTGACATTGGCTTTCTCTGAGAGTAGATAATTCACCATCTCGATGTTATTTTCTGATGTTGCCAACATCAAAGCGGTGAATCCCTCATCATTACTTAGGTTGATATTCGCTCCATGCCCTAAAAGTATCCGGGCTACAGCGACATTATTCCCCATTGCGGCGAATAGTAAAGGAGTCTGCCCGCCACTACTCCGAGCATGTATATTAGCACCCCGGCGTAGAAGCAGGGAAACCAAGTCTGAGTTGCTCGCATAGCTAGCAGTCATCAATGGTGTTTCTCCATCGGCGCCCCTTCCGTCGACGCTAGCACCCGCGTGAAGTAGTTCTTGAACTGCCTTTTGATTTCCCAGTGCACATTCGCGGATCAAGGCAGTTAGCCCCTCCTCTGACTGCTCTTGCATGTTAATGTCTACCCCATGTTGGCGTAATGAAGTAAGTGCTGATCCGTATTCTCCTTCGGCAGCGGATATGATGATGTTGTAAATGAACCCTGGACACTGTCTATCATACTCTATCCATCTCGTGATGATCCAGTCAAGAAGTGCCTGGTGACCATTTTGGCACACCCAATCCAATGCAAGACGATCATCTATCTTGTGTAACTCATGGCTGGGATGTGATTCTTCGCTCTTGGTCAGCCACCGGAGCACTGCCTGTTGCCCTATCTGTCCCTGGCCTTCATCATCATTTGCCTTGGCCACTGGTATGGAGCTTTCATTAATGCCCAGTGACTGCAGTGTTTGTTGAATGGTGTCTCGATCGTTATGCCTCTGCACAGTATGCCACATAATCCACCCTAGTTGGAGGGATATTGCTTTCCAGTGTTCTGGCCTCTTGTTTTCGTCCATCCATCCGGTTGGGCGACTATTCCTCAGGTTTCTGATAAATCTCGTTCTCGGATCAATCTCTATCGCTCGGTATGTATATTCACACCCTTGTTTCTGTATATTGGGGTCACCATCTAGCATTGCACGGCGACAAAGATAACCGAGTGAAAACATAGAATGTTCAAACTCTGCTCCCTCACTCCTCTCACAAAGCCACCATAATACTGCAAATGCTTCCGTCCAGTTGCTGCTGGCGACAAGCTCGTCTATACGAGCCCTGACGATCTTCGAATTTCCGGCAAGTTGCGGTAAAAGATCTCTATACCTCAACACGGGAACAATACACAGCAATGCGTCCTCTCTGGTTCCTAATTTTCCTGCTTCGAAGCAGTTCACAAGGTCGTCGAGGCGGTTGTTATATGCAATGTACCCATTCTGGGAACCGGGCAGTATAGTGGTATCACCGCCAATCTCCGGTAAGTTTCCAAGGACACATTTGATGCATTGAATGTAAATATCTTGAGCAGCTGTGGTTTCTAGTGGATTGTCGGTCTTCACAACTAGTATCTCTGTGTCCTTGAGATATTCGTCTGCGTAATACCCGAACATGCGTTGTGGCAGACAGATCATCTTCGACGAGACCAACTTTGCTTCTCTCTGGCGGAAAATCCATTTGTGGAAGTAAAGGTCAGTGTCTTCTGCTCTGGCCTCGGAATCGTTTAGTCCTACAAGTCTACCGAGTTTGTCTTGTAACCACTCTGGGCTGGAGGCCAGCAGTGACCACGTCCATAGCCCCAGCACCGCCTCTAGCTCGTTTTGTTGGACTCGCCACTGCAGGGTATCATCTGCTCTTTCGAGGTGGATTGTGTAGCTTTCAAGGTTAGGTGCAACAAACTTGTGATGAGATTGACATACAAGCTCAAGGTCAAAGCTGTCCACATCCTTTGGCGCGTGCTGCCAAGTTGATAATAAGTCCATCGTCGCTTCGATTGCCTGGGCCAAATTCTGAGCAGCCTGTCGAATAGGCATATCACTCCAAGCCATCGAGTTAGTGCCAGAAGTCAGATTCGCGAGTTGCATTCTCGTTTGAATGAGTCTAGTTCCCAGTCTAGAGGTTTGTCCTGAATTTCCAGACGCAACGGATCGGAGGCTGGGTTGGTATTGCGACGAGGATCTTACTATGCCAGGGACCAGGCTAAATGATTTCACATCCTCGAGGTGAAATGCAAAGCAGTCTAATTCTTGACTCTTGTAAGACGCAAGCTGCTGTTCTGGCTTAGTGAGGCGGTTTTCCTTCGAGCTGACCCTCTTTGTGCGAAGACATGTTCGAACAATAGCCATCACAAGCGTAGAACCCATCTGAGCTAGGGTCACAGACGAATGTAGTCCTCGAAGACCAACAAATTGAGCCACGAACCCGACCAGTGTAATCGATATAGTTAGCGACAGTATATACCAATTGCCTTCGAATGCATGATCCCTTATCGATTTTATATATATGAGATCTTCAGTCGGTTGAGAGTCTAGTCCCTCGTTAACTCCAAGGAAGGAACTGAAGACTTGGTCGCCGACATGCTGGCCCCCGGGCTGCAACCAATATATTTTGCTGGGCTTGACTGGATGGAAGTAAAGCTCCCTCGACGAGCGCTCGATAATCAAGGCACAGAGAAACATCCCTGTGCAGAGAGAAATCGTGCCAATAAGGAAAAGGGGGAGTGCATAGTTTTCCACCGGCTGCCCATCCTTCTGAAAATCGACCGGATATATAAGAACGGTCACTGCGGAATACGCAAGCACACCTGAAATACTTGTCAGCTATTCATTGCCAATTAATACCAAGGCAAAGTTAATCGCCTAAACAACGTACCGATCTGCAACACAAACCCGAGAACAGCAGCACAGTAAAACCAACCTTGGCTCCTCCTCGCAATACCCTTGTTCAGTGATAGATTTGGTATTTCGAGCTCTGGTGACGAGTAGTCCTCCTCATGGAGACTCAGCCCTCCATTTTTTGTGGTCCACACGCCCTGCACTAGAGCGTCACGCAAGGTCCCTGTCTTCCAGCAGTCCTCTTTGCTTACGGGATCTCTATCCTTCCATACCACTACCTCCAATAGCCGAGGGCGTCCAAAAACCCGGGATATGCCGCCATTGTTAAATAATTCAGCCGTGGTCTCCGAGACGCATGACAACAGCTCGTGCTCTGCCTCTCCGGGACCCTCCTGCGCCCTCCCAATGAATGCTCGCAGAGAGGGATTGCCGCAGACTCGGATGGCAGAGACTGTGGCTGTCAAAATCCCAAGCGGAGCTAGGGCAAAGATAAAGTTGTCTAGGAGGCTAATAGACTCCGAGAGAAACTGAGTTGTAAGTCGTTCTCCAAAGAGAGATATCAACGGAGCCTGGTAATCTCAACGTTAAACCAATGCTAGTACATATAGTAATGCAGAGAAAGCGCGCCTTACCAGGTCCGTAGCAAGATTATCCGTAAAGTTATCCCAGCCACTTGCCCTTACGGTAGGTATTATAAAACCTGCAACAAGTACGATATGGCTAAACATGGCGATGGGAGCCACGGTATATACGACAAGAAGAACCGAATTTGAGAAAAATTCTAAAAACAAAGCATCCTTCTTGTACAACCTTGGGTTTATATTGTAAGCGCCCTCATACAAACGACTGCGCTACTCATGCATAGTGCCCAAGGACCCCGGTCGGCCACATCAGCCTTGCAAGGCGCCTACTGGCAAGATACATGGTGAAACTCGACATGGTGTAGTAGTGGCGCTTCGCCAGCTTCCTAGAGAAAGAATTATCCAATATTTGTCCATAGTGACGATGCCGAATAAGTTTGCGCCAGCCTGCTGGGTCTGGCTTCTAGTTGTGGAGACGTGCATGATCGCCGGCGCTTAAACATCCAACGTGGCGCGCTGGACTCAAATTTCTTCTGCTAGTGGGGTTTCATGTGGCTTCGAGTGGAAAGCTTGCTAGGGCGGATCTAGAGGATATGAGGGAGTTACAAGATAGCACCTGGCACTGCATGGAGGGCGGGGTTGGATTGGGAGGCCTCAGGTATTATTTGGATATCCTCGTCGCTGGATTTGCACCAATATTTGATTTACTCCTATTAGTTATCCGTTCATAGAATTCAACTAAGGCTTCACAGATCATTGCATGGAAAGTCGCATTCTGATAATTGTATTAACGTCGTGGCTATGGATCATGCTATAAATAACCCGCGACATACGGTTCCAAAATAATCCCCATTAGCCAAACTGAACGAGGCTCCCGAGCAGCAAAAGAAAAGACACCACCAACGCCATTCCCAGAAACAAAAGGAGTGAGAAACGGATTCAACACGCATGGTATCCAACTTGAGACCCCTCCGGTATTAATGAAAGCTGGAAAAGCGAACACACTAAAAAATGCTATTCACAATGTTGGAACCGATAGTAGCACCGGCACCGAAGATAGCTAGACGAGTGATAGTCAGTAATCACGAATATGCCACGGGTTATTAGGGAACGTACCGGCATTGCCCATCTTCTTGCCGAACTTCTTGCCCTGCTCTTCAAACTTGCCGGTTTTCTTCTCCTCCGGATTTTCGGCGGAGCCACCCTGGCTGACTTCGAGGGGCATATTTCCGTAACCCGAAGGAGGAGCTGGCGCCGCCTTGTCTTCTATCACGCTCACATAACTACGAGGGAAGATACCCTCCAAGTTGGTCCGCTCGTTACGACCACGCCACCCTGTAGGCCATTATTAGTCAAGTGCCAGCAGTTTCGGGTGACCGGAGTTCCTTACAATCGGCGTTCATGTGCTCCAGCACTTGAACCCGGTCATGGGGCTGGAGGGCCAGATCACCGGGATCCGTTGGAGTGTAAGCGTAGAGTGCATTGGCGACCGAGAGCACTGGAGGAGCTTGGGGATAAGCAGGTGGTGGAGTATAATGCTGTGGGGGCGGTTGATAGGCGGCCTTCTCGTTCAACGAGGTATTGGCAAATTGTTGGGTTGGAGGAGAGTATGGAGCTGGAGAAGGCTGGATGGGAGTTGGGGCTGCAACTGGGGGTTGGTGCCGCTGGACAGGTGGCTGCGATTGAGGTACAGAGACGGAACGTTCAGAGGTGGAACGTTCAGTGTTCTCCTGGGGAAGTTGGGATACAATCGAGGACAGTTGTTGCGGAGTGATGACCGACGCATCCGCAAGGAACTCAAGTTCCTAGAACGGATGAATGGGGTTAGCGATATGTTACGGAAGATTATGTATCAGAATATAGTAGAAGTGCTATTCCTTAAGAGCAAAGGAGAGAGTTATACCAATCGGACAGTGCGCAGCGACCGGTTGGTCATGGCGGTCATGAAGTTGTTCTGGGACGCCATGGTCGGCAAAGAGAAGTAAGAGAGCGACGGGAACTAAAAGGAAATTCAATAAAGAGAGGTGGACGTATATTAAAACCACGGAGGTTCAAAATTTTCGAAACGAGGAATAAGTTAAAAAAAGAATGATGGGCGGTGCTTAGTCCAAAAAGCCGATAAATGCGCTCCAAGGGAAATGGAAGATGTTCCTGACGCCCCAGTCGGATCGGTCGGGGCAAACGCTGGTCATTGGCCTTTTGCCTCTCAGTCTTTCCATGTCTGCCTATCCTTGCCAAGCATCATTGAAACATTCCTCTCAAGGTCTCTGATACTACTTTATAGTTATCTGTCCTCTCACAGTTTGATGAATAGGAATGTACCAGTTCTTCATATCAGAATCTCTCGCCTATATTTACGGGGATATGCCATCTACGCTGCAGTTTGGTCAAATTTGGTGTCCCAATCTATGAAGGTCTGCTCCGCTCTATTGTCTCCGTGACACACCTCGAGTATGCCCCATTTATAGGTGCTACCTTGAACTAGTTTTCTAGGCATAATGGAGATGCTCATGTTTGTTTCACCTGAGCACCCCTTTACGTTCAATGTGAAAGGTTTTTTATTATCACGCAACCATTAGTTTCCTCCATTAATTGGACCAGTGACTGCTCTCCTGAGTGTTTCCCTACTTCTCATATCAGATAACATTCTACGGAGTACATGAGGGCGAGAAATGATACCTTATGCTTCCGGCCATGTACAGTAAGAGTCTACTTCGCACCTTATGAAGTCGGAGCCTCAGCCCGACGTGATGCGGTAGTGATGCCGTTAACACCGGTATACAAGGCCTGGATTCCTGGACTAGGTAGACGCTTGACGGAAAATTATAGCAAACCCCTCCATCCCTTACATGCACTAGTGATCAATAGCAATTTCCAGTCCATGTATACCATCTGGGCGATTCCATGTGGAGCGACGGTCGAGATCCCCATGAGACCCTACTATTGTCGTAAACAACCTTAGATAGCCATGTTCAAGTAAGGATTAAAATCGGTTATCGATATTTGCCTAGTATATTGGACGATTTGACACAGCCATGGTTGAAACATTGAGATCGGTAGATTTAATTGTTGGGAATATCTTAGTAGTCATGGTTTATCTCGGCGCAGGTCGCCTGTTAATGTATGCACGTGCATTACAAATATGGACACATTACCTACGTAGGGCTTGCCATCGGCGGTAAAAGCAAACTACAGATAGGTTGTATATGGTTTACACGCATTTTAGCATATAAACCTAGAGAATCAAACACTATCTTGTCCAAGAGAGCGCTGGCTATTGTGTAAAGTTGCCAAGTGGTTGGCCAGAACCTAGTAACCCTACCCCACTTCTTGCCCCCTCCAAACGTTTTCTGATACTTGATGGCATCCCCGCAGAGCTCTCCTCTGATTCGACTCGAGTCTTCACTTCGAAGACCACTGGCCGGGCCATTGAGGACTCTGCAACTATGGGGAAATTGTATCTGATTGGCCGGAAGGCGACCATCAAAGACGATGTTCCCGTCTCAAGTTCGACATGATCGGCTGGACGTTGCTGCAGGTCGTATCACAGACTACTCCCTCTAAGCGCCGACTTGGATCCTTTAGATCAATCAGATCGCAAGAACGGCATATCCTCAGCGCTTACAGAGACCATTGGATGCCTGTGCTTGTGTCTGCCGTCTGAGCTCGGAAGCTATATTAACAACGCAAGAAACTGCTTTGGAGAGTTTCTTTTATTCCCATGTATCTCGACTCATATTCAATGCCGTACTATTCGAGCTTTAGACAATCTTAAACAATCAAGCCCCTTCTAAGTCACTGAAACTATTTTTGATCTTTTCTTGGTTTTTCTGTTTTATCCTTCTTTCTTCCAGAGCGGCAGTAATTCAGAAAAGGAGATAGTCGCGACTTTTCCTTAAGACAAGTACGCATACAGCGAAAGACTGAAAAGGGCCTCAAATCTTGAAAAATGGCGACTCCCTATTTCCCTCCACCACCAGGTCAAGAATCTCAATTTCCTCGTAGGTCGACCTGATCACTCTTATTTTCCCCTTGCTCTTCTTTGGGGATAATACTAACGGTATTCTTGACCTCAGCCCCTCAGAGAGCCGCAAGTACGATGATATCTCGTTTTCTATATTGAAAATGGTCTTACCGGTGATATAGCGTTCCAGTCGCACCCCCACAGAGTCTCAGATGTCTCTGCGCCTGACTTCGATTTCCCTGCGCCGCAGAGGCAACAGACAGCGCCGACAGTGACACCGCCGCCGACTGATATTAACTCCGCAGCGTTTGCTGCAAATGGATATAACACCAGTCCATTTGGGCCAACCCCAGTGCAACCTCCCCAACCTTCCCCGCCGCCATCGCTTCCAGCAGCTGTACAATCCCAGTCCGCTCAGATCCTACCCGCTACTAATCAAGATGATGTCGGCACGTTCAACGGCGGGAGTTACAGAATCAGTCATCGGGACAGTAATTCGATCCTTACCATGCAGCTAGCGATGGGATGTCCAATAGAAGCGAAGCCAGGTAGACACCGTGCCCCTCCATATTTTGGACTGAAGTCTCCTATGTGCTAATGCGTAGATTAGGCGTGATGGTTGCAATGTCGGGAAAGATCTCGCTCCGGGGAAGTATGAAGTGGAGCATGATGAAAATGCTCGCAGGTTCAATGACCTTCTCCACATATACTGGTCCTGGTGAGATCCTACTCGCTCCGCCAACACTGGGAGATATCATTGTCCTGCGCCTCAATGGCACAGAGACATGGAAAGTTGGCAAAGACGGATTCCTAGCCGCGACCAGTGGAGTCGTGAAGGATTACAAGGCCCAGGGATTGACGAAGGCCGTTTTCTCGGGAGAGGGGTTCATCATCTACCATATGTCTGGGACCGGTCTTCTATGGCTTCAAAGCTTTGGCGCCATTATCAGGAAAGATGTAAGAACTCCATGCCTCACTCACCTCCTGGTTTGGTCCGTATGGCCCCTTTCGCTAACTGAACCTAATGCAGATCCCTGAAGGCGAATCATACCTGGTCGACAACGGCTATCTCGTCGCCTGGAATTGCAAGTACACTATGACGCGGGCTGCCGGGGGAGGCATGTTCTCGACTTATAGCTCCGCTGAAGGACTTGCCTGTAAATTCGACGGCCCTGGGACGGTGTACTTGCAGACGAGAAATGCCGCTGCCTTTGCGGCTCATCTCAGTACCAAGTAGTAACAGACTTTGGCTGGTCTGATTTGTGGGAACCGCCGCAGAGAGCTGGTTTCTTGTTTCATTTTGTTTGTTTATACTTGTTGCAAATACCTCTTCTTCTTGCTTTTTTGCCTGTTGTCATGACTATATTCCCCCTGGTTTCAAATTGGCTATACTATGTTGTTAATGAGCGTATTTTATACCGATTATCTTTTCAGCGTCGAAAATTGTATATGTTTCTCATACACGACCATACGGCTAGTTGAAATCATGTGTCCAAGAAAGCGTCTCATGGCTGCCAATCGGTCTTAGTATCGTCTTGCTCATTCAGAAAGTCGAGCATATTATGGCATCGCTTGGATACAGACTCTTACTCTAATTTGTGTTCGACCATGAAGGTAAAGGAAAAAAATACTATTAGAAAAGTCATACCAATCCATATACTTATCATGCCATGTCGAATTGTCTTCACTTCGTCTCTTCTTAGTTACTTTTGAGTTCCTATTCCATAAAGCACTACTCTCAACGTCGTCATCATCATCCACATAGGAGAGAGAAAAAAGAAATCTTTATACGAAAGGGGGAAAGAAAATCATAAATCGCCAAAAGATAGTCGCAAGGAAATACAACCACCGCCACCATGGCTCCCCCCAAAGACGCCACATCACGTTTAACCCTGTCTCTTTCTGCGTCCGACTTGGCCACGGAAACCGGTCTTGATAGCGGCGACGGAACGACGGGATCCGCAGGAGTTGCAGGTGACGAAGTACAGACGGTTCTCACCCTTGTTGAGTTCGGTGTCGGGACTGCGGCAAGTCTTGCAAGTAACATATTCGACTGGTTGTATGTTAGGTGGATGTCAAATCAATGAATGGGGGAAGCGAAGCACCGTACCAATATATCTTCTGAGGACGTTCTCAAGCTGCTTCTGCTGGAAACGACCCTTGATGACCAGACGACGACTGCCGTCAACACTGCCACTGGTACCCAATTCGGCGAACAAGAACTGCATGACGTGGTCGTCGGAACGCTTCATACGCTTGCAAATATCGGCGATGTTGGCGAAAATGGTACGACGGTTACCTTCACGCAGACACTGAGGAGGAGGGATCTTATACGACTTGGCACCGCTGGACAGAAGGTCGGGGTGGTGGCTCTGGATGAGGGAGAAGAATCGGGACACAAGCAGAGAGTAGGGGATGGCTTGCGATGCGTCGTGGGCCCAGATACCGGTTCCGGCCTCGAGATCGCCCTCGGGGAGGACCTCCTCTGTCTCCTCAGCTCCCTTCTCTGCTGCACCAGCCTCGGCCAGCTTGGCCTCGAAGTCGCCTGCGTCAACCTTCTTGGTCTTCTTCTTCTTCTTTTTCAGGGCGGTGGGGTCGAATTCGCCGTCAGCTGCGGGGGAAGCTTCGTCGCCTTCGCCGGCCTCTGCATCCTTGGGCTTCTTTGTCTTCTTCTTCTTCGACAGTCCCTTGAACATTTCGGTAACTTCGTCGACCGACTTGTCGGCTGTGGCTGTTTCTTTAATTAGACCACCAGACATGAATCTCGAACGAAATGAACTGAGCATAACGGAAAAGGGACTCGAGTGATCGTACCTTCATTCTCGGTGGGCTTCTCCACCTTAGGCGCCTCCGTGACTTCACCGTTGGTATCCATGATGACAGAGCCCTCACTAAATGCGACCGACTTGCGTTGTTTTTGAGGAGCTTGTTCGACCTATTCGGCCCCGCCAGATAACGTTAGCGGACAAGAGGTTCTGGGATCAAAAATTCCCAGACGTCAAAAAACAAAGGTAGACAGTAAATGCTCGCAATGCAGCACAGCACTACTATCAGAACCTAAAGCGGAGTGGCAAAAGTAATGGGGGTTTGGGGTTGAAGAAGATTGAAAGGTGAAGAAAATGTGGGAGGACGATCGGTAAGGGAAAACAGCGTGTGACGTACAGTTGTATCCGCCATGTTGAATCACTATCGGGCTGTGAGCGCAGACAGGGGTATCACACTCCACCAAGACAGACCAAATCGCAATTTTCAGTAGTAATAATGATGCTCTTGAGCAAGACAACGAGGTCGCTATGAACTTCCGCTGAGAACCGTATCTGCGACGAGTCTGATGGCGAATCTGTTATCGCGGGTCGTTCTCACGTGATCCGTGAGTCAAACCCATTCGGTACGGCGTAATGTTACGATACTGTACGAGTCGAGGCACGTGAGGGGCCCTCCCCTGGATTACATCAGACTATCAATCAACCTCACTTCCAATCAACGCAGCCGATCTCGACCTTCTTCCTCACGGACATTAACTGGGTCCTACTCATGCCGCTATCCTCTTTCAAGCGGTAGGCGGGCCACTGCTTGATTGACAGCTTACAACCTGCTGGTCTTTTTCTTCCATTCCTATTGTTCAGAAGTGTCTCAGTGCCATTCCATCATGTCGTACCCATCACCCTCAGCCTCCAACCCGTCACTCGCTACATCGGCCTATATGGTCTCCTCTGTAGACAGCATCTCCGACGATGAAGTCGCCTCTCTTCCCTCAGAATCTACCTCTGCCTCGGACCTAGATACCTTCTCAGACGACTACTCTGACGCCGAGGAGGAATGGCGAGAAAGCATTGAGCAGTTGGAGCTCCTCCTGACTATGGTCGTCGTGCCCTTCATGGGGAAGTACCTGGGGAGGAAGTGTGCCTATTGGAGTATGTTAACCTATGGGGGTGTGTCGGTTTCGGGGGCATTACATGCTGACTATGTGCATAGGTTGGACCAGGTTCATGGAGTGGAAATACCCTGTTGAAGTTGTCGTCAAAAACCAGGCGGCATTCAAGGGAGCAGGCGCCGTTGCAGCCCTTGCTTCGCTATGATTCGGACCAAGCCGTATGCATCATCCTATACTAGAGTTCCTTGGCGTCGATAGACATATACATGGCAACTGTACCATCACATTCCGCCGGCCTTAGCTCTTTCTTGTTTCAGGTAAAAGCAACTCGTGCTTACAGTTCGTATGGTTGGACGGTCTTGGAAGATGCAGCTCTGTGCTGTCTAGCCTGTGTATGCAACCACAAGTCCGGCGTGTCAGTGCTGGTTGTTCCACGGTGCCAAGGGACAGGTACGCCTTTTGGAACAAGCAGCTGGTTATCTGGTGGTATGTTGGGTGAGCATTCCAAAGATGGTTCCAGTTGAGCAGCGTTTCAGCATAATTTGTGATACAATTATACCCAATCAAACTTCAGTGCATATACATAAATCTGATCCAGGCGTGTTTTCGGGTTTGAATCTTATAAAATCGGAGGGACGCTTTGGGAGACTCGCGGCAGTTCACGAAAATTCAATTCATCTTCAATATTTACTATCTTTTTGTTGACCTGTCCTTGATGGACGGTGCTCAGACCCAATTTCGATCACTTTTCTCCATCACCTAACCCCTTTCTCACTCCTTTCTGCGCCTTGTTGCGGATAACCAGTTCTATGTTTTCCTTGGCTTTCGCTTTGCGTTTATCCTGTCCCTCCATATCGCCAAATTCAGTACCCAGTTGCGACAGGGCTTCTCGAGCGTAAAAGCTAAGGTCGCTGCATCCATCCGGGGTCAAGAAGCGCTCAAGTGGGGTCTCGCGGTAGGCTCCTGGCTGCTGTTGTTCAAAGAGCTTCAGGCTCGCGGTGGTTTGGTTCTGAGTTTCCGCGGAATTCGAGGCAAAGGTAACCTGACTGAGGTGATCCATGGCCTGTTTGATGTCGACATTGTCTTGGTCATGCGCGCTCAAGCGTTGCATCCCGAGCTGAGAGAAGTGTTGATGGATTCGCTCTTCGGCTATGATTTTCTCTATCCACGACATGACACCGTTTCTTGACTCTTCCTACAGCAGGGTTAGACGCTCTCCGGTGTTCACTGTTGCGAAGGAGCCATCTGGGCTTACAGATTCTTCAATGATATTATGTAAAGCAAGGTTTCTCTCAGTCAAGTTGCTGTTGGGCACCTTTTCAGTGCTAGGCTCGGAGGACATCTTGTATTGTCTGTGGTGGATGGTGTTACGGAGAGAGAGAAGAGAGTTAAGCAATCATTCAGCGGATTGATGAATGTGAACAGACGTCGAGCCCAGGCGCTATAGCAACCAGAACAATCTATGCCACATCGCCAGGGCGATGAACCAGCTCTTTATATGCAGTGCACTTGCGGTATCTGCTTGGAGCAAGCCAGGCACACATTAAAGGCAAACATGCCTATCTACAGTACCTGGCCCATAACAATGAAGATACCGTCAACCGCAGGTTAATCAGTCGGTCAGTCAAATCACGCCAATGGATGCTGTCAACCCAAGCCATCAGGCACATACATCCACGCCCTTTGCACAAATATAGACTAGATGCAACTGGAAACCGCACCCCCGGGTCTCTAGTGAAGAACAAGGCACCCACGCCCCCTGTTCCCTCCGTCGTTCCGATAGCCTGTCCTCCCCACCCATCCGAGCCCAACGAGTCAAGAGATAGCAACGTCGCAATCCCGGGATTTGGATGTGAACTAACGGCGACGGTGTATGGCCCATGAGCCCGTCTCCTCGAGGCTCTGTCCGGGGAAAGCAGACCGCACTTCCGCTACCTATTGTGGCAGGACTTAGTACTTTTATCCCTGATCTTTTGGTCAGCCATGCAGAATTAGCTGCAGATATGAAACGGTCGGGTCTGCAGTAATATGGCAAATCTCCTCAGAGAATTTCTCACATCAATACGTCGCCAGTCCCTGAGCGAGTTCTCCGGAAGAAATGAACATAGCCCACTCCAAATGATCACACCAGAAAAAGAAAAGAATCACCCACTAGCCAAAGGCTCCACACATGCACATAATGGCCCAACATTAACCAAATCCAGGAAACGGGCGAAACAAGAAGAAAAAAAAAAAAAAAGAAAGAAAGAAAGAAAAAAGATTCACGCTGGTAACCTTGTACAGCACAACTGGCATTGTACCCAGCAGCTGGGTTTCCTGCAAGGGCCCGTGCGGGCGTTCCTCGTCCCTCAAAGTTCATGCTAAACTAGTAGATCGCCGGCTGAGCGCCAAACCTCTGGACCAGCGGTGACGTTGGCTTTTGCTTTTAACTTATTCTAGGAGACTAAAGAAGACGTGTGGTGCTGAGAAGCCAATTCTAGCAGGGGCTTGTGCCTCTCACAAGGCCCTTCCCTTTCTTTCTTACTAGGTTCAATTCCAAATAGACAAACGTACGGGTACTTTGGACGTACTTTTGAACTGGACGAGTCCATGATTTCCAGCACGGATGCTTGCCTTTCCGTGAATATTACCCTTCTTATGGAACAAATAGAAAAGGGAAAGACGTGGAATGGGCTTATTTTCCTTTCCCAGGGACCTGGTTCACTCCGTTTTAGTGCTTGTGCATGAATAAGGACAGGGGAGTCTGATATTATCTGGTGCGCAAAACATGAATAATTCTGCATACACTAAAATTCCTGCGCAGAGTTTTAGTGTATGTGGACTTGATTAATTGAAAAAGGGGGTAAAAAAAGAAAAAAAGAAAGGAAGGAAGAGGCACGCTGTATGGAATGGATTTTCATGAGATAATGGTATCTATTCAACCGTGGTTTGGAATGGGTTTAATCCCATGCAGTAATACGCACTACCGCATGATCCTTGTTAGCAGGGTTGGAGTCCGCTGTCGGTTTCTGTCCCTCTCTTGCTTTTCCATTTCTTTCATCTTATTCGTCGTTGTATATTGTGAAAGGAAAGAGAGAATGAGGAGGGAGCTGAAAAAAAGAACACGAGATAATAGGGTTTCTAGATAGGGAAAGACGTTAAGAAGGCTTTATGTGATTTATACAACCACATTCAGTCGATGACCAAGTTTCTCAGAAACAAGGCTGTCCTTCCTTTGACATCGTCTGACTCAACTGGGAACTGCCCCCGAGCTAAATCCCCTCATGCTCCAGGCGAACGGGCGAAAGAAAAAGCAAAGAACGCCGAAATTAACGAGCTGTCGATCAGTCGGCTGAAGGCAACGGATTGCTGGGGCCAGGGACTGCCAGTTGTCCAAACGGCAAACTTCCACCAGTGTCATGCCGTATTGTTGGGTTCGTTCGGCCGGAAGGATGCCTAGTGGCGTATCAGTGGAACTATTATCCATTCCCTTGGGTCTGTGGTTTGTTTATCTGTTCCATGAGAATGGTTTCGTCATCTCGGTGTCTCAGCCGTTGTTGGAGAATGGATAGTGTCCACTCATCATTGATGAAATAGCATCCGCGCGTACATCAAACCTGAAATTGCTAGTAAATATTCCATAGAAATACGTCTATGACCAAGATATCATAGGTAGAATACCAGGCATAAAATGCGGTATTCAATATAGAGCCCAAGTATGAAAGCAAATACCATAGTCAAAACCCACCAAGAGCAAACCCCTAATACAACTTCTGCTGTCGCCAAAACCCTTTAAGCCCACCCAAAAGGTCTTCCTGCAGACCCGAGACCATGGCTGCGGTCGGTCTAGACTCCGCCCCTGCCATTCTCTCGTTTTGGGTTTCTCCTGCAGAATATCTAGCATCCAGGAATTGTCCGGTGAAACACTGCAGATAGACTGCATGATTTGGCTGGGAGACGCCCGGGCAACGCTTTGGCTGGGCAGAATCATATGAACCATGCGAGAAAATCCCTGTTTCTGATGCAATCCCAGGGCACCAGTATGGCGCTAAATCGTCTGGCAAGCCATGGAAATCTTCCGGTACCTGAAATATGCTTCCATTGCCGCCTACGCCAGAGGAAGCGTCCCTTATTGGTTTGTCTACCGTTCGGTGCCTAGGAAATTTGTGCAAGGCGTCCTGCTCTGGGTGCATAATCACATCGTATGCCGCACTTAAAGTCTGTTCTATCAAGGCACAATCCCCTCCAGGCAAGGGTGCTGCCCTATTTGCAAACTGTGCCGGCGGCTTGTCATAATCTGAAATCATTACAGATGCCGTAGATGTTTTTGCTTCTTGTAATCCGTGGGAGTCGTGGGACTGCATCACAGACGTCGGCTTTTGGATATGTAGCGAGGAGCTAACGAAGCTCGACGTACCGGGATAAAGTGTAAAGTCGCTCGTAGGTGGCTCAATGATGTCTGCCTGGTCAATGGCTTGTGGTGACGCCGATGCAGGCTGCCTATGCGACATGTGCATTGACACACCGTCTGTATCTCCACTACTCCTAAGAAGTGCAGGTGGCTCAGATGCCGGATCAGGATGATTCGTGGCAGGAATACTATTGGCTCCATAACTGTCTGTGTTGTCTTTGCTATTATACTCTTTGACCATCGTCGGGGTCTGAGCAGGCTCCCCCTCTCCGACAGACTGAGGTCGCTTGCGTTCTTGGGATCTCCAGTGAAAGCTTGCGTTTGTCGGCACAGCAGGGCTATGGGCATCTGGATCCCAAAGCTGTTTTCTCTGATCAGGGAGGCATTTCACCTCTTCCAAGCTCCAGGAATTTCTTGTAGATTTGACTGTTGCTATCGCTTCATTATTATCTTGGACGTCCAAGTCGACACTGAGAAACTGTTCCGTGCACTTCTCGTACGCACCATCCAATGCAGAATTTTCACGCACACTCTCAGGCCATGTATACATTGTGGCGGTCTTAGATATAACCTCACTTCCCTTTTTTTGGTGCTGAGCGTTTCCATCTTTGTGAGCCTGAAGCATGGCGCTCCTCTGGCCATGTTCATATACTGATGTTTCAAGAGGAAGCGCATCTCTCTCCTGATGATGTGCCTGTTCATCGACAGTATTCAATAATGACGAACAAGCTCTTGGGTTTTGATTCGGTGAATCCCAATATACGCTTCCCTTTTTTTCCTTACCTCGATAAATACATGCTGCTTCACGCTCCTTTCGTGCTTTATTGGAAAGAAATTTCATTTCCGAAAAGCTGAGGTCAGGCCCTAATCAATCTGTCAGCTTCGAACCCAAACTTAGAAAGATAGGAAGCTTACCCTGAACCTTGACCGGTGATGATGTCCTACCCATCTGAAACAGACCTAAGTTCATATTAGATTGAAGCTACGGATATGGTTAGCATGTTCTTGCCAGATTGGCTTGTCTCTCTTAACTCACGGTTAATCGATCCCGAGCCACATTAGAGGCGTGAAAATTATCATTCACGGTATGCTTTCTATTCCTCTTTGTGGATCTTCTTCTCTTAGTCTTTGTCACCCTGCCACCTTTCTTATGAGACATCTTGCCCTTGTATTCAAAATGATCGTCTTTTGTCTTGTGGCGTGGTTGGCGCTCATATCTAGATCGTTCTTCCTTCCTCTTGCTGGCAACTTTCTGGGAAGACATGAGACACGACACAGAACCTACTGACCAAGGGCAGTGTTGTTTCCTATACGTCTCCAGTGCTTGTTCCTGGACTCGCGGTACATGTGCGACTTGTTGGCATGAGGGGCCAAGGTGTTGTAAGCTAGCATCGCTCTCTCTCACTATGCTCTCAACACACATGACCGATGTTGATCTTCTTGGTTGATTTTCAATGCCCGGTAGTTTACCATAAAAATCTTGAACTTTGGGGAAATTGCGGCATGGGTACGACCATCTAGGGGTGTCGGATGGCACAGGCTCGTCTTCAATCATTGCCAACCACTCAAAAATACGAGACTGCGACCCCGAACTCATCGAGACAGCTGGTGTGAGATGTGTGCTTAATGTGGTGCTGGTGGATGGAACACGGGGATCCGGAGACGGATAGGTCGAAATGTGAAGTGGATAGATGTATATAAGAAGACAGTGGGGCATCTTAGGATGTCTGGCTGAGAGATATGGCCGCCATTGTGACATCATCCCATTGAGTATTTGAAGAAGCCTGACCGAAGTGTCTGAGGCAGCCACGATTACCAAATATAGAAGCACCCTCGTGACTTGCGTTTGCAATCGAGTGAACGTGAGTACTAGTACTAGTAGTAGCAGTAGCAGTAGCAGTAGCTTTGTTACAGTGTCCACCTATTATCTCGTCACTAATTTAGTACAATTACCTTAGGAATCCATCTCCCATGATCATATTGAAACCGACCCATCAACGCTGCTCCTTAGCGCACATCCTTAGGACCCTCTTTGTCTGCCTCTCCATTCATGGGAATCGCTTGTTGAACTTTGTCCCCTCTGATGTGGTTGTATTTGTCCGTGGATCAGAGACGATTATACCTGCAACGTACACAGACCTCAATCCTGCAGCGCTGGCATCGTAAAATGAAGTCAGGAAGCAGGTCATGGCATACATCGCACGAGTATTGCCCATCACGCCTCCTCCAGCGAGCATCATGCTTACAGTTGTGCTGCTCACGAAGTTCCTGTGCTGCCCTCTGAACCTCTTGTTGTGCAGGCCGAGGGTTCTCATCATTCCGAGCGGCGACTTGGTTTGCTCTGTCGAATAGTCTCTCTTCGTCCCACACTTCGCATCTACATGTCTTCCACTTCGAGGCACAGGCGTAGCAAAATTCGAACCCACAACGGCATCTAGAGCAGAAGACTATCAGACAGGTTTCCATACTCAGAATACGCAAGCCTCATTGCTTTTACACTTACGTGATGTGATTGCAGCCACTCTTTAGCTCCACGATGTTCCGACATCTCGCGCAGCGCTGCCATCCTTCTCTTCTTGCCATACTCAGAATTTCCGCTTGCCCCTCGACACATAGACCGGCATGAGCTCGCTGCTTGCATGTAGAGCATGTTTCTGTGTTGCAAGAAGGGCAGGTTCTGGTGCTAAGGGCCACCGGGGCAGGGGGGAGGTATCGCGAACACGAAGGATTAGCACAGTAAGTTCTATTGGAGTCATTGTGCTCCACTGTCCTCTCCTCGAATTGTTGAATCATCTCCTCATCCAGAAGTGCTTTTATTGTAGATAAAGGGAATGGCAAACGACAGCACTTGGGTGGGAAAAGGGACTCGTCAACAAGAGAGTCGTGCACCAGGCGGCCGGTACAGCTCCTGCAGTAGTAATGGGAACAGATTGCCCTAAACATGTCAAAAAATAGCCTGGCTTCCATACAGGCTACACATTTAAGGTGTGTCTGACTGTCACATTTCCGGGCAGCAGCAACTTTCGAGCTTTCAGCCCCTAGGAAGCCTGAACTTCGAACTTCAGTTGCATCTGCAGGTCTCGATTGCTTCGACACTGTAGTAAAACCTCCCACCAGACCAGTTAGGCCAGCCATCGCAGCCTTGCTCTGCCCCAGTAGCTGATCAGGAGTTGATTTGCTGAGACCGCCCAGTTGTAGTGCGGTCATTCGATCCCCAAAGGCTCTGTTTTCTTCTTCCGTTGCAGCTACGAGAGCATCACCATCATCGAAAACAGCTCTAGCTAGGCTCTTCGCCATTCTGTAGTCTTCAAACGTGCATGCACAATGACGGAGCTCTCGAGCCCATTCAGTGAGTGCCAGTTCATGGTCAGTTACTTGATCCGCGCTCCCTTTGCCCTTCATGAGTCCAAGGGCGCCTCTGGCATCTTCCTCCATCAAATGTAGCACTAGCTCCTTAGTCGGCTCATCCATGATGAAATGGAATAGATAAGGCGTTATAGAAGCTGGCGATGGAAAGAAGGCGGAAGTGTGAAATGGGAATGGAACTACGAAGGAAGGTGTTTTGAAATGACTGAAAAAGGAGGGTGGGTAGAATCGCGGTGAATTCAAATTGATACCCTGGTACGTGCAATCAGCATGACTGACTATTCACTTCTCAGTTACAGACAGATCATGATATCCAGCACAGCTATAGATACTGTAGTAAGACCAACTATCCAATCCGTCCAGATACAGTGCCATTATCTAGTGAATCTGATACTACGTGGTAATACGTACATAGAAGAATGCCAGCTTACAAGCGCTGTATAATCAAGAATTGTATAAAAGATGGATAATCGAGGAAATATTGATTGGAATTAGTATGCTGTCCTGAACCGCTACGATATCTATTGGAGATACCTCGATATCAGACGGTAAATGTATATATATATACATGCGGTAGACATGCTTTCCTCCGGAAGTGAAGATACGAGATATTCATACTTAGACAACACCCACGACTTGGTTCCCATATTAAGACTTAGATCTTGTCTTGGTAACGCCTTCTAATGAGAATCCAGGAAGAAAAAATTAAGATAAAAATCAAAATGATTAGATTGACAATGAGGGGAACCGGAGGTGTTCCGCAACGCTTGGGTTAGCGTCGTAGAATCAGTCCAATCCAGAGCATTGCAAACGGACCCCCTTCCGTGGTGCAGTATTTGAGTATTGTTACCGTTCAGGCTGGTTGTTTGTCTTGCAAGTGGGAGAGGAAAGAGCGTACGAGGAGTGTACATAATATTTGATTTCCTCCCCCCGCTTTATCTTCCCTCAGTCAAATCTTCGGTAAAAAGAAAAAGAAAAATTTTAAATTTTTTTTTTTTTAAAAAAAAAATTAGAGGAATGATTTTTGTGGCACAACGTGCAGTTGAATCCGATCATCTTTGGTCAGAGATTCCCTTCTGTAGCAATAGTGAATGTGCATGATTGACAGTTTTAGTCACTGCAGCGGTTCCACTTGAATAAATGTACGTGATAAGGCCGATGATTCTGCAAATCGGCGCTTTAGGACCTTAGTAGCCTCCTTCACATTCATGTTCCCCACGGGCCCTCTTCTTCCATTGTCATCCTCCTCTTTCAGCCGAACCATCATTTTATCGCACAAATCTCGTCTCATCTTCATCCTTTTTACTACTCCTTCCTCTACTGACTCCCCCCTTAGTCTCTGTTCAACTCTACAAAAACTTCAGAATGTCTAAACTATTTGTTGGGTCTGTTTACCCCTCCCCACACTCACTCCCAATAGCAGCTGTCATCTATTTCCCACCTCAACAAGGACAACCTAATTGATCATTTCACTGACACCACCAAACAGCGGCCTGTCATGGCACACCACTGACGAGAGTCTCCGTGAGGGTTTCTCCCAATTCGGTCAGGTCGAAGAAGCTGTTAGTACCCTAATTTACTGTAGAGCCATTCGCTCTCTCTGCCATGGTTATATTAATAATCTTCAGATTGTCGTTAAGGATCGTGACACCAACCGCAGTCGCGGATTCGGATTTGTCCGCTTCACCACAGAGGCTGAAGCCGACGCTGCGGTGCAAGAGCTGAACAATACGGAGTGAGCATTCATTTATTTACTGTCATTCCTTTCATCCCACAGTGCTGTCGCAACTTCTCCGCGTGGATCGAAGATTTACAAAACTAGGTTTGACGGTCGTGTTATCCGCGTCGACAAAGCCTCTGAACGACCTGGTCGCAACGATGGCGGCTTCCACGGCCGTGGCGGATACAACTCGCGCGGAGGAAACGGTGGTGGATATGGTGGTGGATACAGTGGTGGCAGTAAGCGATCCCTTCTGCTTGGCCTCTACATCCGAGGGCATCGCAGTTCTCTTTATTTTATTGGTGTTCTTATCAAGCTAATGGCATCCAGACTGGCGCCAAAACAACGCTGAGAACTAGGCTATGGCCCTTACCTCTAACTAAAGCGTGGACCGAAGTATGGTGCAGCTGGACTGATCCTTTTTGTGTTTTGTTCAAACGGATTTCATCGCTCAGATAATCTTCTCTCTCGATAAAACTTCATGAGACACGAATCGCAGAAGAGGAAGTGAAATGCAGTATGACGGCGGAAGCATGGTTTTGATGAATCACGGATGCTCTATCTCTGTTACTAAGATCATACCTTTATTGCTCGTTTAATATTGAATCTCCATGTGACGCAGGGAAAAATTCCAATCTGTAACCAGATAGTATGCGGCAAGGGTCTACGCCGGTAGTACAAGGGGGGAATGCTCTATAATATTGAAACCTTATAGTCTATGTAAGCTTTGCACTTGAGCGCCGATCATGGATCATAGAGCAACGTCAATGTAAAGTCACACTCTTTCCTCGTTCTGGAAAGCCCGATGTGCCTCCTCCTCTGACCGACTAAGCGACTTCTGTAAATCCCTCTCAGCCGCTTCTTCATCTCTCGCCGCCTCATCGTCCTCAATGGCCTTCACCCGTTGAACCAAATCCGTGACATAGCCATCAGCACTTCCAAGCCCGAGACCCTCAAGCGCCTTCTCTAGCAGATAAAGATACTCGGTATTTTTCCCACTCTGACCCCATCCGCGACTAATCACCTCCGCAACATCTTCCGGCTCACGACGAGCTGGGTCACGCAGGAACTGTGGGTTGGTAGGTTGCCCGATATACACCATGCAGGTCATCGGTTTGGATTCCGACTCCGCGGCCTTGGATCCCAAGAACGGGTAGAATGGAGTATAATGCACAGTGTATCCGTCAATCTCGCGCTCGTCGAGGTAATCATGGACTTCTTCGGCATGCGAGGCGGGAATATGGTATGCTGCGCCCCAAACTCGACCTGCTGACGATGATTCTAGTTGTGCAAGCTGCATGGTAGTGATGTAAGATGACAAGCCTAGATATTTACACGGATTGACCGGTGCAGATGGGAATGACCACATACCGGATCATTCAATGTCTCCCAAAATCCCCGTTCTATGACCGTTACTACTCGTCCGGGATTTTCCGGCGTTCCTCGATGGTCAGTGCTTAGTACAGTCAGCTTTTCAGCTTGGAATTGGTAACCAAATGCCCGTTTCAAGAGACTATAGCCTACCTAGCCTATATGTCGTCAGGTTGAAGTTAGTCGTGCTTAGTATAGAAGAAGGTACAACGGAGAAACGGAGAAGACAAGTGCCGCTGCTTCAAGCTTCACAGCAAAAGCTTCCATATTTCACGGGATGACGAACCTGCCAAAAGCGACGCACATAGCCGTTGACATAACCCGGGACTCTTTGATCTATACGAGGTCGCAGATCAGCTCAGGTCCGGGAAACTGGCAACAGTGCTGTGTCATTTGTCCTTGGCCAAGACCCAAATAAAATAGTCCAAAGCCAGAGTGACGTACCATAATGCGGTGGTGGCTTCCAAATCAAGCTCCTTGGTAACATCAGCTTTTGTCCATTAGAACTTTTGTGGAATCCTGAATATCCTATTCTTCCCCAGGACGGACGTTGACTCACCCATATCCAAATACCCATAGATCACCGTCTGGGAAGTAACTGCGCCATGTTCGACCATCTGGAGAAGCATGGCTAGTGTCCTTACAAGAAGCCATGTCCGTCTAATAGAGTCGAATCTTAAGCGTCTGCTCTAAAATTACAAGGTCTGTTCGTCTCTATAATGTGTATATAGATTTTGAGATGGAAATGGAAATGCGTAAAGTGGAAACAGCCCCCGAAACAAGGCTTTTGTCAGCAGTAGAAATCCAAAATAGTTAGGTGACCTCTAGTTTCCTTTAACCTACCATTGAAATGTAGGGAAACGGCTATCTTCAGAGGTAAATGTGTATTACTGAGCATTGCAAAGAATGTGCTGTACAATTCACCCCATGTGTTTGTACTGTTTGCTTACTATCAATGTGGGAGAAATGGCGGAAGTTGATGCAACATTGGACCAATCATTTCTGATAGCTGACGCCCCGCTGCACCCGACATTCTCCCCCGTCTGCTCTTGCTGCCTCAGGTTCTAATGAACCCCCCTGCTTATTGATCAATGCCCCAATAGTTAGTGAAGAAAAGCATACTACAAGGTAGTCTACACAGAATGGTGTAACTTCTTTTCTATGCGGACCGGGATTTCGAATAGTTGCTTCTTGATTGTATTGCTTTCGTGCAACTATTCAACAAATCATCTACTCCAACGTCCATCCACAACTATCGCATTTTGTTTGTTCGTGGAAATATAGTTACTATGGCTAGTTTACTTCGCCTTCTCCGGACACAATACACTGTCCCAGTCGACCCAACAGTCTCCTTTGCCGGCAAGACCGTCGTCTTAACTGGAGCCACGTCTGGCCTCGGATTCGAAGCCGCCATCAAACTTCTGAATTTAGGCGTGGAATCCCTTATTATCGGCAGTCGCAGCCTCGAACGAGGAGATGTAGTCAAAACCGAGCTGGAAAAGCGCACCACCAGACAGGGAGTGATCCAAGTCTGGGAGCTGGACATGAACAGTTTCCAAAGTGTCAAGACCTTTGCGAGCCGCATTCAAAAGGAAGTCAAGCAGCTGGACATCGCACTCCTCAATGCAGGTCTGTGGAATCGAGTGTATACCGCATCTCCGGAGGGATGGGAAGAAACGTTGCAGGTTAACGCGTTATCCACTTCTCTATTGGCGCTTCTGCTCCTTCCGAAGCTGAAAGACAGCTCATCTGACTCGACCCCGGCGCATCTTGCTGTCGTTTCCAGCCAACAGTTTGTTCGAGTCAAGGCTACAAGCCTTCGGACGGAAGGGCCGCTATTGGAGCATTTGAATGATCCACGACACTTTAGCGGCCCAAAGCAGTACGGCATCTCTAAGCTGCTGTTGGAGTACGCTCTGAAGACGGTAGCTGATCGAGTACGGAATGAGAATGGAACTCTCCCTGTTATTGTAAATACGATAAGCCCGGGACTCTGTGTGTCATCGCTTGGACGGCAGTATGATCGGTTCTATGAGCGATGGTTTGTTTGGCTGTTCTATAAGCTCTTTGCTCGCACGGCAGAGCAAGGAAGTCGGTCGCTCGTTAGTGCCACATACCAGGGAGCAGAATCGCACGGGAAATGCTGGAGGAGTGACGGGTATCTGGAGTATGTTTCTTCATATTTTCCTTTCTTTCCTTCCCTCTTGTTTTTTTTTTTTTTTTTTTTTTTTTTTTTTTTTTTTTTTTTTTTTTTTTTTTTTTTTTTTTTTTTTTTTTTTTTTTTTTTTTTTTTTTTTTT